AGAGCACAGAGGAAGTGTTCCATGGTGCCACAGAACTGACATTAGCTTCCAGTTAGTCTGCTACACGCAGAGAAGGGAGCATGAGGAGGACACGTTTAGGTCAGGCTTGAGGTGCCCTTGAGAAATTATCAGTGAAGCCAAGGGGAGAGCCTTCCAGAGATGTGAAACTCATGTGCCCCAAATGGGAATGACACAATTTCAGCAAACTTCCAGGGCAAATCGAATAGGCTATCCATTAGCCTATTGCATTTGCTCTTCCTTGCATTTGCTTTCTTTTTAAGTGTTGGTAAAAAGAGTAACCCGTTTCTTCTTTTTTTTTAATTCTTTGTGTTGTGGCCCTTTCCTCCATCTTCAAAGCTAGTAGCATAGCATCTTCTGTAGTCAAATCTCCTTCTATCTCCCTCTTAAAAGGATGCTGGTGGTAACCTTGGGCCTACCCAGATAATCCAGAATAATCTTCTCATTTCAAGATCCTTAACTTAATTACATCTCCAAAGTCCCTTTTGCCATGTACGGTAACATACTCATAGGTTCTGGGGATTCCGATGTTGATATCTTTGGGAGGTCATTATTCAGCCACCTTAAAAGATATAAAATGAAACTGGTGAAATAATTAAATAATTAAACCTAAAATATAAAAATACTATAATGTCAAAATGTAATCAATATACAAGTTATTTTTTTTCTTTATTGATTTCAGAGAGAGAGGGAGAGAGAGATAGAAACATCAATGAGAGAGAACATCAATTGGCTGCCTCCTGCATGCCCCTCGCTGGGGATTGGGTCCACAACCTGGGCATGTGCCCTGACTGGGAATCGAACCAGCAACCTCTCAGTGCATGGGTTTATACTCAACCACTGAGCCACACTGGCCGGGCGCAAGTTATTTATTTTTTAAATTTATTTTTGTTACAGAAGTTTCTCCTTTTTTCCCCATTGACACCCTCCTCCCGATCCACCCCACCCCTCAGCATTGTTGTCTGTGTCCATGGTTATGCATATATGCATATAAGTTCTTTAGTTTATCTCTTCCCTCCCTCCTGCCCCCCTCCTGAGGTTTGTCAGTCTGCAACAAGTTTCTTACTTGGCTGTGGGTATGAATTAACTGATGTGGTGGGCAGGGAACAGCATTTATGGAATTAGAGAATAGAATATGGTACCAGGAAAGAGAAAACCTGTGAGCATGTTCCTTTGACTCTCTGAACCTCATTTTCTCCATCTGAAAAATACAGGGGTTGAACTAGGATCTTTTTAGTATATGATGATTCTAAGTCATTCAGTCTACTACATCAGGATACTATGGCAGGCGTCAACAAACTCCACAGCTAATGTCTGTTTCTGTAAGCCCGCAAGCCCAAGCGAAGCAGGCCGGTACTGTGCGCCTTGGGAACCAAGCCAGATGTCCTCCTACATTCCCTCTCTCTCCCTCCGCTCCCAGTGCCTGTCTTCCATGTCAGTGCCTGTGTGTTGCTGCTACCCAAGGTCCATGCTAGTCACTACCTACACACCAGGGTCGTGCTACTGGCAACTGCTGGTCACCAACCAGTGGAATCTCAGTCAGCTTACAAAAAAGAAAGAAATTTTGCCATTTGCAACAACATGGATGGGCCTAAAGGAAAATATGCTAAGTAAAATACACCAGACCCAGAAAGACAAATACTGCATGAGTTGACTCATACGTGGACTCTAAAATAGCCAGACTCATGAAAGGAGAGAATGGTGGTTGCCAAGGCCTGGGAGAGAGAGGAAATGGAGAGATGCTGATCAAAGGGTACAAAGTTTGTTATGCCAGATAAGTTCTGCAGATCTAATGTACAACACTGTGACTACAGTTAACAGTACTGTATTATATACTGGAAATTTGCTAAGAGGGTAGATCTTTAGTGTTCTTACCAGAAAAAAAAAGAAAGAAAATGGTAACTATGTGAGGTGATGGATATATTAATTGGCATGATAATGCTGATTATTTCACAGTGTACATTAAATCATCAAGGTGTACACCTTAAATAAATTTTAATTGTCAATTAAAAAATTTTAACTTCCTCAATAGAGCTAGAAAAAAAAAGTAAGGAAACATGCTGGAGGCAGTATGCATAGGGGTACAGCGTGCAAACTGTGGACTGAGACAGAATAGCATTCTGCATTATTTATGAAACCTTAGACAAAGCATCACAATTCTCTGAGCCTCAGTTTCCTGCACTGTAAAATAGAGATAAGGATAATGCCTGCCTTTTGGAGTGTTTGTGAAAATGAAATGAGATGATATATGTAAAGTTTTGACACAGTGTCCTACACTCAATGAGTGCTCAGTAATTCAGTTCCATTTCTCTCAATCATCAACTCTAATGTCAGACAGTGTTGTAATGATACAACACGAGTACAGTGAAAAAGCATAGAACTGGTGGTAAATAACATGAGTTCATCTCTACTAGGCCAGTTCTAAGTGATCATCTTACATATCTAAGCCTTAGTTTATGTATTATAAAAATGTAAATGACACCTAGTAACATTGTTCATTCAGTAGTATCATTCCATCATTAATCAATACTTATTGAACACCCACCATGAAATAGTCTGCCCTTATCCACAGGAGATACAGTCTAAGACCCCCAGTGGATGCCTGAAACCGCAGATAATACTGAACTCTATATATAGTACTGTTTTGTTTTTTGTTTTCCTAAATACGTAGATACCTTTTCACTTAAAGGAAGCACTTTGCAGTTTCTCTTTGGCGTATCCAAACTTCCAGGATCACTACTCTTCCTCTTTGGGGCCACTGTTAAGTAAAATAAGGGTGACTTGAACACAAGCATTGTAATACCACCAATGAAATATTATTCGATCTGATAACCAAGTCTAAGTATCTATTGGGTGTATAAAGCATGAATACACTGGACAAAGGGATGATTTACTTCCCGGGCAAGATAGAGGGGGGTGGAATGAGATTACTTTGCACTCCTCAGAACAGCACACGATTTAAAACTTATGAATTGCATAATTCTGAAATTTTCCATTTAATATTTTCTGACCATGATTGAAACACAGAAAGTGAAATTGTAGATGAGGAGGTCTACCGTACAGACTTACTCCTAATGCTAAGTACTTGAAACCTGTAAATGAATGAGATATGGCCTCTGTGTGGAAGCACTAACAGTTTAAGAAATTTCAAATTTTTAATGGTAAAATGGCACCAGATGTTAGACCTTGGTCCCTGAGTTTTGTCTAAGAAAGAATTCAGAACCAAAATTCAGATACAAGCAAAAGTTTAGAAAATCACAGAGGTAGAAGAAGTGAGCCATGGAAGAAGTGAGCCAGCTGGGCTGTGTGGGCTCAGGAAACAAGTTACAGAGGCAAAAGAAGGGCTCTTGGAGCTTAGGAGAAAGAAAGCAAAGGTCTGCCCCTTGAGGGAAGAAAGGGGAGGAAAGGCACTGGCCTGCTCAAGAGAAAGAAAAAGCACGCTGAGTTCCTTGCCTTAAATAATTTTATCTGGAGGTCTCAGGGGAGGATCCAATAGAATAGTTACCAGCTTTTGAGGTGTGTCTCCTCAGGGTCAGGGTCTTGGTATCAACTCATTGGTCAGTTGCTAGGGTAGGGGAGGTCATTAGTCATTGCAGCTGGTCCTGAAGTTCGACAACCTGGCCTTGCTGCTTTTCTGAGCCTGGAGCTGAAACACAATTGAGGTCTAGATATTACCTCCAGGGCTTAATAGAGAGTGGTTGTGCAAGGGCTTGTATGGGAATGGTATGAGGCTATTCTTCAGCCCCTTTGTTTGTCCTCCAAGGTGGTTTACCACTTGACTAGTGATGTGCCAGGGAACGAAAGGTCAGGCGAGAGTCCAAACTGCGTGACCAGTGTTATGAAGAGTCAGGGGGTCTAAGCTTATGACTAGCGATATGCTAAGGGAGGAAAGGTCATCCTGGGGTCAAGGTCCCACCCCAGTTTTGCCTATTGCTAGGTACCCAGGGCTTTCTGCCCATAGCTGGCCTATTGTTTCTACTCTGCTCATGTATCTTACTGCTTACTACATCATTGAGATGATGTCTGTGAGAGTTTCCTACAGGTCAATGGCAAGACTTTCAAAAGGAAGTGTTGGTGTGACTCTCAGCTCTCCAGTTCCCGGAACTCTATTCCTTCTATCCACCCTCTGGATATTTGTCTGGAAGGTGAGGGCAGGAGAGGCAGTTGTAAATAAAACAAAAGAGCCTCCTTTCTGTCCCGGGAAAAAAAAAGGAGAGCACTGGGCTTGCCTGGATTTGATCTGTGATTCCGTACTTGATGACAGAAAAGTTTGGGCTGCACACTGGGTGTTGATGTTTAGGGGGGCGTGGTGGGAGGGGATGGAATACAGGATTCCCTCCTGCGCAGGCGCATTTGGACTCTCACAGACGCAAAGCCCCACTGGGTCGGAAACCTTACGTCAAAGTCTACGTTAAAAGACGTAGGGAAGGCGGCAAGGAAAGCGCTGTCTCTCGGGTCACGTGGTGCAGCCGGGGCGTCGTTGACTCCTCCCTCTCCAAGATGGCGTCCTTGCTGCAATCGGAGCGGGTTCTTTACCTGGTCCAGGGAGAAAAGAAGGTTCGGGCCCCTCTCTCGCAGCTTTACTTCTGCCGCTATTGTAGCGAGCTGCGGTCGCTGGAATGTGTGTCTCACGAGGTAAACGCAGTCATCCCAAGAAGAGTATGTGTGTTGGGGGAGGGGAAGAGGCGTTCATATTAGTCACCGCGACGGGCGGGGAAGTTCCGCTGGTTGGAGGTGGGCAGTTACTGTCCTAGCTTGCTGATTGGCCTGTTTTCCGTCACTCAGATTTGCCTGAGCTTTAATTTGCTTACAGTTTGTCACTTGGAAAGGAGGAACGGCCTTGGGTGGGGCTGAGCGGATCGTCTGGTTCCAGAGCACCCTGTGATTGGGCAAACTTGACTTTGGGATCCCTAGCAGTCTCGGTGGGGGGAGGGGAGGTTGGTTAATAGGGTGGGTCCGAGAGAAAAAGGTATGAGCGTGCTTATTTCACGCCACTTGAGGAACGATTCGCGTGGAGTGGACGAAGACTTTGTCATTCATGCCCCTCCCATCCTGGAAATTATGCCTCTACTTTGTCCAGAAACTGGACCCTCTGTATCCTGGCTCAGGCCTAGTCCTGCAGCAGGGAAGAGGTTAGGAAGGGGTGAACTGAGCAAAAAGTGTTTGGAATCGGGGATATCGCGTAAGAAGCTGAATGGCACTTCCCCTGAGTAGGTTGCTGTCGTCCTTCACAACAAATGGGCGTTGATGGTGGAATTGCTTAGAAGGTAAAAGACCCCACACCCTAAAAAAATTACCAAATCCAAAACTTCTGCAGCGCTTGGCACATTTCCTTTGTTCAGTAAACTTTGGGGATTAAAAGATGAGTAAAACAAATCTTGCTGTTGAGTAACTCACAGTCTAATGAAGGAAAAATTGATAGTAATAATAGGTGTGGTTTATTTAGTACTTTCTACATGCCATATGCTTTACATAATCTCCTTTAATCTTCTACAACCCAATGGAGTGGATACCTTTTTTTTTTTTGCCCCTAGCGGGAACCGAACCCTGGACTCTCTGGTCCGCAGGCTGACGCTCAACCGCTGAGCCAAACTGGCCAGGGCACCTTTTTAAAAAAACTTATTAAAAAAAAAAACTTATTTTATAGGTCTCTTGGCTGGCGTGGCTGAGTGGATTGAGCGTAGTCCCATGGACTGAGAGGTCCCAGATATATTTCTGGTCAGGGCACATGCTTGGGTTGCAGGCTCCATCCCCAGTAGGGGATGTGCAGGAGGAAGCCGATAGATGACTCTCTGTCACGTTGATGTTTTTCTCTCTCTTCCTCTTTCAAAAAATCAACAAATTATATATTAAAAAATATAATAAAAATTATTTTATAGGTAAAGAAACAGACACATAATGTTTGCCCTAGATCACACAACCAGAAATTTGGGGGTCAGAGAGAGGACTGGGATTTAAAAAAGGAGCATCCTGACTTAGAACTTCAGTGAAGATCCTTGGACTGCTAAAAAATGCATATGAAAAATATATTCTGTACTATAAGCCACTTTACATATTAATTATTATTTTATTGGGGTATTTTTTACAATGTTAAGATTGATCAGGGGAGGCATTTAAATAAAAATAAATTCCATATATGTGTGATTGGTATTGGTTTTTCATGGATTTCTTCTTTATTAACTCTGTCTGTGTGTGTGTGTGTGTGTGTGTGTGTGTGTACACCTGTATGTTATCTCCTTGGCAGGTCCTTTCTCTTTTAGATGCTTCCCTGTTCCAGCTCCACCCTTATAATTTGTTGGATTAGATATTCATTTGGTGGTTACTAGGGAACTCAGCCTTCATGATCTCTAAGGATGTCTGTAGCTATGATGCTCAGCCTGTAACTGCATCCTTTACAGATTGGTGTGTACCTGTGAGATAGAGGCCATCAGGGCTTGCGGAAGGATAATACTAGTGAGGGCTGGAGCAGTCCAGAAAGTTCTAATGGAGAACCTGGATTGGAGCTGCACATGAAGGGACAGCCATTATTTGGAAGGGAGACACAAAGGAATGACATATTTTGCCTTTTATGATGAGTCCGTGCAAATATTAGTTCACAATACTATATTTTATGTTTCAGGAGATTACTTGAACAGCAATTTTATTAATCTTTTCAAAGATGGTCCTGTTTATAGCAGATGATGAAAAAAAAGCCAGTTTCTGTAGTATTTATGTACAAGTGAATCTGTCTTTCCATCTGCAGCTGACTAAAGTTCTAGAATTGTCAAATAGGATCTACCTACATTTAGTAAAATTTAGAACTTAAAAAAATACAATGAATTTAATTTTTATACTGCGTTTTTTAGTTAAATACAATAACAGTTTAATAGTTTGTCATTTAAATATCTCTAATTGGTTGGCTGTAGCTGAATTTGTAAATGGTAATTTATGCTGTTTTTCAGTGAACATGTATTGCTTCAGTAATGAGAAAACTTTTTTTTTTTTTTTTAATCCTCACCTGAGGACATTTTTCCATTTTTTGTTCAGATAGAGTGGGAGGAAGAGAGAGAGAGAGAGAAAGAGAGAAACATCGATGTGAAAGGGATACATCGAGTGGCTGCCTCCTGCATGACCCAACCAGGGCCAGGGACAAACTGCAGCTGAGGTACATGCCTATAGTGGGAACTGAACCTGGGTCTCTGGACTGCAGGCCGACACTCTAACCGCTGAGCCAAACAGACTAGGGCATGAGAAAACTTTTTAAGTCTCTGACAATTTAAATGTGATCAAATTACTACAATCCAATAAAGCTAAATTAGATAGGAGAATATTTGTTCAGCCCAGCCGGTTAGGCTCAGTGGGTTGAGTGTCAGTCCCCTGGACTGAGAAGTCCCAGTTCGATTTCCAGTCAGGGCACATGCCCCCGTTTCAGGCTCAATCCACTGTGGGAGGGTGCAGGAGATAGCAGATCAATATATCTCACATCGGTATTTCTATCCCCCCCCCAAAAAAAAGAATGTTTGATCACGGCTTTACAAATTAGCTTATTTTATTTATTAATCTATTCTTTAGATTATTATAGAGTTTTTCTTTTATATAGGCAATTTTTAACACATCTAATTCATAAAACTCTGATGAAAGGGAATAGGAATGATCAGAAAGGAAAAATAAAAGGGAAAATAAAAGGGTTTTAGAAAATCCGGATGGTTGGTTAAAAAAAACAAACAGGTGATTGAGGAATAAACCCTGAGCCGAAAATAATTTAGGTTCTTTGCCAGATCAGTGGTTTCTCACCTGCTTCAGTATAATATACTTTAAATTTTGCTATTTTGCAGAGACATATACACGAGCTAAACAGTTTCTTTTCCTCTGATTTTTTAAATTTCTTTTTTCTTTCTAGGTGGATTCCCATTATTGTCCCAGTTGCTTAGAAAATATGCCATCAGCTGAAGCCAAACTGAAAAAGAACAGGTAAGACCAGGATTCATTTTTTGCTTTTTTCAACTATTTTTATAAGAAAACACACATGAAATTAACTTTTTAAACTAGCTTTCTTCTTTTTATTTTTTTTAATTTTTGCATCAGCTTTGCCGAAGATGAAATGTCCTTTGACCCTTTATTTATTTATTTTTTCTATTTTTTGTTTAGATAGAGTGTGGGAGGGGGAGAGAGAGAGAGAGAAACATCCACGTGAAAGGGACATGTCGAGTGGTTGCCACCCACACAACCCAACCAGGGCCAGGGACAAACTGCAACCGAGGTACATGCCCTTAGCGGGAACCGAACCCTGATCTCTCAGGACCGCAGGCCGACGCTCTAACCGCTGAGCCAAACTGGCCAGGGCTCCTTTGATCCTTTAAATAAACTTTCTATATTAGAACAATTTTCGACTTAAACATTATTGTGAAGATAATACAGAGAATTCCCATTTACCCCATACCCACTTGCCCCTACTGTTAATATCTTACATTAGTATGGTATATTTTTCTCAATTAATGAACAATACTGGTACATTATTACTAAATAAACTGCACATTTTATTCAGATTTATTTAGTTTTTTCCTAATCTTTTTCTGTTCCAGGATCCTATTCAGGACATATGCATTATATTTAATAGTTATGTCTCCTTAGGCTCCCACTACTGTGACGTCCTCTTAGACTTTCCTTTGTTTTGGTGACCTTAAAAGTTTTGAGGAGTAGTGGTCAGATATCTTGTAGAATGACCCTCAGTTGGAATTTGTCTGTTTTTCTCATCACCTGGGGGAATGTATTTTGGGGAGGAGGACCACAGAGGTAAAGTGCATCTCTCATCATATCAAGGGAACATGCTATCAATATGACTATCACTGTTGATATTAACCTTGATTGGCTGGCTTTAGCTAGTGCTTTCAGGTTTCTCCCATGTAAAGTTACTCTTTTTACCCCCTTCTTATACATGCTTTATTCTATTATAGGGAGTTGTGTTCCCCTCCGTGAGGGCTATCTACATAAATTATTTAGAATTCTTTTGCATGAAAGGTATTTCTCTTCTTCCCCATTTATTTATTTAGTGATTTACTTAAAGCAGAATGGGCTTGTGGATATTTGTTTTATACTTTAGGTTATAATGGAATACTACTGTTTTGTTTTGTTTTTTGGCTCAAATTGTTTCACCTTTGGCCATTGGGAATTCTTTCAGTAGACTCCTGTATCCCTTTGACTTAACCCCAGTCGTTGTGCAGGGAGGTTGTATGTTCATTCATTAGAGCACTTTCTTCTTTTAAATTCTTACCCAAGGACCAAGGATATTTTTTCCATTTATCTTCAGATACAGTGGGAGGGAGGGAGAGAGAGAGAGAGAGAGAGGGAGGGAGAAAAAGGGAGGGAGGGAGAGAGAGGGAGGGAGGGAGGGAGAGAGACACATCGATTGGCTGCCTCCCGCATGACCCTGACCTGGGTCAGGGACCACACCACAACCGAGCTTCGTGCCCTTGACTGGAATCCAATCTGCAACTCTTTGGTCTTTGGGCCGACACTCCAACCACTGAGCCAAACCAGCTAGGGCTAGAGCACTTACTTACTTTCCAGTAATACAAGATCCTCCAAGCTCATATTGTATATTTTCTGTCTCACTCCTAGAATTAGCCATTTTGCCAGGAGCCCTGGGTCCTTTTATTGGATAATGGTATTAAAAACCAATTCTAGGTGGTAGCTGTGCTCATTGCTCCTGGATGCCATTTGGTTATTTGCTTGCTGTGAAAGTCCTTTGCCACCAGTCACACTCCTATACCCCCATGGATGTGAACACTATCATTTGCCTCTCCTATGTCTGAGAAATACCTTCTGATAAACCAGACAGTTTTGTATGCTGTTTACACATTAATTTTAACAATTAATCCTCAAATATCCCTGTGAGGTGGATACTATTACTATCCTTATTTGAGGATTTTGTCCAGATGGCCAAATATCACAGCTAATTGGAGTTATGGAATGGAACTTCGGACCAAGTTTAGGACTGGCAGTGAAATCTTGACGATCTCGGATGGTGGAAAACTTGAAAGCGACAAAATACAGGGGCCCCTGAAGGGGAAATGTTGGCTGAGCACTAGGAGAGTAGTGCCAGAAAGCCCTGAAAATTCAGTACTTCTGAATCATTTCAGTTTGATAGCATTGTTTGGTATCTGTTTCAGCTCCCTGGCACAGCAAATAAGCAGTTATTTTCCAAACCAATTTTCCGATCATTGTGTTGTTGCCTCTCAGTTTTCCATTGTGCAGTTGCTCTGATCTCTCTAAAGGCATAACTGTGACATTTCTGTTTTCCTCAACTCTATGGTCTGTACAGACGTAAAAAGAGTCTGAAAATAGTTAACTCCAGCCTGTTAACACTGATTCCTTCTGTGGAGTAGGATTGGGTTAGGCTCTAATTCTTCAGGAACTTTGGTGATGATTGCTTTTTTTTTATCCTCACCCAAGGACATTTTTTCTTTTTTTGTTCAGATAGAGTGGAAAGGAGAGAGAGGAAGAGAGAGAGAGAAACATCGATGTGAAAGGGAAACATCGAGTGGCTGCCACCCGCATGACCCAACCAGGGCCTGGGACAAACTGCGACCGAGTTACATGCCCTTAGCGGGAACCGAACCCAGGTCTCTCCGGACCGCAGGCCAGTGCTCCAACCACTGAGCAAAACCGGCCAGGGCGATGATTGCTTTTTTTTTTTATCCTCACCTGAGGATATTTTTCCATTTTTTGTTCAGAGTGGGAGGGAGAGAGAGAGAGAAACATCAACGTGAAAGGGACACATCGAGTGGCTGCCACCCACACGACCAACCAGGGCCGGGGACAAACTGCAACCGAGGTACGTGCCCTCAGCGGGAACCGAACCCTGGTCTCTCTGGACCGCAGGGCGATGATTGCTTTTTTTTAAAAAAAAAATAACAAACATATAGTACTTTTGAAATGTTAAAACAAAGTTTGTAAGAGTTTTAGGAGTACTGTATTATTTCTATTTGCTTGAGAGACATTCCTCCTTTACAGTTTTATCTTGAATTCCTAGCACCTAGAACAATTGTTGGCACATAGTAGGTGCTTGGTAACATTTGTGGAGTGAATGAATTGTATTTTTTGTATCATAGATGCACCAACTGCTTTGACTGTCCTGGCTGCATGCACACCCTCTCCACCCGGGCCACAAGTATCTCCACACAGCTTCCAGATGACCCAGCCAAGACCACCATGAAGAAAGCCTATTATCTGGCTTGTGGATTTTGTCGCTGGACATCTAGAGATGTGGGCATGGCAGACAAATCTGTGGGTGAGTGAGGTAGCTTTTGTGAAATTAGTGTGGTAGTTGGCTACAGATTATTATTATTTGTTACCCGTTGGGCAGTAGGAGCTCAATTTAGAGTATACTGTCATCAAATCTTCCGCATTCCCTAATTCTCACATTTAGAGACAATATTTCATCTGAAACTAGGTTAACTATTTAGTTTTCTTGGAGCTGGTAAAATAGCTTTTATAAATCTGACTTCTTAGAGTCAAAATATTGATGCTCTTCATAAAATATGAGTGCTCCTGATGGCAAACTACACCATGAACAAAGCTAAAAATAAAAATGACATATTAAGAAAAATATTTGGATCATATACAACAGACTAAAGATAAATAATAAAAAATGAGGAATCCTTATAAATCAATAAGAAAGAGATTTAATAGAAAATTAGGCAAAATATATGGACAGCAGCTCTCAGAGTGGAAATAAAAATGGTCACTAACTAAAATGTGCACAATGACGGGGCTACAGTAGGATTAAAATGATATCTGTCTTCACCCCACACTCATTTTTATTCTCCCAATTCTCACCTGAGGACATGTTCATTGAATTTTAGAGAGAGGAAGGAGGAGAGAGAGAAGCATCAGTGTGAGAGAGAAACATCGATTGGTTGCCTCTTGTATGCACCCCAACCAGGGACTGAATTTGTAACCTGGGTATGTGCCCTGATCGGGAATCAAACCTTCGACCTTTTGGTGTACGGGACGATGCTCCAACCAACATCCACACCGGCCAGGGCTTTATTCCACATTCTTACGTAGCCTTGCAGATTCCATGGACAGACCCTAACCTTTTTTGAAATCATAACTCACATCCCACCCTCTCATGTTTTCCTCCTCTCAAATTTTATAGATCTCTTTCTTTGAATATCATAAATTGCCTTGTACTGTTAATATTGTTTATATGTGAATTTTTCAAGTGTTTTCAACTCTAGTATGAATTCTTCATTTAGTTTTCATTGTCCAGTTGATTAGATTTCTGTTTTCACACACAACTTGGTGAGGCATTATTTTTAAAAAATATGCAGAAAGATATGTTCATCTTTACTAGTAATCAAAGAAATGCAAATAAAAACATTGATTTGGTAAAATTTTTTATATCTGGTAATAATCAAGTGTTGGCAAGAATATGGGAAAATAGTTCTTTCATACACTGCCTCCTTGAAGAGCACTTTAACAACACCTATTAAAATTTTAAATTGCTTTTTCCCTTCTGCCCAGCAATTCCATGTCCCAAGTTTCTATCCTAGAGCTTCTAACCTAGTCAATGGTTCATGTATGTCTATACATATGTATATGTGTATATATACACACAAACGTGTGTATTTGCACATGTATATATAAAATATTTATCAGTGAAACAGAAAAATTATGTGTGTTTGGACTTAAAGACTACAAGGCATTAATTACTTGTCCATCATTTGAGCATTTCAGAGTGGAGATTGCAGTTATCTTTAAACTTCCTTTATTTTTACATTTTCTATACTTCATGGTTAACATCAGAAAGTAGAAACACTCTTTATACAGTCAGTTCAAAATCTTTAGTTTCTTTTCCCTGGCCAGTGTGCTCAGTGGTTAGAGTGTCAGCCCATGGACCAAAGGGTCTCAGGTTTGATTCCCGGTTAAGGTCACATACCTGGGTTGCAGGTTCGATCCCCAGCCCCTGTCACAGTTTGTGTAGGAGGCAACTAATGGATGTGTATCTCTTACGTCAATGTTTCTCTCTCTTCCCCCCCCCCTCCACTCTCTCTGAAAATCATTGGGAAAAAAGTCATCAGGTGAGGATTAACAACAAAACAATATGGTGTTGCTATTTATTTTTTATATAAACAGTAGCATTGCTAACTCTCCATTGTTTTTTTTCTTTCTGAAATTACATTTAATTATCTGAAAAGTTTAGACTTTAAAAATTCCCATTTTTGGATTTTCATAAAAATTTTTAGCTTACTAATATATGAGGAAGCTCCTAACAAACTAATGTCATTTGACATAACTAAAATGAAGATGGACTGTTCTTACACATTTGGGGAGTAAATGTGGATGACGTTTCTTTAGATTCAACTCTGTTCTTAAACATTTAATCTCTGATTCTGTTTTCTTTGCCTCCTGGTGTAGAATACTTGAGCTCTTGGTTGTTTTCCTGACTTTGTACTTCCCGTTGACAAAATATTCTTCAAAAACAAAAAAATTAAACAAGTATATCTTAATTCCTTAAAAATGTTCCTTGTTGGGTAGATATTTCCTGAAATGTGATTTATATTAGAATGATTCCATAGCATCTTTTTAAATTTTGAGTAAATATTTGTGTGTATGTTTTAATTTCAGTGTAGCAAGCAAGTTGTTTGAATTTGTTTATGAATTTAAGTTAAATGTAAAAAAAAAAATACCCTCACCTAAAGTAGTGTAGTATATTCCTCAGTGAGTTAAAGTGTATTTTTCCATGTTTGAATTCTCTTTTTAGCAAATTAAAGAAACAAAGTTTACAAATCCAAATAGTTTTCTCAGTTTGTTCCTCTGTAATTGAATTGTGTATGCCTTTTGAATTATGAGCCATTAAGATTAGAGAATTTTTAAAAAATATTTTTATTGATATTTTAGAGAGAGCGTAAGGGAGAGGGAGATAGAAATATCGATGTGAGAGAGACACATCCATCAGCTGCCTCCTGCATGCGCCCCCACTGGGGATCAAGCCTGCAACCTTGGCATGTACCTGAGCAGGAATCGAATTGGGGACCTCTCAGTCCATAGGATGATGCTCAGTCCACAGAGCCACACCAGCTGGGCAAGATTAGATAATTTTTATTTTATTGTATTTATTTACTTATTTATTTATTTACATTTAATTAATTAATTAATTTTTGTTACAGATGTTTCTCCTTTTTCCCCCCACTTATACCTCCTCCCCCTCCCTCCCCTCCCTGTCCTCAGCTTTGTTGTCCATGTCCATTGTTCATGCATATAAGTTCTGTGGTTTATCTCTCCCCCACCACCCCCTCTTCTGGGGATTGTCAGTCTGTACCCCACTTCCACATCTCTGGGACTACCCTGTTCCTCAGACTGTTATGTTCATTATATTCCACAAATAAGTGAGATCGTGGGCTATTTGTCTTTCTCTGCTTGACTTGTTTCGCTTAGGATAATACTCTCCAGGTCCCTCCATGTCATCTCAAAGGATAAGAGCTCTTTCTTTCTTACAGCTGCATAGTACTCCATTGTGTATATGTACCACAGCTTTTTTATCCATTCGTCTACTGATGGACATTTGGGCTGTTTCCAGATCTTAGCTATTGTAAATAGTGCTGCTATGAACATGGGGGTACATATATTCTTTCTGATTGGTGTTTCAGGCCTCTTAGGTATATTCCTAGAAGTGGATCTCTGGGTCAAATGGCAGTTCAATTTTTAATTTTTTGAGGTAGCACCATATTGTTTCCCATAGTGGCTACACCAGTCTGCATTCCCACCAGCAGTGTACTAGAGTCCCTCTTTCTCCACATCCTCGCCAACACTTGTTGTTTGATGATTTGTTGATGGTGGCCATTCTGACAGGTGTGAGGTGATACTTCATTGTTGTTTTAATTTGCATCTCTCTGATGATTAGTGATTTTGAGCATTTCTTCATATGTCTCTTAGCCATTTGTATGTCCTGTTTGAGGAGGTGTCTATTTTGTTCCTCTGCCCATTTTTTAATTGGGTTCTTTGTCTTCCTTTTGTTGAGTTGTATGAGCACTCTATATATATTGGATCTTAACCCCTTATCTGATGTATCTTTGGCAATGATGCTCTCCCATAGAGTAGCTTGCCTTTCCGTTTTGGTGGTTGTTTCTTTTGCTGTGCAGAAGCTTTTGAGTTTGATGTAAGTCCCATGTGATCATTTTCTCCTTTGTTTCTGTTGCCTTAGGTGATGTATCAGTGAACATTCTGCTGCATATGATGTCTGAAATTTTGTTGCCTACATTTTCTTCTAGGCTTTTTATGGATTAATGAGTTACATTTAAGTCTTTAATCCATTTTGAGTTTATTCTTGTGTATGGTATAAGTTGATAGTCTAGTTTCATTGATAATTTTTATTTTAGAACTTAAAACCTGTGCTTGCACCGTGGCCACTTGCTCAGTGGTTAGAGCATTGGCCTGAGGACCGAAAGGTCTCAGGTTCGATTCCTGGTCAAGGGCACCTATCTGGGTTGCACGTTCCATCCCTGGCCCCTGTTGGGGTCATGTGGGAGGCAACCAATAGATGTATCTCTCTCATGTCAATGTTTCTGTCTGTCTGTCTGTCTGTCTCTCTTTCCCCCTCCCAGTCTATCTGAGGAAAAATGGAAAAATATCCTCTGGTGAGGATTAACAAAAAAAAAGAAGAAGAAAGGAAAAATAAAAAACAACCTGTGTGTGCTTGCTTCTAGAAATCTCTGTCTTCTAGGATATCTTGATATTAATGATTGAATTCCAGGAGCTCTTAAAAGAGTACAGATAAATTCAGTTTTCCATGACGTCATTGGTGTCTGAGGAGCTCTGAACCACTTTCGTTGGAACTACTTGTTTATAAGTGAGCCATTGTGTCAGTAATGTGCAGAGAAAAGCTTATAATTACATCGTATGTCTCCCAAATCGCTGTTTAGAATAAATTACCAGTTCTAAAGAAGCAATTAGGTAGAACATTAAGATTTTTAAAAACATTTCTTTTACGTAATTATTTTTCATGATTGCCTTAAATAGGCAACCTTTAAGATGTGAGTAATGTATTAAAAGATGTTATTGCTGCCATTTCATGCAAGGGACTATAGTGACACCTTCAGCAAGAGTCCTTTTTGTTTTGAAAAATAGTTATTTTAGCCCTGGCCAGTTTGGCTCAGCGGTTAGAGCGTCGGCCTGCGGTCCGGAGAGACCCGGGTTCGGTTCCCGCTAAGGGCACGTACCTCGGTTGCAGTTTGTCCCCGGCCCTGGTTGGTCGTGCGGGTGGCAGCCACTCGATGTGTCCCTTCACGTCGATGTTTCTCACTCTCTCTCCCTTCCTCTCTCTCCCTCCCACTCTATCTGTACAAAAAATGGAAAAATGTCCTCGGGTGAGGATAAAAAAAAAAAACTTATACAAGTAATACACATTCACGTATTTATCCCTCAGCTTGAGAATGTTCATATAACCAAAACAGTTTAAACCCCTTATGTCACCTTTCCCTGCCACACCTCCCTTCCCCTGCCTCCTAGGGAGGTAATCGTCATGATCCGGAATCCAGTGTTTATCAGTGTCCATGCATGTCTTTTATTTCTCCACATATGTATGTAGCCACTAGCAAAAATGTTTTTCAGTGTGAAACAAATGGAAACCTACTGTGTGTATCCTGCTGCAGCTTTTCTCTGTTGACACTGTATTTATGATAGTTGATTTCATGTATGACTTACTGTAGTTTTCTTAGCCACTTCTTAATGGACATTTAGGTTGTCAGTATTTTCCTTTCACACCCGGCCGGTATGGCTCAGTGGATGAGCATCGACCCATGCCCCAAGAGGTCCCCGGTTTGATTCCCAGTCAGGGCACATGCCCAAGTTGGGGGGCATGCAGGAGGTGGCCTAAATATATATATATATATATTTATATATTTATATGTTTATATTTATATATTTATATGTTTATATATATATATATTTATATGTTTATATATATATATAGAGAGAGACAGACAGACAGACAGACAGACATTGATTGGTTACCTCCTGCACTTGCCCTGACTCTGGGCCAGGGAGCCATCCTACAACCCAGGTATGTGCCCTTGACTGGGAATTGAACCCACAACCTTTTGGTGTATGGGCCGATGTTTTAACTACTGAGTCACACTGGCCAGGGTTAAACTTACATTATTTTTGACAAATGTGTAAACTCATATAGCTGCCACCACAATCATGTGACAGAAAAATTCCATGTGACCCCAGAAAGTTTCCTCATGCCTCTTTGCAGTCAGCTCCTTCCCCTGATTGACCTCCTGTTTCCTGACCCACTGATAGGCTTTCTATCACTGTAATTTTGCCTATACTTTGTTTATATAATTGGAGTCTTGTAGTACATAGTCTTTTGTGTCTATCTTCTTTCATTTAGCATAATACTTTTGAGGTTCCCATATATTTGCTTTTTATTGTTGAGTAGTGTATCTGTTGTGTGGATATACCACAGTTTGTTTAGTCATTCTCCAGTTGATGGACATTTGGGGTTTTTCCAGTTGTTGTCTCATGAATAAAACTGCTATGAACATTTGCCTACAAGGCTCAGTGGATATGTTTTTATTGTTCTTTTATTTATTTATTTTTATTTTATTTTGGTACGTGCCCCTAGCGGGAACAGAACCTGGGACTCTCTGTTCCACAGGCTGATGCTCCAACCGCTGAGCCAAACTGCCCAGGGCTGTTTTCATTTTTCTTGTGTAATTATTTAGGAGCGGAATTGCTAGGTTATAGGATGAGTGTATGTTTAACAGCTAGAAACTGCCAAACTATTTTCCCAAGTGGCTCTACCATTTGGATCCTCACCAGCAATGTAAGGAGAATTCCAGTTCTTAAACAACCCTTTGTATTGTCAGTCTTTTTCATTTTAGCCATTCTAATGTGTGTAGAACTACCTCCTTGTAGTTTTAATTTGCATTTTCTTATTTTTTTTTTTTTCCTCACCTGAGGACATTTTTCTATTTTTTTTTTTGTTCAGGTAGAGTGGGAGGGAGAGAGAGGAACACACAGAGAGAGAGAAATATTGATATGAAAGGAACATATCGAGTGGCTGCCACCCACACGACCGACCAGGGCTGGAGACAAACTGCAACCGAGGTACATGCCCTTAGCAGGAACCGAACCCGGGTCTCTCCGGGCCGCAGGCCGACGCTCTAACCGCTGAGCCAAACCAGCCAGGGCTGCATTTTCTTAATGTGCTTATTTGCCATCCATATGTTTTCTTTGGTGAAATATTTGTACAAATCTTTTGCCTATTTTTTTTTTTTTTTTATCCTCACCTGAGGACATTTTCCCATTTTTTTGTTCAGGTAGAGTGGGAGGGAGAGAGGGGAACAGAGAGAGAGAGAAACATCGATGTGAAAGGAACACATCGAGTGGCTGCCACCCGCACGACCGACCAGGGCTGGGGACAAACTGCAACCGAGGTACGCGCCCTTAGCGGGAACCGAACCCGGGTCTCTCAGGACCGTAGGCCGACGCTCTAACTAACCGCTGAGCCAAAGCGGCCAGGGCTCTTTTGCCTATTTTTGAACTGAGCTTTTGTCTTTTTATTGAGTTGTAACAGTTATGTATTCTGGATACAAGTCCTTCATGCAATATATGTTTTGCAAATATTTTCTCTCAGTTTGTGGCTTGCCTTTTTTTCTCATCAGTGTCTTTTGAAGAACACGTTTCTAATTTTGCCAAGGTTCAATTTATCAAATTTTTACTTTATAGTTTGTGTCTTTTGTATACTAGTGAAGAAACTTAGGCTAACCTAAGGTCACTAAGATCTTCACTGATGTTTTCTTATAGAAAGATTATATTTCACCCCGGCTGGTTTGGCTTAGCAGTTAGAGCATCAGCCTGTGTACTGAAAGGTCGTGGGTTTGATTCCAGTCAAGGGCACATACCTGGGTTGCAGGTTTGAAGGTTTGATCCCTGGCCCTGGTCAGGGTTGTGTGGGAGGCAACCAATTGATGTGTTTCTCTCGCATTGGTGTTTTCTCTCTCTTTCTCCCTCTCTCTTTTCCACTCTATCTAAAAATCAATGGAAAAATATCCTCAGGTGACAATTAAAAAAAAAATTATAGTTTTAGCTCTTACATGTACATCTATTGTCCGTTTCAGGGTAAGTTTTGAATGTGTTGTGAGGTAGGGTAGAGGTACCTTTTGTTTTGTTTTTTTTATCCTCACCCGAGGACATTTTTCCATTTTTTGTTCAGATAGAGTGGGAGGGAGAGAGAGGAACAGAGAGAGAGAGAGAAACATCGACGTGAAAGGGACACATCGAGTGGCTGCCACCCGCACGACCGACCAGGGCCGGGAACAAACTGCAACCGAGGTACACGCCCTTAGCGGGAACCGAACCCGGGTCTCTCAGGACCGCAGGCCAACACTCTAACCGCTGAGCCAAACCGGCCAGGGCGAGGTTCCTTTTTTTTTTTTTTTTATCCTCACCCAAGGACATTTCTGCATTTATCTTCAGATAGAGCAGAAGGGAGAAAGAGAGAGAGAGAGAAAAACATCTATGTGAGAGAGACACATCAAGTGGCTGCCACCCACACGACCCCAACCGGGGCTGAGGACAAAGTGCAACCGAGGTACATGCCCTTAGCGGGAACCGAACCCGGGACTCTTCGGTCCGCAGGCCAGTGCTCTAACCGCTGAGCCAAACCAGCCAGGACTAGAGGTTCCTTTTTTGTAGATGGGTATCCAGCTGTTGCAGTACCGGTTGTTGAAGGTATTCATTATGGCCTTACTTCTAGCTTTCTAGATAGTCTTTTTCCTTTATGATTTGTGCTGTGTGTTTTTTATGTAAGAAAGTATTTAACAAACCAGAGTCATAAAACATAGAAATCACACAGTGTTGCAGATAAGAACAGGGTCTCTGGAGTTAGAATTTGAATCCTGGCTTTACCACTTACTTATCTGTGTGACTTTGGGCAAGTTATTTAACTCTCTGAGCCTTGATTTCCTCATTTGTGGAATAAGCTAATAATGAGTCCCTACCTCACAGAGAATAAAATGAAATGCAATACATTTCAGGTGCCTGGCACAGAAGCTTGTGTTAGCTGTGGTGGTGATCATTATCCCATGGTTATATTTAAAGAAAAAATTTTATTCTGAGCATTCTGGTCTATATAATTTCTAAGACTCTGTCTTAGAAGTTCTGTGATTTTATGTTTTTCAATTTTATTTTGTGGCCTGCAGATTACCTATTTTTGTGAAAATAAAATTCTTTTTAATGTTTCTTTATTTTACAGCTACTGGTGGCTGGCAGGAACCTGAAAATCCTCACACTCAACGGGTAAGGGTCATTAGAGAGAGGATGAAACAAGAAAAGATGGGGAGAAAGACTGAAGATTGTCCATTTTATCAGTGGATATGGCCTGTGCTTAGAAATCCATGATGTGTATTTTGGTGTCTGTTACACAGTGTTTCTCATTGTAAGACATTAAATCACAATGGCAGATTTTCCCCATTAAGCCAATAGAAAAACCTAGGTATAGTTTTAGTTCTGTACTCACGTTGTGAATTGGAAAAAGAAAAGTACATGTTTTTGTTTTTCACATACCCACCAACTAAGTTGCGGTTCCATTTGTTCTCAGATACTCTTAGAAGTATCATCAACATATAGACATCTTAACTCCTGGAAACACCACTAATTTAGAAGGTGCCCTTTGACTTAACAGTGGTTGCTTCTAGAATTGTGACTGGAGCATCCTTTGACAGTTCACAGAGAATTGATATCTGTAGTATACATTAGAGCTCATTATTTTTGCCCCTGGAACTAGAATGTGAGGAAGATAATGAAATACTATTGAAATGAAGTATGTATGTACAAACTGAAAATTAAACCACAATTTGTAATTATCCACTTATGACATCAGCAAAAATTAGAAATACTGAAAATATCCTGGATGATGATGTGGGGATTTGGACCTTTTTACATATACTATTGTTAGTGTAAATTAGTACAAATTTCTAGAGCTCTCAGCTATTTACTTCCTGGACTCTGACCTACAGAAATAAGTACATTTATGTACAAAATATATATATACATTTATCATATGTTTATCAAGCACTTATAATGTGCTGGGGAATGTCCTGACAAATATGGATACATAGTCCCTATCTCCACAGAGCTTAAGTCTAATGGGAAAACAAAATCTATCAAGTAATCCCCACGTAGAGGGAAAACTAAGTAATGTGAAGGAGAGAGAGTGTGCCATGTGGACATGTATTAGGGGGAAGTTCAGCTAGTTTGGTCCATTTCTGAGGATGTTGCTAAGATTTGAGGACAGAGGCACAGGTAGGGAAGCATTCAAGGCAGGGGAACACCATGTGCAAGCAGCTTATAAGGGGAAGAAGCAAAGCAAATTGTAGACAAGGTGAGTGCGACGAGTGGAGCATTACATCGAGCAGCTGGAGAGAAGTATTTGCTGTCAGACCATGAAGGACCATGTAGACCAAGTTAAGGAGTCCAAGAAGCCTTTAAAGGTTTTAAGCAAAGACCCAACAGGATTAGGTTAGTGTTTCTAAAACATAATTGTTACTGAATTGAGAGGACAAGCATGGGTACCAAGAAACCATTAAGTCCTATCATAGGAAATGGTTAAATACCTGATAGGATATCTGTATTGTATAATAAGATGCAGCCTTTAAAAAGAATGAGGTAGATGTATTTGTACTGAATGGGAAGTTTATGATATGTTCAGTGGAAAAGAATGTTTTAAGTCTTTATCTTATATGAAAAATACAAAGACCTGTATTTATTTTTATACATATAAAAGCTGTGTGTCTATACATGAGTTTTTTTTAATGTATGCAAAATTTAATATCATACCTGTGCCTATAAATATGTAAGAAAGAAATCTAATAGGGGATATCTCTGGTGAGAGTCAGATAGATTTAGGCACAGGAGGTAAAAGAGAAATTTCACTTATTTTTTATGTTTGTGTATTGTTTGAACTTAAAAAATTAACATTTTTATTATCAAAATTAACATGTTTATTGTTAAAATATATTTAAAAAATTAAAATGTATGATGGAGTTGGGGAGAAAATAGAGTATGAAATGTCACATTCTTAGAAATACATGGTTCTGTGGCCATGCAGAAAAAATTGGAGCGTTTGTGAGGGAAATTAAGTACTGACGTGAAAGAGCAGTTCCGAGAGAGCATGACATTTCCCAGCCTTCTCATTGCCCATTTCTTCCTGTTGTTGACCTTGAGGGTTCCATTTCAGTTCCAAAATAGATCACGTAATGAAGATAAATTTTCTTTGAAGAAAAGGGCAAACCTGCCACCTTGATAATTTGTCTTCTCTGTTTATTATGTGTCTAGTCAGTGTAGTTGATTAATTTCATATGTTTCCTGTTAGCTTTTTTGTGAAACAAATACTGAGTCTGATTTTTTTACAGATGAACAAACTGATTGAATATTACCAGCAGCTTGCTCAGAAAGAGAAGGTTGAACGAGATCGCAAGAAACTGGCGCGGCGTAGAAACTATATGCCTTTGGCTTTTTCGGTGAGACCGTAGGACAGAAAGCAGTTTGCGGTTCATTGATCAAGATCTTTGTGGCGTAAGAACAGTGACTATTTCAGAAAGTGGCCGTTGTCCCTGGGTTCCTGAAGGATGAGTAACAAAGAAAGGTTCCTCAGATTATAGGTCTTTAAGTTCAGCAGTTACTGCTTTTACCACATCATTAGTTCTCTGAGTTTTAAGGATATTTGTGTTTCTTTCTTCATCACTCCCCTTTCTCTTCTGATTATTTTCCAAACAGGCTAGTGTTTGGTTCTGTAGGCACAACAGAACTGTTACAGCTTTTGGATATTACAAAATTCAGAAGTGGTAGATTTTTATTCATATTACCATATAGCCCAGCTTTGACATCCTGGTGGTAGTGGTTTTCCTGCTCTAGTTATAATTTGGGGGGGCACCTTCCTATATTTTTTCATAATAAAAAATGCTGACTTTTACACAGTATATTTATGTATTTAAAAAAATAGCAATATGGGGGGGAAGGGGGTCATCTGTAATACTTTCAACAACAAAAAAAAGCCCAAAAACAAAATAAATAGTAATATACACAAATGTAATTTTTGATGGGAAGTGTTTATGGGAGTCATTCTCTACTAGTCTGTATGATACCAATCAGAAGCAAGAGATTAGGATTTGGAGCTTTTGTTATTGTCCCTGAGTTTTATTTGCTATCACAGAACAATTTGTTTTCTGTGTGCTTGCTTGGAGCCAAGCAGGTTGGCATTTAACGAATACTATTTGTTGAATGGCAGTGAATGTTGTGTCAAGCACTGTGCTAAGCACTTTACACATAGTGTTTTATTTAGTTGTCACAGTAATTCTGTGGAATAGACGGTTTATCCCCATTTTACAGTTGAGCAAATTTTATCTGTGTAGATTAAATAACTGTCATACTGCCTCCACATGAGCGTTGGTTAAGCCATTGAAATCCTAAGAATTGGTAAGGTCCATATAAAAATACCTAGAATTTAATAAAGCATTAAAACTTGCAAAGCATCTACATGGGCTAAAGACTTCAATGAAGTCTTAGTGAGTTTTTCTGCATAGTCCAGTGATACAAACAGCATATGCACTAGTGTTTAGGAGAGGGATTTGAATTAAATGCATCATTCTTCCAACTTTCCCATATAACCTGCCTGCTGTATGAGTTTGCTTCTATCTTATGCTACATTTTTTTTTGTCTTTGTTGCAACCTGCTGCTATTTGGGGGCCTACAGCAACATACTATTCATGTAGTGGTAAGTTCTCTTTTATGGTACTTGCTAACCCTGAAGAAGTTAGCAATGATCACTGGTGTTCCAAGAAGACATTCATCATGTGTCTTAAACACTCCACATAGTTCTGGTCTAAGCCATACTTCAGATACTTTTAGATTACTAGTTTTAAAAAAATCACATTTTGTTCAGTTTTACCATATTAATGTAGTGTCAGTTTCCATGTTTGGTTCTTTTATTATTATTTGAAGAATAAGATGATGTGGGGCTACATTTTTCTTTGAAGGAAGCTTTCAAATCAGTTTGTTTTAGTTTTTGTTTGCTTGTTTTTTGCTTATTTCCCTGAGCTTCTCATGCTGTCCCACCCAAATTCTTTCTTTTGATAAGTAGGGTGTTTAAAGGTAGAATTTCTAAACAGAATTTCTAAACTCTGTTTAGGACAAGTATGGTCTTGGAACCAGGCTTCAGCGACCACGAGCTGGTGCAACCATCAGTACCCTTGCTGGACTTTCGTAAGTTTGGACATTAAGTGCCTTTGAAGGAAAAAAGCAGGTATCAAACTGAATATTGAGGGAATGTGATCTTTAAATAAATAAATACATAAATAAGAGTTTCCAATGGTGACAAAGATTCTCATACTTAGAAGAGACCTAAACAGAAAGAATATTCTACAGTAGAGGAATACTTCAATTTTTTTTTTTTTTTTATCCTCACCCTAGGACATTTTTGCATTTATCTTCAGATAGAGTGGGAGGGGAAAAGGGAGGAAGAGAAAGAGAGAAACATCGGTGTGAGAGAGACACATCGACTGGTTGCCACCCACATGACCCCAACCGGGGCCAGGGACAAACCGCAACCTAGGTACGTGCCTAGCGGAAACCGAACCTGGGACTTTCTGGTCCACAGGCCAGTGCCCTAACTGCTGAGCCAAACCGGCCAGGGTAGTACTTCAGTTTTTTATATCATAGACTTTGAGGATAATTGGGTGGACCCTTGAGAAATTACTACTTTTTCTCTTTTAGCCTTAAAGAAGGAGAGGACCAGAAAGAGATAAAGATTGAACCAGCTCAAGCTGTAGATGAAGTGGAACCTCTGCCTGAAGACTATTATACAAGACCAGTCAATTTAACAGAGGGTAATTTTATACTTGATTCTACTTTGTTTATATTTTACAACTAATTCAGCTTTTATTACTCTTATGCTTTGTGCTTTGAGATTTTTAATAGTGTAGTTATTAGTAATAAAATGAATTATGTAGAAAATAAAGTAGATGTAATAGAAGTAAATGTTTGAAAATGTCCAATTCTATATGATAATTTTTTGAAGAACACTATTCACAAAAGCAGTATTGTTTTATGTAATAATTTTGTATAAGTCTGATATTGAGCAAGTCACTAAACTAAGCCTGGTTTCTGCCTTTTGTGCTAGTAACCACCCTTCAGCAGCGCCTCTTACAGCCTGACTTCCAACCAATCTGTGCTTCTCAGCTCTATCCTCGTCACAAACATCTTCTGATCAAACGGTCCCTGCGTTGCCGGGTAAGGATTGCATTCTGTGGAGTTGCTGTTTGTACCAGGGAAAAGCAAAAATAAAGTAAACGTGATTGGGTCTGGCCAATATCAAATCTCTGGAATGTAGTAAATATAGAGAATGCACAGGTGTCCAGGCACTATTTTAAATGTTTACAACATAAACTCAATCCTCACAATTCTGTGAGGTAGGTACTATTATTACCCCTATTCACAGATGTGGAAACCGAAGTATCTGAAGTTTATAGTACTGACCCCTAAAAGAATAGTGAAAGAATATATAACTATTAGTTTAGTAGAGAGGAAACAAAGAGAACTAATAAAAAATAATCAATTTAAAATAAAGAAAGAAGAAAAATTAGCAAGATCCAGGCTCTGGACATCCATAGAAGAAACAACAGAGGTACTTCAATAAATAAATTATAAAAGAAAAAGAATAAAAGGAAACCTTTTAGATCAGACCTATCCAACAGAACTTCCTGTGATAATGAAAATATTCAGTATCACACAGTCCGACATGGTTGCCACTAGTCGCATATGGCTGCTGAGCACTTGAAATGTGATAGTACAACTGGGTGACTGAATCTTCCATCTTTTATTTTTTATTTTTATTGATTTTCTTTTTTTCTTTTTAGAGACGGGGGAAGGGAAAGGGAGGGAGGGACAGAAACATGGATGTGAGAGAGAAGCATCAATCGGCTTGCCTCCTGCATGCCCTCTAGTGGTGATGGAGCCTGCAACCTGGGCACATGCCCTGACCTGGAATCAAACCACACCTCTCAGTCCACGGGATGACGCTCAATCCACTGAGCCACACTGGCCAGCTGAATCTTTCATCTTAATTCATTTAAATAACCATATATGAATAGTGTCTACTGTTATCAAATAACACTGTGTGAGATTAGAAGAGACTTAAGAGGCATATCAAACACTGTGTGTCGACTTTAATTCCTGATTTAAACAAAACAGAAAAAAGAAGGGGGCCAGAAAAGAAGGGAGGAAGGGGAAGAATGAGGAAGGAAAAAAAATGTATGAAACCTTTGGGGAAATTTAAATACTGTATTTTTGTATGCTTTAAATACTGTATTTTTGTATGCTATTGAATTATTCGTTTTTTAGGAATAATATTGGTATTGTTATATATATTTTTAATATTCTTACTGGAGGATATGTTTATTGATTTTAGAGAGATAAACTCTCTAAAATAGATATGTTTATTGATAGAGAGAGAAACATTGCTGTGAGAGAGAAACAGATCAGTTGCCCCCTATACAGTACATGTCCCAGCTGGGGATAGGACCCACAACCTAGATATGTGCCCTGACCGGGAATTGAACCTGAAACCTTTTGGTGTATGGGACGATACTCCAACCAACTGAGACACCTGGCCAGGGTGTGTTAATTACTTTAAAAAATATCTTTATACCCTGGCCAGTTTGGCTCAGCAGTTGGAACGTTGGCCTTCAGACCGGAGAGTCTGGGTTCGGTTCCCACTAAGGGCATGTACCTCGGTTGCAGTTTGTCCCTGGCCCCGGTTGGGGTCGTGTGGGTCTCTCTCAATGTGTCTCTCTCACATTGATGTTTCTCTCTCTCTTTTCCTCCTTCTCTCCCTCTGCTCTATCTGAAAATAAATGCAAAAGTGTCCTCGAGTGAGGATAAAAAAAAAAAAATCTTTGTATTTTAGAGATACATAAGAAAATATTTATGAATGAGATGACGTAATGTCTGAATTTGTTTCAAAATAATCAAGCATGGGGAATGGATTAGAATGTAGATTAAATAAGATTGGCTATTATTGCTAACAAATTGCTAATTATTGAAGTTGGGTAATGGAAAATTTCTATAATTTAAATTATTTTTAAAAGAAAGGAAAAGTCTACTTTAAATATAAAGTCACATATGGATTAAAAGTAAATGAGTGGTGCCCTGGCCGGTTTGGCTCAGCAGTTAGAGTGTCGGCCTGCGGTCCTGAGAGACCCGGGTTCGGTTCCCACTAAGGGCGCGTACCTCCGTTGCAGTTTGTCCCCGGCCCTGGTCGGTTGTGCGGGTGGCAGCCACTCGATGTGTTCCTTTCACATCGATGTTTTTCTCTCTCTCTCTGTTCCTCTCTCTCCCTCCCACTCTACCTGAACAAAAAATGGAAAAATGTCCTCGGGTGAGGATTAAAAAAAAAAAAAAAAAAGTAAATGAATGGAGCCCTAGCCAGGTGCTTCAGTTGGTTGGAACGTTGTCCCACACACCAGAAGGCTGCAGGTTTGATTCCTGGTAAGAGCACATGCCTAGGTTTCAGGTTCAATCTCTGGTTAGAGTGCATACGGGAGGCAACCAATTGATTGATGTTTCTCTATCAGTGTCTCTCTCTCTCTCAAAAAAAAAGTTAAATAAAATTAAAAATAAAAATCAATAAAACATATCCTCAGGTGAGTATTAAAAATAAATAAGTGGAGAAAAATATACCATGCTAACACTAATGAAAAGAAAGCAAGGGTTCTTTCTTTTCATTAGTGTTAATTTCAGACAGATCAGATTTCAAAGTAAGGACAGACAATTATCAGGGAAAAAGAAGGGCATTACTAATGGAAAACAGTTCTCCAAGAGGATAAAACAATGCTTAATGTGTATGTGCCTAAAAATAGTGTCAAACTATATGAGGCAGAAACTGATAGAACTGCAAGGTAAATTTACTATCATAGTTGGAGACTCCCACACCCCTCTCTTACACATGGACAGATACAGCATACAAAAAATCAGTAAGGACATAGTTGAACTTGGTCATGTCATATCCATCAATTGCTAAATATAATTATTTAAAAGAACAGAAATCAGTCCTGGCCGGGTGACTTGGTTGGAGCATCACCCCATGTACTGAAAGGTTACAGGTTCTTCGTGTGGAAGGCAACCAATTGATGTTTCTTTCCCTCACTCCCTCTCTCAAAAAAAATCAATAAAAAAACAATCACTACCATATCCTCGGGTAAGGATTTAAAAAAAAAGAAAGAAATCGATTGCTCTCAAATTAAAATAGAATTAAACTAGAAATTAATAACAAGATTACTAGAAAATTTCCAAATATGTGTAGATTAATAAACAACACACTTCTGAATAACACATAGGTCAAAGAAGAAATCTTAAGAGATATTTTAAAATATTTTGAACTAAATGAGAATGAATGAAAACACAACTTATCAAAATTTGTGGGATGAAGTGAAAGCAGTGGTTAGAGGGATTTGTAGCACTGAAGGTATAAATTAGAAGAAAGATCTAAAATCACTACGCTTCCGCCCTGGCCTGTTTGGCGCAGCGGTAGGAGCATCGGCCCGCACACCAGAGAGACCCGGGTTCAGTTCCCGCTAAGAGCACGTACCTCGGTTGCAGTTTGTCCCCGGCCCTGGTTGGTTGTGCGGGTGGCAGCCACTTGATGTGTCCCTTTCACATCGATGTTTCTCTCTCTCTCTCTCTGTTCCTCTCTCTCCCTCCCACTCTACCTGAACAAAAAAATGGAAAAATGTCCTCGGGTGAGGATGATAAAAAAAAATTTAAAAAAAAAAGAAAACATGCATATGTTAGATTAAAAGACTATTAGAATAGAGAACGCAGAAAGACTCACACGTGAGGAAACTTGATTTTACTAAATATGGCATTGCAAATCATTGGGGGAAATAGGCCACATGATTATATGGAAAAAATAAACTGTACACAAAAGTGAATTTTAGGAATATTGGGTACTTTAAAGAGTAAATATGGAGAGCAAAACTTCTAAAAAGAAATATGAGAATATCTTAATGATTTTGGGGTAAGGGAATATTTCATAAGCAAGACAAACATAAATTATAAAGGGGAAGAAGTTTTATATTTGACACATTAAGAGTAAAACTTGTACTTCTACTTTAGACAAAACCCACAAAAAATGAAAAGATAGACCATAGACTGAGAAATGTAATTTGTAAGGTATATAATTAACTAAGGATTAGTATGCAGGGTATGTAAAGAACTTAAGCAAATCAGTAAGGAAATGATATCTCAGTATAAAAATAACCTTTAGATACTAACATACAAGTCATGGCAGAGGAAATCCAAAGACCCAGTAAATAGGAAAGATACGCAGACTTACACAATAATCAGGGAAATGTATGTTAAAACTACAGTGAAATACCATTTCATAAGTTATCAGGTTGGCAGAAGTTATCAGTTTGTTAATATCTATCAAAATAACAAATGTGTACCCATTGATCCACTTTTAAGAAATTACATATACATTTACACATGTGAAAAATAATGGATGTATAAGAGTACTTATTGCAGCATTATTTGTAGTAGCAAAATTATGGAAACACCCATCGGTTTGGGTCTGCTTAAAAAAGTCATAGAAATTGATATAGTAGGATACAGAAGCACTTCTCTGTGTGCTGGTATAGAATTCCAAGATAGATTAAGTGGAAAAAAATCAAAGACAGAAGAATGTTCCCTTTTGTGTTACTGTGGAAAAGAAAGTTGATGTATGCGTATACTTTTATGTGTATGGGCTGTCTGAGAAAACACGTGAGAACTGGTTAGCTCTGGGGAGAGGAACAAGGGGACAGGTAATGGGTATCTTTACATTGTACCTTTTTTGTACTGTTAAAACATTTTTTTAACCAGGTGCATGTAGTACCCATTCAAGAAATAAATAAATAGTTGTTACTGTATTTTAAAGCATGAGATCTGGAATCATACTACTTGAATTTAAATCTCAGCTTCAGTTCCTACTGGCTCTGTGAAGTTGCACAGATAATGTATTCTTCCTGTGCCCCATTTTCATCTGTGAAATGGAGATAGTAAGACACCTACCTCATAAATTGATGTGATGTTTAAATCTACTTAAACCAAGAATGTATACCTTTTAGGCTAGTAGAGAGGAAATCAAAAGGCCTAAAAAATAATGTGTAAAAGAAAACAAGAAAGAAGATAAATCAACATTGTTCAGCACCTATAGTAAGTACTCAATATATTAGTTTTATTTCAGTAGTTTTGAAACACTGAAAAGGTATAGTAATATTTGATAGTGTGGTTGCTTATGTCCAGAAGTTCAGAACATCTTTTGTATATTTTGGTTATCTGTAGCATACACTATTTCAAAACATGTGGTCTTACAAAATAAAACAAAACTCAGTAAATACTATCCTTCTTAACTTAGCTCCCATGATCAGCAGAGAGTGGTCTTGTTTTCCTCTGATAAATATTATACATTTTTTTCTTTTTAGAAATGTGAACATAATTTGAGCAAGCCAGAATTTAATCCAACATCTATCAAATTTAAAATTCAGCTGGTTGCTGTGTGAGTATTTTGGGATTGGTGTTTTTGGTTTTTGTTTTCATTGTCAAATGTGCTTACTCTTGGCTTAAACAAGAAAAGAAAAACTACATCAAAATAATCTTGCTGTTCTGTTCCTATTTATACCATGAAGTTCAAGGCAAATCTATAGACAGAATCCAGGGTGTGTTTATATTAGTGACAAAGTGATAGCGTGGTCTCAGGCAGTGTGGTAGGTTGATTATTGGGTGGAGAGTCACTCGTCATTCATGACAGATTATAAAGTACCAAAGTTTGGAAATGATCTTTTAAATATTAAAGTAAAAAAATAACAAGAACAGTATAGCAGATTGAAGAGTATCCCTGTAACAATGTTCATTTTATTTAACTGGGTGATTAAGTTAATGTTAACTCACTGGGACTTGTCAGTAGAAGGAAATTTTTGTGTATGAAAATTACTTGTCAAACAAGAAAAGTATTTTGGAAAATATTGTCTTCTCTTTAGGGTGAGAAAATATGTCCTAAGTAAAGCAGGAAGCTCAGAAGCTACTAAGGAAAATAGATAGCTTTCAACTTAGCAAAAAATATAAAATCAACAACAACAAAGTACCAGTATCTAAAGATTAATAAGGATGTATATTGCAACATTTTGATGACCAAAGCTAGAAGCAATTTCATTGTCAAGCTGATCAAACATTATCAAAGAAATAGTTGATTACATTGAGAAACACTAGTGCTGTAGAATATTATACGGCAATTAAAAAGACACTGGTGCTTTTGGCAGCTATGAAGCTGGGGGCAGATCCTGGCCAGGCAAAGGATGTAGGATCTCCTTCCAGCACTTTGACCCTTCCCTGAAGGCCCTCAATGAAATGGTTTGATCCTAAAAAAAATCACTGGCAGTCCAAAGGTTGAGAAGTGCTGGTCTGGTGAGTTAGGAGGAAGGAACTAAAAGGACTTCATATAGAGCCTGTTACTTACTCTTTATGTCTAAACTTATTTCCTTCATCTCTGAAATGGGAATGCCAGTCTGCCTCCCTCTCAGGGTTGTGAGAAGAAGGATATTTTTCCATTTATCTTCGGATAGAGTGGGAGGGAGGGAGAGAGAGAGAGAGATAGATAGAGAGAGAAACATCCATGTAAGAGAGACACTTCAACGGGTTGCCTCCCGCAGGACCCCGACCAGAGCCAGGGACTGAACCGCAACCAAGGACGTGCCCTTGACCAGAATTGAACCTGAGACTCTGGTCCTTGGGCCAACACTCTAACTGCTAAGCCAAACCAGCCATGGCTATTGTCCTTATTTTAAAACTGAGAAAACCAGCCCAGCTGGTGTGGCTCAGTGGTTGAGCATCGACCCGTGTACCAAGAGGTTGCTGGTTCGGTTCCTGGTCAGGTTGTAGGCCAAATCCCCAGTGGGAGGCATGTAGGAGGTGGCCAATCGATATTCTCTCATCAATGTTTCCCTCTCTCTCTCCCTCTCTCTAAAATCAATAAAGAAAAAAATTTTTTTTTAATTGAGAAAACCAAAGCACAAAGAGGTAAATATCTTGCCTGGGTTTTTACAAAGAAATATCTTAATATATAAATACTGAATTGGGATCTGAACTTGGACAGTTTTGAGTCTAAAACAATACATGTGAGTACAATTCTGTGGTCTTATTTAGAAAGACAGCATAACATAGTGTGGGTAAGAGCAAGAACCCTGGAGCCAGACTGCCTGGGTTTGAATTCTGGCCACTTACCAGCAAGTTACTTCTCTCCCCAAACCTAGTTGTTTCACCTTTATAATGGGGGTACTAATAATGCCTATTTAATGTAGTTGCAGTGAAGGGTACATGAGTTCATATTTGAAAAGTGCTTAAAACATTGCCTGGCACATAGTAAGTACTATATAAAAGTATGTGGTAGTGGTTTTACACTCCTACAATGTGTTATTAATTCATTCTTGGATCTTATAATAACCTTTTAGATTTGTAGAAATGAATTAATAAAATCTCAAAATATATATCTTCCATGATACCCACACATCTGTAGGCTCTAAACAAAGTATACATAGGATTTCAGAAAAAACTCATTACAAACATGGTTTAATGTCTTAAGTTCTTACTGTGGTGATAAGATTCTCTAAAACTTTTTATTTGACATGTTCTAATTAACGTGAAGAAATCTTTTCTTTGCTGCAGTAAAATAATAATAGCTTTATCAGACTCCAGATTCTCTTAATGCATTTTTTTATTCATGCACAGCAATTATATCCCAGAAGTGAGGATCATGTCGATTCCCAACCTTCGCTACATGAAGGTAGTACTTTGCTTTGCTTTGCTTTATTAACAGGAAAAGTAAGAATTCATTGATGGAAGATATGTGCACGTGTATGAGGGTGGCTGTGTATATTTGGCATGGACGCAATGAGCAAGGGATGAAGAGATTGAGATTTTAAACTTCTTCAAGCTGGGATTCTTGATAGTAGCATCTATGAGTGTATGCAGCAGGAGCAGTGTGCACATACAGAGCATGTACATCTATGAGTGTATGCAGCAGGAGCAGTGTGCACATACAGAGCATGTACATCTATGAGTGTATGCAGCAGGAGCAGTGTGCACATACAGAGCATGTACATCTATGAGTGTATGCAGCAGGAGCAGTGTGCACATACAGAGCATGTACATCTATGAGTGTATGCAGCAGGAGCAGTGTGCACATACAGAGCATGTACATCTATGAGTGTATGCAGCAGGAGCAGTGTGCACATACAGAGCATGTACATCTATGAGTGTATGCAGCAGGAGCAGTGTGCACATACAGAGCATGTACATCTATGAGTGTATGCAGCAGGAGCAGTGTGCACATACAGAGCATGTACATCTATGAGTGTATGCAGCAGGAGCAGTTTGCACATACAGAGAGATGGAGTTGTGGGTGGTGAAAAGAAAGATGGTGAACCCCACAGGCATCTTAGCTCTTCTCCATCATTTCGTGTGTGTGTAGCAGGTAACAGGAATCTAGATTTTTTTCTTTACCACAGCCCCTCTTTACTTTGAGGTCCTTGTCCATGCCCCTTCCTCCCCCGTGCACCCCCTAGGGAATTGTAGAATATTTTGCAGCAGCCTCTCTAGTTTTTTTCTTTTTTTTTTTTAATCCTCACCTGAGGACATTTTGCATTTATCTTCAGATAGAGCAGGAGGAGAGAGGGGGGAAGACAGAGAGAGAAACATCGATGTGAGAGGAACACATCGAGTGGCTGCCACCCACATGACCCCAACCAGGGCCAGGGACAAACTGCAACCGAGGTACATGCCCTTAGCGGGAACTGAACCCAGGACTCTGGTCTGCAGGCCGATGCTCTTACCGCTGAGCCAAACAGACCAGGGCTCTAATCTTTTTCTTTTATGGTACTCATGAAGACATAAAATCCCTGTTTATTAAAAAAAAATTTTTTTTCTAATCTCAAGAGAGTACAAAGCAAAGGCAAACTATGGTTCAAGAAATCTTAAAATCTTTTCACAGTCTTGATGTGCCATTTTTTCTGTTATTACATCTAACCAAGCCTGTGGCTCCCATATTTTATTTATGAGGCTTCCTTCCTTTTAGTCTTTGAGTGGAGGATTGGGTGGAGCAAGAGTTGTCAACTTTAAATAATCTCTTAGATTATACACATTCCTTAGAATTTCTGGATCTAGTAACTGGCCCTTTCTATGAGATTTGTCCCATTTCCCCTGTGAAATAGCAACTCTAGAGAATATGACCTACCCTATAAATAATAGACTAGGAATGAGTGAGCACTTCGGAGACTGTAGTGATGGAGAGGTCTGGGTAGGTATTATTGCTCAGGAGGAATTGGGGAAAGTGGATGATGATTTTATGAAATATTTGGTATAGCAACTAAGAAAGTGAACCTAGGTGGCAGTAGTGGAACATGTCTGAGAGATGCTTTTCCTATTTCACAGGAGAGCCAGGTCCTCCTGACTCTTACAAATCCAGTGGAGAACCTCACCCATGTGACACTGCTGGAGTGCGATGAGGGGGATCCTGATAATATCAACAGCACTGCTAAGGTAGGAGCATTTTGCCTCATCCTCACTGATCCTGACTTTTCCTGGAGTGATCTCATTGACATAGCTTAAAGGACTCCATACTGTCTCATTTCCACATCCAAGCAGTCATCAGTTGTTTTGATTCTGCATCCTAAGATTTTATTTTATCTGCAAACACTGCCACTGCCTATTCGAAGGACTCATCATTTCTCACCTGGACCGTGACAGTAACTTCCCAACTGACCTCTCTGTTTTTAGTCCACCCCCGCTTCCATTCTAGCCCATCTTCTGTCTTGCCACCAGGGTGATCTTTCTAAAATATAACTTTGATCATGACATGCTGATTATTTGATGTTACTCTGAGTTTGAGATGAAATTCAAATTCCTTGACATGGCAGAACTCCTTAATGTCCTCACCTCTTTCTGTTCTTTCAGATGATCTTCCTGCAGATCCCCAAATCTAGCCTTCTCCAAATCATACATATTAATGGTTGTGATCCATGCAGATCCAATGGGTTATGAACTTCCATGCTGGAGAATTACATATGCTGTTCATTTTATCTAAAATGCCTCCCTCCTGTCCCCGGTCCCATGGCATACATGCCCACACCTCTCCTTCAATCTAATGCATACTCCTTCTTCAAGACTCATAGGAAATCACATGTTGAAAAGGTGGTATGCCTCCTCTAAATGCCCTTTGCTTACATAGAGAATACATAGCACTGACTATTAAAATAGGTGATTTTGACTCTCAGTGTTAGTTGAATGAATGAAATGTGGCCTTTCTCCATTTTGCTATTTGGTGATTCATCTAATACTTGAAATTTTAGCATCAGGAACTTTTGTCTGTAGACGATCTATTACTGACTCATAATTCAGAGCGATAGTCATTAACTAAATTGGTAGCAAGGATACCTGTCATTAATTAGCTATTATTCAAATAATACTTATTAGTAGAGAATTTCTTTATCCTATCCCCCCCTTTTTTTTTCTTTGTGCTTTATACATGAGGGCTTCCCTCCTTTTAGTCCTTTAATGGAGGACTTAATTGTTTTACTTATTAGCATGACTTCCAAGGAGAGATGACACATCTTTTCTTGCTTCTTTTTTTTTTTAAATAACACTAAGCTGTTCCAGTAATGATAAAGACAGAAATAAGTACCTGATGCTTATACCAAGCTTGTGGATTTGCTGTTTTTCTTTCTCTTTACACTGCCCCAGCCACATTTGTATCCATAATTAGAAATGTAGTTGACACTGTTATCTGTTAACCTCTGACATAGCAAAGTTGAAGCCTAGTTACAACATAAGGATAAGTCTGAAGAACGCTTAACTGTTTTCCATGACTATAAATATTCTCAACATCCTCAGTATTATGTTGCAACCAATGTTTCTCCTTTATGTTTGTCTTTTTTTTTTTTTTTTTTTTAAATTCTTGCCCAAGGATATTTTTCCATTTATCTTCAGATAGAGTAGGAGGGAGAGTGGGAGGGAGATAGAAAGAGAGAGAGAGAGAGAGAGACTTTGATGTGAGAGAGAGACACCGATTGGTTGCTTCCCAAAAGACCCTGAACAGGGCTGGGGACTGAACTGCAGCTGAGGTACGAGCCCTTGGCTGGAATCCAACCCGTGACCCTTTGACGCTCTAACCACTGAGCAAAGACTGGTCAGGGCATCTTTTTTTTTTTTTTTTTTTTTAAATGATGAACTGTTTCAGATTATACCACAAAGTTTGAAGACTGATATAAAAATTACCCATGTACCTCCATCGCCTAAGAAATAGAACATTAAAGACAAAGTCCCTGTGTCCTTCTCACTTGAATTTCCCAGTGCAGCCACAGTGAAGTAAGCACTAGCTAGACTGTATCATTCCCTTACATTTCTTTGTATATATATGTGTGTGTGCCCTGGCCAGTTTGGCTCAGCGGTTAGAGCATCGGCCTGCTGTCCGGAGAGACCCGGGTTCAGTTCCCGCTAAGGGCACGTACTTTGGTTGCAGTTTGTCCCCGGCCCTGGTTGGTCGTGCGGGTGGCAGCCACTTGATGTGTCCCTTCACGTCGATGTTTCTCTCTCTCTCTCCCTTCCTCTCTCTCCCTCCCACTCTATCTGTACAAAAAATGGAAAAATATCCTCGGGTGTGGATAAAAAAATATATGTGTGTGTGTGTGTGTGTGTGTGTGTAAGATATATATATATATATATACACACACACATATTTTTTTTAAATAAATAATTGGTTTTTGTTTTTTCTTTATTGATTTTTAGGGAGGGGACAGGAGAGGGAGAGATAGATAGAAACATCGATGAGAGAGAACATCTATTGGCTGCCTCCTGCATGCCTCCCACTGGGTATCAGGCCCACAGCCTGGGCTTGTGCCCTGACCAGGAATTGAACCAGTGGCCTCTTGGTGCATGGGTTGATGCTCAACCTATGAGCTACACCAGCTGGGCTCTTTGTCCTTATATTTTAAGTAGAAGTGTCTGTGTTTTTAAACTTTATGTAAGTGATACAATGTTGTATGTTTCTTGTGTCTTACTAATTATTTCTGAATGTCTGCATCAGTGTAATACATTGCTGTATTCCACTGAATGAATGTCCTACGACGCACTGATTCCTCTGAGGAAGGCCTGTCTGTTGTGCTCCAGGTGGTGGTGCCTCCCAAAGAGCTTGTGTTAGCTGGCAAGGATGCAGCAGCTGAGTACGACGAGCTGGCAGAACCCCAGGACTTTCAGGACGATCCTGAGTGAGTGATCTCTTTCTGACCCCCCACGCCACATTGGCTGATACAGGAGGCCCACTTATAGATTCCAGTGATTTTATCTGCATTTAAAAAAATAAGTGTTCCTTCTTATTATAATAATTACTATGGAAATTTGGGAAGTATATATTAAACCACGAAGAAAATAAAGTCTAGCCACCAGAGATAAGCATCATTAACATTTTGGTGTTTGTCCTTTCATATATTTCTTTCATCATTGGTATCATTCTATAAGCACATTGTTTTAACCTTTGTTTTTTCATGTAATTTCCAGTGCATAATTTATAAGGGTTGTGGACAGAATATAGGCTGTGAACAGAATATAATAGTCCTATAGATTTATCAATGGATTTATCCACCCCATCCACACTCTCTTTGAGTAATTAATAGATTAATAGATTTTACTCTCTCATACCTAATAACGGAACAGTGAAAAACCAAACATTTTCCTGAATGGGGAATGAATCATCAGCATCCAGTCTAAAGACAGAAATCATGGCAGTTATTCGAACAGAGAGGATTTAATATAAAGTATTGTCAACTGGGTAACTTCAAAGGTTTAAAGAACTCTGAAGTATGCCAGAGACAGCAATTTTATGAAACAGGGCTGAGGGAACAAAAGGAAATGGTTAGAATTGTTAAAATTTGGAAGCTTGCAGAAGGAGCCCAATGGAGCAGAAACTGGGACCTGTGGAGCAGTGAGAGAGGGGACACTGCTTGTCGGGGGCTGACGTCTCAGGGTGAGAAGATGTGTACATGATGCAGCTGGTTAGGCAAGAGTTGGAAACTGCAGCTGGCTCTTGCCACTTTCTGGATGAAGGAGCATTGCTGGAGTGATGTCCATGGGAACCACACACAAAGAGCAAGCTCACAGGTGGGCGGAGCAAGCCCCTCCCTCCTGTAGGCCCTAGTCTCCATCAGAGCCCCCTAAAGGGAACCTGACGGAGCCAGCCTTCAGAGCAGAAGTGTAGTTAGCAGAGTCCTGGGCCACAGAGGGAGATGAAGAAGGTGGGCTTGGAGCTGAGAAGCAATAACTTAATATACTGGCACAGGAAACATGTAAAGTTTTGTAACAGAATGATCAAAAGCTCCCTCAGCAAGATATTGGAAAGAAGAGAGAACATAGGATGGGCTGGAAAAATAAAGTGAGAGCAAATGTGAGATTAGTACAGTGATTACCAAACAGATTAACTTGAGAAAACACCAGGGCAGGTGGTTTGTTTTGTTCTGTAGAGTCACAGGCTCCCCACCAAAGATTCTCTTTAGCAAGTTTAGGCAGGCACCAGAAATCTGATTTTTTTTCCCCTAAAGCTTCCCAGATGGCAGTGGTTGCTTGGGAAATTAAGGATAGGAAAACAGACAACTTTTTCCTTTTTACTATTTTTAACTGAATTTTTAAAATGAATATGATATAAACTAAAGGCTTAGTTAACTACAATACAAAATGCATTCTCTGTAATCTTTTGTTTTGTGTGGGTCCTTAAATTACATTCATTAGGTACAGAAATTTGTTAAGCCAAGGTCAGCTTCTTGAAAGATCATCTGAGATAGTAAATTCTGGTCAGATTAATTATGTAACAGATTTAATTAATTATATTTCACATTACTATACTTTATAGGACTTTTAGATATCTGGAAATTAATGTTGTGTAATACTGTTTAAATATGTAAATGTTTAATTCTAGTAACTTTTCTGAGATTAAGTATCATTTGGACAGATCAAATTCTGTTTATTTCATTACTTATTGTTTTTTTTTCTTGTTTTTTTTTTATCCTCACCCGAGGACATCCCTCCATTTTTTGTTTAGACAGAGCGGGAGGGAGAGAGAGAGAGAGAGAGAAAGAGAAACATCGATGTGAAAGGGACACATCGAGTGGCTGCCACCCACACGACCAACCAGGGCCAGGGACAGACTGCAACCGAAATACATGCCCCTAGCGGGAACTGAACCCGGGTCTCTCTGGACCACAGGCTGACACTCTAACCGCTGAGCCAAACCGGCCAGGGCTATTTCATTACTTTTTAAAGCTAAGTTATTAAAACACAAACTTCAAGTGTATGTCAGAGAAAACTGAAATGGAAACCTCAACTAAAGAGATTTCTATTCTAAAAAGTTCTAATTTACAGAAATTATTTACAAAAACACTGATTTATGGTATTCCAAAAATTCCTTTAGCTCTGAGTTAGGATCAGTCTTTGTTCTATAGAAATATTACCACGTGTGCAAAAAGGTGAACGGAAAGGGAAAGGGATTTTCTTTGCAGCACCCTTGTTTATAACAGGAACATTGGCAACAATCTCAGTATGTCCAGTCATGGTAGACATAGAATAGAATACTAGGCAACCACTATGGAGAATGGAGATCTTTATGTATCAATATGGAAAGGTGTTTGTGATAAATGCAGTGAAAAAAGCAAGTTGCAGAATAGTGTGTCCCTTTTGTGTTGATTGAAAAAGCAGAAAAGTATAAACATAGAAAAATATCTGGTTGGTTAAGAACCAAAGTGTTTGCAGTTTTTCAGTAAGGAGAAAGACTTTCACTTTTTCCCATTTGAATTTGTTTGACTATATTTTACTTTTGTAACATTTAAAAAATAAGATTAACATTTTGCTGAAGAAACTCTTCATTGCTGATAAACGGGATGGTGGTTATATCTTGTCATCAGAGATTTCCTGTTGGGCCATAAAATGACTGTCTTAGTGGCTTGGCTGACTTGTGACCTGCCTAATACTGTGCTTATTTCCTTCCATAGCATCATAGCCTTCAGAAAGGCCAACAAAGTGGGTATTTTCATCAAAGTGACCCCACAACGTGAGGAGGGCGAAGTGACCGTGTGCTTTAAGATGAAGCATGATTTTAAAAACCTGGCAGCGCCCATCCGCCCCATCGAAGAAAGTGACCAGGGCACAGAAGTCATCTGGCTCACTCAGCATGTGGAACTCAGCTTGGGCCCTCTTCTTCCTTAAAAGGTTTCACTGGTTTGGCCAGATCCCAAAAGACCGTATCACCACCAACCTGTGTTAAAATGTGGAAGCTGCTGCTTCATTAGGCCTTGTTTATAACGATGTACCCACGCACTACTGAATCCTGTTCCTGGGAGGGTGGGGACATAGGCAAGGCATTAGGAACTCGGGGTAACTGCTGTTCCTCTTGCTCTCACTTCTGATAACACCAGTAAATCTGTCTCCCTCACTGAACCCTGCACGTTGAATAACAACAGCATAGTTCCATCCCAAGAAAGGGGGTGGCTGTTCCTTGGAGTGGCATTAGATTTACCACTTGAGAAACTGACATACTATCTCCTGATCTGATCTCACAAAGGATCATAAGTTCACAAATGAAACTTAAAATGATAACTAAAAGATGGACCTGCTGGCCACAATCCAGCCTTGGTCTCAATGTACCAACTGCTTTCTGCATTCCATTAGGTATAATCTAACAGTCAACATATATCCCTGCACTTGCCATCATCCCATAGATTTCCATTTGACAGAGAAATAAAATTGTCACATTGTCTTTAGTTTTATTGACTGGAAATTCTTAAGGCACACTCATTCACTCTCTTCTGAGTGAATACAGGATGCTTGCTTATTGGTTGCTCTTAAAATTTTTTTCCCAGTATAATATGGAACTTTTTTATTTTTTAAGACGAATTTTAGAAGCAGGTACTTTGCATGTTATGCCAAGAGGGTGGTAAATTCCATTCACTTTAAATTTTGCCACAATATCCAGGGATTAATGCTTTCACAGGGAGGCAATCTTTGTATGTCTTACTTCCTACCCCTTCTCTGTTCTGCCTCTTTAACACAATAGATTGTTCTGAGTATTTGGGACCTGGAAAGAGTCCAAAGAAAATTTGGTGGACAAGGTCACTTTTGGAATGCAGAAAACATTTTAAAGATTAGTTTGTTAGCATGATCTAAACTAATGTTCTTTCTACTGATTCGAAGGGGAGAGTAACAATTAGAAGCTCTTGAATCTAAAACTGGACATTAAGGAAAAGAACCTTTCCCCTTCCTGAGTTTGACTTTTATCATATGGTATGTCAAATAAGACCATTTTGATTAGAAACCGTAAAATAGCTCAGCAAGTAGCCCAGAACACTGTCTAGCAACACACATTCTGTTTTCATTCCATGTCCTGGAGTTGGGTTGTTAACCTGAATTTCTGTGATGTTTTCTAAAATGAGACTTGACAAAGTAGACCACCAGCTGCACCACATTTTCTGTAAATGCATTGTTAGCAAGTAGCCAACAAACTTTTGGTGAAAAGAGAAATTTCCTGTTTACCGTGGTTTTGTTTTTAAGTTCAAGCCTTTAGTTTAAAAAAAAAAAGATATATAGTTATCCAGAATATAGACAGGACTTAGTATCTTGTCAGCTACCCCTGGAAGATAAAAATATTTAGGAAGCTTTTGAAAGACACTAAGTAGTACTCTTAAGGTCAAACCAATTTTATGAAACAATATTACACAGAGTAATATGTTATAGTGTAAGAAAAAATACTCATCTCTAATATTATGACAATAATAAGGTTCAGCCTCTTAAAAGTTGGGACAGGGGTTGTGTGATTACAAAATTGCAAACTATGGACATAGTTTAATTTGTGACCCCACAGAGTGTCAAATTAATTTTTATATCACTACCTGCTCGAACCTACTGTGAAGCCACTGCTCTCATGAGCCAGTGGAGCAAAGGGCATCAAAATAGAGAACAGCTTTCTTACTTTACACATTTGCATAGATTACACACACAGTTGTATGTCGTGCATTTATGGCCTATAGCTGGTATGGGTTCCCAGAAGTAATAAGGTTGAAGTAATGGGTCTCATTACCCACCCTGTGACACTGAAACACAAAAACACTTTTGATCATAGAATTTTCACAAAAACACTTTTGATCATAGAATTTTTTTTTTCCTTCAGAAGCCAAACTAACTTGCAGAATAACAGCCATTGGTTTAATGTTTCCTCAAAATAGTTTTCAGTGCAAGCTGGTATTCTGTGTCAGTAGACATGGTTCAACACCTGCAGCCAGTGAATTTGGAATTCTCTTTGTTGCTTTTGTGTATTAGACTAGATTTAATGCAGTCAGTGTGCACCAGAGCAGGCGAATTGGATGTCATTGGCACTAGAGACTAGAATTTTGGAAACTTAAGGTGAAGTTTATTTGGATTTGTGATTTGATTAGCTCACCAAAGTTTTCTTTTGTTCAAAGTGCTTGTAGGCATAATGAGCTAAATGTCGTGCATATTTGTGAAGAAACATCTGTTTTGGTCCCTTTTGGGAATGAGGGGGCACTCCATGATCTTTGTGAATGCCAGGTTCCTATTTTGCCTTATTGCTTAACATAATGTAGTGAAATAAAGCAGACAAAGCTTGAGTGTCTTTGGTGTGGTTTCATGAAGACTGACTGGAATAGCATGGCTCAGTCAGAAGACGCAATCGAGGGAGTTGCTATGAGAGTCAGTGGAGCATGCTCCCTTCCAGTTCTTTAAATGAGCTAAACTAAAACCTCGTATTAAATTTATTCACTAAAACATTATATGGTAGCTGTTACTTCAGCTTCTTATAAACATATATCAGAACCATTATATAAATGTTACATTGCTGGTCTCCATCAGCTTCTATACTGGGTCATTGCTCCCAAAGATATCCTTTCACATATACAAAATGGTCCAACCCCAACAAGTAGCCATTCCTCCACCTTCATCTCTGCTCCTATAACTCCTCCCCTCCTTTTCCTGGAAATGAATTGTTCACACTCCTGTCTAAAGCCAGCCCACTACTTAGTGCCCTCAGTCGCATCCTCTTACCAGTTCAAGGACATCACTCCCAACAGTTCCCCCCTCCCTCCCCTGCAGCGATTCCAGCAGCCTGCTATGATTTCTCTCATCTTAAAGAACTTGACCTGACACCCCTCTTCAGCGGCCACCCCCATTTTCGACCCTCTTTACAGCAAAACTCCTAACTCGACCTCTCAGTTCCTCTCCTCCCATTCTCACTGGACCTATCCCACTCAGGCGCCACCCCGCCACATCAACAGGCCGCACTCAAATGCAGTCAGTTCAGTCGCTCATCTACTGACTTTCAATCTGACAGTTGTCTCTCCCTTCTTGAAAGCTTTTATTCACTTGGTTTCTAGACCACAACGTTCCTGGTTTTCCTTTTACCTTCCTGGCAACTTTCTTCTGTATTTTTTGCTAGTTCTTTCCTTTCCCATTTTCCCAGCCTTGGAGTGTTATCAGGCCCCACTTCTTACACTTCTTTTCTCTCTGCTCATTCTTGGTGATCTCCCCTAGTTTTCAGGCCATCCCCAAATTTATACACCAACTTGAGAATAGTCTGAAATTTCAATATCTCGGTTTGGATTTCCTCTCACTACATCTGCCTTGCCTGCATTCGTCCCTAACTAAATGGCAAATGTTTCCTTTCAGGTGCTCACAACAAAAACCTTGGCATCACCCTTGACTCCTCTTAATGCCACGTCCAGTAAATCAGCAAATCCTGTCAGCTCTTCTCTTCCAACTATGACCACACCCTCTCCAACATTACTGCCCTGGGCAGAATCATCATCTATATAGACCCCTAGATGATGATTACACTAGCATCAAAACTAGTCTTGAGCCCTGGCCGGTTTGGTTCAGCGGTTGGAGCGTCGGCCTGCGGTACAGAGACACCCGAGTTCGGTTCCCGCTAAGGGCACGTACCTCGGTTGCAGTTTGTCCCCGGCCCTGGTTGGTCGTGCGGGTGGCAGCCACTCGATGTGTCCCTTCACATTGATGTTTCTCTCTCTCTCTCTTCCTCTCTCCCTCCTGCTCTATCTGAACAAAAAATGGAAAAATGTCCTCGGTTGAGGATTAAAAAAAAAAAAAAAAAACCTAGTCTTGAAACCACCTTGGTCCCCACCCCCACCCTTTAGTCAATTTTCAGCATGGCAGCCAGAGTAATATTTCTCCACTTAAAACCTTGGGCTTCTTAGTTGGCTCCAGAGCAAAGCAAAGTCCTTACAATAGCTTATGAGGTCCTAAGTGACCTGAAACCCACCCCTGAATTCATTTGCTGTTTCTCCATGCTCATCCCACCCCAGCCAATTGAGTCTCGTCTCTGCTATTCCTGAGTCTCAGGCAGGTGCCCTCTCAGGGCCTTTGCACTGGCTGTTCCCTCTGCCTGGAAAGCTCGTCTCCCAGGTTTCTCTCACCCAGCTGGTGTGGCTCAGTGGTTGAGCATCGACCCATGCACCAAGAGGTTGCTGGTTTGATTCCCAGTCAGGACACATGCCCAGGTTGTGGGCCCGATCCCCAGTGGGGGGCATGCAGGAGGCGGCCAGCTGATATTCTCTCTCATTGATGTTTCTCTCTCCCTCTCCCCTCTTCTCTCTAAAATCAAAAAAGGGAAAAAAATCTTTTAAAAAATTGGTGTATTGCCCTGGTCGGTGTTGTTAAGTGGTTAGAGTATCGGCCTACGGACCGAGAGGTCTTGGGTTCAATTCCTGTCAAGGGCATATACCTGAGTTGCAGATTCAATCCCGACCTCCCTGCCCCCTGGGGTCGTATGGGAGGCCATCAATCATGCCCCCCCCCCCCCGTCGCACCCTCCCTCCCCTCTTCTGGGTTAACCATGATAGTATAAAACCCCTGACAGCTTCAGACACTAAGAAAGCTTGCATGCACTCCACAAGCTCTTTCCAAGACCTCCACCAAGTGTTCAGAAGAAAGACCTGCGGGGAATGGGGAGCGGTGCTGGAGCTCTACAGAGCCTCCCTTGGTTTGGAGGCATGCAGGAGGGATCTGCATGCCTTTAGGAAAGGCATGAAGTCTTGCCTCCCCCTGCCCAGTCCCTTCCCTCCTAGGGAGCAAAAAGGCCCAAGCCCCTGGGGGAGGAACAGAAAATCCTGTCTCTCTCCAGGGCACAGGTAAGGAAAAAACTCAACCTTGGGAGGGACAAGATTCAGTCCTGAGCCCTGGGTTTCTATCCCAGTTCCATAAAGGTCTACCGCTACAGGAAAGGCAGGAAACAGTCTCTTCCACAAGACCAGCCCAGATACAAGTCAGATTTGGCTGCCACAGAGAGGAGGAGCAGAAATACTGAGAAAAGACCTGTTCCCAATATCTGGCCACAAAGGACCTACTGAAGACTGAGGCCCAATTAGAACAAAATACCCCTGACCCCTCCCCCACTACCCACCTAGCAAGCATCTAGTAACAAGCATCAGCAAAGGCACAGACCACTATAGTGCAGGTATGCAGGACAGCTGAAAGCTAAGGATGAAAAATGAACACTTAAGAAAAAGTTACTCAGTTCCAACCTAAAGCACAAAATGCTGGAGGATGTGAAGGCTGTGGTACACCGAAGGTAACCATAACAACGACAAAACCCAAACCCGTCTCAATTCCTGACCAGATTGACCAAGCTTGACACCAACAGCCTGTCAGAAGAGGCTTGTCCATTTCCAAGCATTACTACTATTTACCACCCTGTCTCTACTGATAAAAGCACCGACTGGCAATCAAGAAAAAAAAAGATACACAAAGAAAAACCAACCCATTTTTCAACAAAACCATATACAGATATTCAGATGTTGGAACTATTGAACAGGGACATAAACTTTGATTAACATATTGAAGAATCTAGTTGAAAATATGGATAATATGTGTGAACAGATTTCAGCAAAGAAGTAGAAACTATAAGAGAGACACTGAAATAAAAAACAAGATCAGAGATGAAGAATCTCTTCTATGGGCTCATCAGTAGACTTGTCATAGCTGAAGAATAATCAGGAAACTTGGAGATAGCTCAATAGAAATCCAAACTGAACCCTTTCCCCCAAAGACTGAAACAACAGAGTATTCAACATTTATGGGACAATATCAAATGGTCTAACTGGGCAGAAGAGTATTTAAACAGATCACATCTAAGAATTTTCAACATATAATGAAATACAAACCACAGACCCCAGAAGCTCAGATAAACCCAAGTGTTTTCTCACACAGAAAAAATATACATTTACCATATGATCAAATAATCTCACCCCTAGATAGTTACAAAGGAAAATCTACGTACAGCAATCTGTATATGAATGTTTACAATGGCTTTATTTATATTCATGGAAATCTGGAACAACTCAAACATCCAATTGGCAAATGGAATTTTTTACCCGCCCCCACCCCACCGCCCCCAGGGCATCCATACAGTGGAATTCTCAGCAATAAAGAACAAATTACAATATGTGTGAATCTCAAATACAAATATTCTAAGAAAAAGAAGTTAGACCCAAAAGTCTATACGTATAGGATTCCACTTACGACATTCTGGGGAAGGCAAAACAATAGGGACAGCACAGACTAGTGGTTGCCACTGTGACGGTGTGTGTGGGAAGTGGATTGACTTGGGCACAAGGGGACTTTTGAGGATGGAACTAATCTATATTTGTTGTGAATGTATGTAACATTTTCTAACTGTACAACTAGAAAGTAAACTTCTATACAGAAATGATACTTTTTAAAAAAGTATAAACCTCACTTTTTAAAAATCTTTATTGATTTTTAGAGAGAGAGGACAGGAGAGGGAGAGAGACACATCGATGAGAGAGAACACAGATTAGCCGCCTTCTGCATGCCCCACCAATGGGGATTTGGTCCACAACCTGAGCGTGTGCCCTGACCGGGAATCGAACTAACAACCTCTTGGTGCATGGGTCAACCCTCAACCAGTGAGCCATCCTGGCTGGGCTAAACCTCACTTTTTAAAAAGTTAGGTGACAAACATTTAAGGTAGTTTGATGATAGGAAATGTCAAAAATTATGCAAGTGGTACCAGAATGCCTGAAATTAGAAAAATGTTGGCAGAATGGTTATAAGTTGTTCCCAATACAATTTAACAATGCCCGTGTTGATCCTTACAACACTTTCCATTTCAGAAGTTGGAAAAACAGTACTACTGTCTTCGGATTTGTGGCTTCATCGTTTATTAACTACACAACCAAGAGCAAGTTACTTACTCTTTCTGAACCTGTTTCCTTTTCTATAAAAAGGGGACACCCATACTTGCCTAGAGAGTAGTGGTTACCAGATAAAAGACATGACATCCAGCTAAATTTGACTTTCAGATGAGTCATGCTTTTAGCATAAATGGAACATGTTCACACTAAAACATTGTTCATTGTTTATCTGAAATTCAAAAAATATTTTTAATCCTCACCCAAGGATATTTTTCTATTTATCTTCAGATAAGGGGGTGGGAGGGGCATCGACGTGAGAGAGACACATCGACTGGTTGCCTCCCAAACGACCCTGACCAGGGCCAGGAGGAACTGCAGCCGAGGCTCTGCCCTTGACCTGAATCAAACCAGCGACTCTTTGGTCCACCCGCTGGCCAGCCGAAGCTCTAACAGCTGAGCCAAACCGGCCGGGGCTGAAATTCAAATTTAACTAAACGTTGTGTTTTCGCTTGCTAACTCTGGCAACCCTACAAGGAGTTATTGTGAGCATTAAACAAGACTGGCAGTGCAGGACACTCACCCAGCTTTGGCATGATAAATGCCGGTGTGGCTCCGTGGCTGAGCATCGACCCAGGCACCAAGAGGTCATCGGTTCGATTCCCTGCCAGGGCACATGCCCAGGTTGTAGGCCCGATCCCTGGTGGTGGGCATGCAGGAGGCGGCCAATCGATGTTCTCTCTCATCGATGTTTCTAACTCTCCCTCTCTCCCTCCTTCTCCCTTCCTCTGTCTAAAAAGTAAAGAAAAAAAAAACCCATACAGCCCTGGCCGGTTTGGCTCAGCAGTTGGAGCGTCGGCCTGGGGTCCAGAGACCCGGGTTTGGTTCCCCCTAAGGGCATGTACCTCGGTTGCAGTTTGTCCCCGGCCCTGGTTGGTCGTGCGGGTGGCAGCCACTCGATGTGTCCCTTTCACATTGATGTTTCCCTCTCTCTCTCTCCTTCCCTCCTACTCTATCTGAACAAAACATGAAAAAATGTCCTCGGGTGAGGATTAACAACAACAACAACAAAAAACCATACAAATAAAATAAATTTTAAAAAACCGCCGCTTTAACTCCATCCCCTCATTCATTACTTGCTCCTTCATTCTTTCACTCAACTTTTAAATAAATCAGATGTGCTGTGGCTCTTCACGCCAAGCAGGGACCAACGCGAAGGAAGCACCTGGGTTTAACACACGGGATTCCGAATGCGAAGCCACGAAACTCCCGGCGGGCGACGTCACGGCGCGCAAGACCCCGCCCCTACGGGCGCACGAGGCGCGCGAATAAGACGTAACAGGCCGGGGCCCAGCCTCGGGGCCTGACGGGATTGTGGCGGTCCTCTCTTTCAACTCGGAAGCTGCCGCTGCCTCCGGATGCTTTCAAGATGGCGACTTCTCTGGGTTCCAACACCTACAACAGGCAGAACTGGGAGGATGCGGTGAGTGTGCCTGCCGGAGGAAGACGGAAAGAGGCGGCGAAGCCGGGCCTCCTGCGGGCGAGCACGGCCGTGGCTGCGGCGCGGCCGGGGGGATCCCGGGGAGGAGCCAGCGCCGCGGCCTAGCTCGCCCGGAGCGGGAGGCGGAGGGCGGCCCGCCTGCGAGCGTGGAGTGAGGGGGCTAGGCGCCCTGTGCATGCCTGCCCCGTCCACTGGTTTCGTGCTGGTCTCCTCCCGCTGCCCGCCGGAAGAGCAGACAGCGCCCCCTCCCGAGACCGGGCCCGTGCTAGACCTGGGGGTTCCTGCCCTGCCTGTCCCCCACCCTCGCTCCTCTCCCTTCTCCCCCCCACCTCCCTGTACCCACGAGCGTGGCTGAGATGGCAGGGTCTTCGGAGCCTGACCCTCAACCCGATTGCCCGTTTTCACCAGGACTTCCCCATTCTGTGCCAGACGTGTCTTGGAGAAAACCCATACATCCGAATGGTGAGTGAGCGTGCGTGAGACGGGAATTGTTCGTGTTCTGCCAACACGGTGGTCCTTGCCCGTGAAGTGCTTCTGTTCGCCAAGCAGAAGTAACGCTGCTCCTGGACTAACCCGGAGCCTGTGACAGTTTGCAAAGGCTGTCATACTTATTCTGTCATTTTGAAACTCGGTGACAATCCTGTGATGTAGGAGTCATAATACTAGCATAGATTTGCTGAGCATTTACCTGGGAGCTAGATCTAGTAAGCAGAAGCTGAGTTTGTGTCTTTCCATATAGCAAGTAATGAGTGGAGCTGGGATTTAAATTCAGATATTCTCATTCCAGGGACCTCAGCACGTTAGGAGGAGAACCAGAACTAGAAACTAGGTTTCCTGACCCCTAGTCAGATGCCTTTTGGCCACTGCACCTCATCTGTCTCTTTAAGGTGTCCCCTATCGTCACAAATAAAGGTTGAACTAGTGACGGTTAACATTCGATAATTAGATTAGGCTTTATTATTGTGATCAGTCTCAGAGGTGTTGATATGTTGATTTGTTCAGGTGTTGACTAGCTTATGGGAAGGGAACATATGCTATATGCAGGGTATCCCCACAATCTATGGTAGTTAACTTCTGACTAAACTTTGTAAAATGGGCTGGCCATGGCTACATCCTTCCTGATTCAGGGAATGTGGAAACAGGAAGTTTAGTTCTTGGAAGAGAACTTGGGAGACAGTAGTGAACCTCAGAGTTGTGGCTGTGTAAAGATACATGCTTACCTGATGTTAGATCCATAAGATTCTTAAGAGGTTATAACTCATAGTAGGTAATTAGAATACATGCCCCACAACCTCTTCTCCCCCCTTCAGGGTGTCAGGAATCTCTAGACACATTTCTTGTGTTGTATTTGGGGAACAAGCAGACATCTGGTCTTTTTTTTCCCCCCCTGGAACTCCAGTTCTTTTCTTCTTTTTCTATTTCAGACCAAAGAAAAGTACGGGAAGGAATGCAAAGTAAGTATGTCTGTTAAAGAGTAATGATTTCATTTTATTTTCTTTTTTTCTACCAAATTAGCCTTCAACTTGCTCAGCTTTGAGGTCTTCCAGTAAAAGTCAGTGCTACGCAATTTTCATGTATCATTTATATACTCATTGGCTGTTAACTGTTTAACAGTGAGGTAAGAAAATGAGCCCCTTAATGCAGGGGTTCTTAACCTGGTGTCTGTGGATGGGCTTTAAACCCCCTGAGATTATATGCCAAATGTTGGTTGAGTGTGCACATGAGAATTTTAGTTGAGGGGGAAGATCATAGCTGTCACAAGATTCTCAGAGGAATATATGACACTTCCCACTCTTCCCAAAAAAGATTAAGGATCAAATTTTTAATGGTGGTTACTTCTAGGGTAGAGAGGACTTTGACTTTTGAGTATTCCATTTCTATTTTTTTTTTATCCTCACCTGAGGATATTTTTCCATATTTTGTACAGATAGAGTGGGAGGGAGAGAGAGGAAGGGAGAGAGAGAGAGAAACATCGACGTGAAGGGACACATCGAGTGGCTGCCACCCGCACGACCAACCAGGGCCGGGGACAAACTGCAACCAAAGTACGTGCCCTTAGCGGGAACCGAACCCGGGTCTCTCCAGACCGCAGGCCGACGCTCTAATCGCTGAGCCAAACCGGCCAGGGCTGAGTATTCCATTTCTGTACTATGTGAGTTTTTTACTACTGGGACAGAGTGTTGTAAATATAATTGAAATATTAGATGACATTTAGACTCGATGATTGCTAAGGTCTCTTATAAATCCTAGATTTGGGGATCCTTCTTTGGATCCCTCATTGTTATTAAGTCTCTTGGATTGACTGTCCAGGTCAGGACCATTCACACTCTGTGGCTCTTATCTTGTGTTAAAGATCTGTGCCAGGCCATTCACAGTGTTTCGCTGGTGCCCCGGGGTCCGCATGCGTTTCAAGAAGACTGAAGTGTGCCAAACCTGTAGTAAATTGAAGAATGTCTGTCAGACCTGCCTCTTGGATCTAGAGTATGGTATGTTTGTCCTGGCCAATAAATCTGAAAGTATGCAGGTGCCCTAGACAACAAACCAGTCCTTTCATCTCCCATGTGTGTCCTGCCTCTGGTTCTGACGCCCGTTTGGACTGTCTGCCGTGGTCTGCTTTTCCTAGTAAGAGGAGAACCATACTAGGCCATCTTAGAGTCCTCCCGAACAACAGTAAGAACTTAAGGAAAAATTGGGAATTAGACGGGCTTAAAACGCCCTCATGAACATCCCTGTAGCCAAGGGGAGGTACAGGCCTTGTTCCTATGGTAGGTAATTTCTTTACCTTGGGCTTCTTTCTAAATCCGAAGTTTTTTTCCACAGTCCCTACCAGAAGCTCACAGGCTAATTGTGCTTTTAGGTTTTTTGTCTCAACTGTATGGTAGGACTGATACATTGCCACTGTTTCAGAGTAAGTGTTTTTTAGTTTCTTAACTGAAAGTGACTTTTTGTTTATGAGAAAATACTTTTTCAGTGACAGTTTCTACTGTACAATAAAAGGAAAATATGGGTTTGTATATGTTTAATTCAGAAAGTTATTCTGCTTCTCAGAGTCCTGCTCACATTACTCTTTATATGTTTGTTAAGGAGGTATTCTGCTTCTAGAGTACAGTGACCCTTATATGACCGTGACTATCCAGATGATCTGTAGGACCAACCTGAAAGTTAATTACTTTTTTTTTAAAGGGAAAGGTGGTCTTATTTGTTTATTTTTGTTAATCCTCACCCGAGGATATTTTTTCATTGATTTTTAGATAGAGTGGAAGGGAAGAAGGGAGAGAGAAAGAAGAGAGAGACGTTGATGTGAGAGAGACACATCAGTTGGTTGCCTCCTGCATGACCCTGACCAGGATCAAACATACAATCTAGGTGTGTGCCTCTAGGTGGGACTCGAACCCAAGACCCTTCAGTCTGCAGGCTGACACTCTAACTGCAGAGCCACACTGGCCAGGACAAAGTTAGCCACTTTTAATGCTTATTTTAAATACACTGTATTATAGTAAAAGATGTGTTATTGATTTACAAGTCAAGTCTGACTGTACCCAAAGTTTGTTCATCTAAAAGATTTTCTGAAACATTTGTTTCAGAATCAGGACAGCTCAAGAATTAGGACAATTTTCTTAGAATGCTCTGCAGCAGTATTTACCTAAAGGTGCTAAAGATTTTGAGTAAAAGTATAGTAAAGCCTCTGGTACCAAGTAAGAACGTGGAGAAGGAAAGGATGCTACTGTATTCTGCGTGTATATTCAGTAATATTTAAAATACACCTGAGGTTTTTTTCCTCCTTTCCTTTGTACCAGGCCTGCCCATCCAGGTTCGTGATGCAGGGTTGTCTTTTAAGGATGATATGCCAAAGTCAGATGTCAACAAAGAGTATTACACACAGAATATGGAGAGGGAGGTATGCTACCACTTCCTTAATGTAGTCTTATATTTGATGAAAGAATCCTAGTAGATTAACACAGTTTATATAATTTACCTTTTGAATTTGCCATCCCTGTGTAGATTTCTAACTCAGATGGAACACGGCCAGTTGGCATGCTGGGGAAAGCCACATCCACCAGTGACATGCTGCTCAAACTGGCCCGGACCACACCCTACTACAAAAGGAATCGACCCCACATTTGCTCCTTCTGGGTGAAAGGGGAATGTAAGAGAGGAGAGGAGTGTCCATATAGGTAAGAGCTAAAGTACATTTTCAGTATCTGCTCTCAGATGATTAGCCATCAGCTTTGAAGTCGACAAGTTTATAAACCAGTGTGGTTTACCACATGTGTTAAGACTGTTAAATTTAGAAAAGCTTATTTAAATTGTTTTTAAGTATAATGGGGCTTCCATTTATAACAGCCTTGGGAAGCTGAATTGCTTTGCTATATAATATAGATATCGACGACCCTCCTAGGAATTTCTGCCTGAGATGTAAGTCTTCACTGTCATGGTAGCACTGGCTTGAGTCTCACATTAAGGTCAGGCATCTAAGTGTGTGTGAGTATGTTTCAGTCAAGACTGCCAAGCGTCTGGATTAGGATTTCTTAACTTGGGGTTGGTTAACCCCATCCCTGCCAAAAAAATTATTTTGTTTTCTAGGGCTGGTTCCATTGCTTTAATCAGACTCTCAGAAGAGTGCAAGACCTAAAATATGTTAAGAACCATTGACCTAGAGAGGGGTAACAATGATTTGGTTACCCTTTGTTTTGGGATGGATTGTGCCAAAAGCATTTCTTTATAAGGAAACTGATATCTTAGATGCTTATTTAAGTGGTTTTTAGGAGGCTGGCAAGTCCCTGTAATACAGTAAATCACTTGATATCAGCTCTATTTCGATTATTGTGTTTTGAGTTGACCAGGGTTTTATTTCAAAAGGCATTTCAGGGTATGTATGTGGGACTTACGTAGTTACTATTGGGTGATATCTGTAAATTTTTTCCTTGGTTTCGCCTTTATGCACTGTTCTTTGTGAACCATAGGCATGAGAAGCCTACAGATCCAGATGACCCGCTTGCTGATCAGAACATTAAAGATCGATATTATGGAATCAATGACCCTGTGGCAGATAAGCTTCTAAAGCGGGCTTCAACAATGCCTCGTCTGGACCCGCCAGAAGACAAGACTATCACCACATTATATGTTGGTGGTCTAGGCGATACCATTACTGAGACAGACCTAAGGTTTGTGGATATAATTTTATGAGCTCTTTTTGCTTTTAACTATGCTGGAACAACTTAGGTGCAGAAACAGGTAAGCATAATAATCCTTTACAAGATACATTTTTCTTTAACCAGTCTGAAGTCAGTAAATATGCTGACTAGAATTTTTATAAAATTGTTCTTTATGTTCCAGAGTAGTAATGTTCTTCAACAGTGCTTAGTCCATCCTGCATATGGTAATAATTTCATGAGATTCTGTTTGGCCTAATAGCCAATTAGAGTTTTTAGAATAGGGCACATATCCAAGTATGCTTAATTATGTAGGGGAGGGAAAGGTTTGCATTTATAAAACTCATGGTTTAGATTGTTGGCTTTGTAAAGAGATTGGCATTTGGTAAATTTGTATTATTCTTGGCTTGTATTTTTGGTCAGCTAGATGAGACATCTGGGCAGAGAGTGGAAATATCCCTTCCAAAGGGATAAAGTGGAGAAGAAACTTCTATAAGTTTATAAGCTGCCCTCAGTAGCCTGTTTCCACTACACCCTGTCTAAGTGAGCTCGACAGTTCCCAGGGGGTGGCAGGCTTTTTCCCTTCTTCTCCTCTTTTTTTACAACCTTTAAAAATTTTTTAAACACTCTTGGCTCATAGGCCATGGAGGCTGTAGTTGGCTAGCCCCTTAAGTAGGGTTTAGGGTCCTTAAGGAACTTACCGGGAAACCCTGAGATGTACAGTAACCTTTATTTGCACATCGTTTCTTTCCTTCTCAATATGCAGCCTCACAGCAGGTGAGGTATTGCAGATAGTTAGGCAGACGACCATGGGGCCATGTACCTCGTGGTAAGTCAGTGGAAGAGTGAATGATCTGCTGTCAGCCTGTTACTACTCTGCTGGGACTGTGTGTGTGGATAACTCATTTTCTCTGCCTGGGTCCCTTCAGAAATCATTTCTACCAGTTTGGAGAGATCCGGACGATCACCGTTGTGCAGAGACAGCAGTGTGCTTTCATCCAGTTTGCCACAAGGCAGGCCGCAGAAGTGGCAGCGGAGAAGTCCTTTAATAAGCTGATCGTCAATGGCCGTAGACTTAATGTGAAATGGGGACGGTAAGAGGAGACTATTTAAAAAATGTCTTTGAGATTTCCAAGAAAACTGTTTCATTATCTAGGGCTAGTGAGCTTTTTTTTTAGTCCTCACCCAAGGACATTTTTGCATTTTTATTTTCAGATAGAGAGAGAGGGAGGAAGAGAGAGAGAAAAACATCGATGTGAGAGAGACACATCGACTGGTTGCCACCCACACCACCCCAAGCTGGGCCAGGGACAAACTGCAACCAAGGTCCGAGCCCTTAGCAGAAACTGAACCCGGGTCTCTGGTTCGTGGGCCGACACTCTAAGCGCTGAGCCAAACTGGCCAGGGTGCTAGTGAGCTTTTGATGAATAGGTCAAAAAATTTTTTGTTGCCTATGTAACATTTATTCCTGTGGAATGTTGGGAACATCCTGCTTTGGACATTTATTCAGGGTTGTGGTGTCGTAATCTCCTTTGAGGGTTCATGTTTTTTGTGATCAGTTACTATAGACCAAGTATAATGCCAGGGCCTGAAAGGTGGATTTGAGAATTTACAAATGAGTTGGACCCAGATTCTGTCCTCTCAAAACCAACTGTCCAGTGGAGAAGAATAGTGATTTTAGGTTGGAAAGTGACGGAACACCCTGAAAGTTCAAAGGGGGAACATGTTTCCAACTTGGAGCCAGGGAAAAGATGGCTCGTAGCAGCAGCAACCCCATGGAGTGCTTCCTGGGTGCTGATTGGGCTCTGTGCTAAACACACAGGTGTCCCTTCTTGTCCTTAGTAGTTCTAGCATGTTATGGACCCAGGTCTTTCTGCTTCAAAACCTTTGCTCCCATCCACTCTGCACTGTGGCATTTAAGGGGAAACGGTGTTGGCTGATGAAGAGGCGAGGGGTAAAGGAACTCCATTTGACTAGGAAGCATGAGTAGAGGTGTGAGAGAAAGGACACAGTCCTGATGTGTGTGTCTCTCAGGTCCCAAGCAGCTCGAGGAAAAGAAAAAGAGAAGGACGGAACCACAGACTCTGGCATCAAGCTAGAGCCTGTTCCAGGCCTGCCAGGAGGTGAGTTCAGACTTTCTGCCTGCCCAGATCATCGCTAGCTCCAGATGCTCAGAGGGCTCTGATGTTCTTCAGTGTTAGAAGAGACCCAGGTCTTCGGCTCCGGCAACAGCTCTGTCTTCCCGCAGGAACACCCAGAGTTAAAGGTGGTGGAAACAGCATTGCACAGCTATCTTCTTCTCTAACTGTTGGCTGTGTTCTCTTCTCTAGCTCTTCCTCCTCCTCCTGCAGCAGAAGAAGAAGCCTCTGCCAACTACTTCAACCTACCCCCCAGTGGCCCTCCAGCTGTGGTGAACATCGCCCTGCCGCCACCCCCTGGAATTGCACCGCCCCCACCCCCAGGTATCTTGCACCTTCCTTCTCAGTAAATACATCTGACTTAGCCCAGAAAAATCCTTTTGAAAGTCCTGTCTTTACACCTTCCTTCCCATCATGTCTAATAGTCAAAATCCTTTTAGTTTGCCCCATAGAAGTCTGTAAGTAAATCTGATTTGTTAGGATTCCTGATACTTCCTTTACTTTCATGGCCCGCTGAGGAGGGGAAAGTCACCAGTTTTGTAAAGATCTGATATATGTAAAATCAGAAGGGAAGTTATTGGATTACAGTGACCTATCGCCAGTCTGTTTCCTGTTGTGATGTAATCCTGAGGTCCTAGAGCATTATTACTTAAAGTGCAGGCTGTGGGCTTTCGTCATTGCACAATATTACCTGTCTGCAACAAGATAAGGAGCTTGCGCCGGAACGTAAATTCATTAAGAAAGTCTTGTTACAAAAAGTTATCAGATGAACTAAACACTGCACTTGGTTGTGTGATCAGTTACATTTGGCTCACGGTCATTACCTTGTTGGTGGCCAGTAATAAACAGTTCAGGGGACTGGCCGTTTGTGTAGTGCTGCCCTAGAAAATGTCAGCAACAGTGTGAACAGTGTGAGTCACAAGTCCAGTGCTCCTGTGGCAGAGTTCCCATACTATTTGAAGAACAGCCTGGTTTCTGAACACCCACCACTGTAGTATAAATCATTGAAGTTAATGATGACAGGGTCTTCCATCATATCAGGGTCAGCCTGATTTCCTCTTCACCTCCCAAATCCTGATGGAATCCTACTTGGTAGGATTGGCATGTTTGACAGCCGGCAGGGGCTCAGATGACATATTCAAGATACCCTGAGTTGTATGGAGTTTTCTTTTAACTTGGACTGAGAGGACATGGTTCTTAAACCAAGGAAGTAATACTGGGAGACAGTCCTAAGCAAGTCTTGTGAACTGACATTTTCTGAAGCTCCTTGTCATTTGGTTTATGTGCAAGAGGTGTTGACCTTAGAAAGATTCAGAGGTTTGAAAGGTGGTCAGGGGAACTGCAAGCCTAACAGATTTGTTCTCCCATCTGCAGGTTTTGGGCCACATATGTTCCACCCAATGGGACCACCTCCTCCTTTCATGAGGGCTCCAGGACCAATCCACTATCCTTCTCAGGACCCTCAGAGAATGGGAGCTCATGCTGGGAAACACAGCAGCCCCTAGCACATTCTCACCATCTGGGGCTCTACAGAAGACAGGGCGCTTAAAAATCCTAGTAAAAGAATCTCGGAATAAATATATTTTTCCTTCCTTTGTAGTTTCCATGGTAGCTGAATGTGTTCAGATGTGGGCAGAGAATGACAGCCATGCTTTGATTGATGGACCTCAAATAAGCTGCCATTAACACATCTGGTTACTACTATAACATTACTAATAAAACTTAATGCCTGTTCCTCTTACTTCTAGGGGGAGCAAGCAATGGGGGGAATTGGAATGTCCAACGGAATTACCATCCCAATTATATGTTCATTTTCTGTTATGTTTGGGAGGGGGGAAAATTAACCTGCGGTAAAAATCGTTTGACCATTTTTATGTCCATTGGGTATTTTCTTTTCTGTCATCTAAAAGAAAAGATTACTAGTACTAATCATTGTAGTGGCATGAGTGTGACGTAACACTTCTGAAGTCACACCCTGGGAAAGACAGGTGGAATCCAGCAGCCAGCACAGCCCAGGTCTCTTCTCACCTCTCCGTCCTTCATTGATCACTAAAGGAATCAATCTGGCTGATCATTTACGTCTCTACGCTCCAAAAAAAAAGACAGATAAAAATTACTTTGTATTTCTATCAATTGGATGGAAACATTCATGAAGCTGTACCGTTGAAGAAACCTGGTGTCTGAGATGGAATTATTTTACAAGAACTTCCTATAAAACACTTTAACAGACTGAAACGAAAAGCGTTGGAGTGTGTGTGAATGGAAGACTCGTGACCCTCAGCTGGACCTTGGATCTTCAGCATTCACCTTCGTGTGTCTCTTCATTCCCCGCTTCTGGGCAGGGAGCTCTGTTTGGTCTTAGGGTTTGGCTATCACTGAATTGTAGATGGCAAAAATAATTTGATGTTGTGTTGTGTTTTTTGTTTTTAAAAAATTAAAACGGGTCAATTTTCCAAATGTCATAGGCTTATTTCTAGATTTCTGTTTTATCCTTTGGTAGTTGAACTTGAGGTCAGTGAAAAGTAGAAACAAGTTATATAAAAATGCAAATTTTTGCTTTGGATTTGATGTTTATCTCTGTTCACTCTATGATGATAAAAAGGTCCACAGCCAGTAGATGATTGAAAAATGGTAGCCTTAAAAAATCATTTTATACAAGTCATTTTAAAAGGAAGCACACAATTTATCTACAAAGCCCTTGTTCCTGAAGCCGATTCCATGTCACTTTTATCTAAAATATGTATTTATGGAATGGACATACCCTATATAACACCCTTTTGTAGCTTTGCTGGAGTTTTGTTTTCCTCTAGAGCAGTGGTTCTCAACCTTCCTAATGCTGCAACCCTTTAATACAGTTCCTCACGTTATATGTGGGCGTATCTGCATGTGGGTGGACCCGCCTGGAGACATAGAGGAGCCGTGTCTCGGTTCCTAAGACCATCTGAAGTATGTGTTTTCTGATGGTCTTAGGCAACCCCTGTGAAAGGGTCGTTTGACCCACAAAGGAGCCGTGACCCACAGGTTGAGAACCGCTGCTCTAGAGGGTTTTGTGCCCCCCCCCCCCGCCCCAGGTTTTAAAATTAGAAACACTTCAAAATTTTGATTTTATTTTTAGTAATATAGGGTACTTCAAAGTATTTTGATGCCATTTGGGTGTGTATTTTTTGTGTCTACTTTTGAGCATGTAAGAAATTTTTAGTCAATTTGTGAATAAGATATGAACCATATGTAGTGTTTTAATAATTGCCAGATTTGATCATAGCTATACACACACAAATATGTAACTATGACTATCCAATTGTATATTGCCTTTTTGAGAAGGAAGAGATTCTAAATTTTGTGTACTATCTGGCTATGGAGATAGAGCATAGATGCTCAATTAGTCTTAAGTAAATCAGAATTATGAGCAATTAAATTTTGGCAAAGACTCTTAGGTGCTCATCAAACTCCATTTCCTTCTCTTCTAGGACACACAGCTCAGGGTACACGTGAAAGGTAACCTTTGACAGACCTGGTCTGTACAAACATCTCACTCAACCCTGTGAGCTTTCCCCCCATCTGCTGGCTAAATGCACAGGACTGTCTCTGGAGGATGGCAAAGTCACACAATGAGGGAACGTAGGATCTATCCCTGCCTTGAGAGCACTGTGATACAAGGAATTTTGTTACAGTGAGCCATTGAGACCTGGGGACTTTTCTGTGAAAGCAGCTAGTGTTACTTTAATAACTGAGATGTAGTCCAATCTGATCACACAAAAAGAAAATTTTTTTTTGTTTACACAGTAATGGCTTAAAGACTGGAGCCAGATGACCTGAGTTCAAGTCCTTACTTCAATACCTCCCAGCTGTGTGACCTTGGGCATGTCACTTAACCTCTGCCTAGTTGTCATAATGCCTCACCTCCCAACCCTTCTCACTACCTGTATTCTGAGCTGTAGCGTATGTATGCACACACTCACTCACTCACTGGAGTATTTTGAGCTGCTCCCCTCATGAAGAAGGCTCAGAGGGAATAGCATTATGACAACTGAAGTAAGGCAGTGACTGCCTATGGGGCAAAGAGTGTGATGTGACAGATTTTTGGAAGCCAAATCACAATAAGACATTGTACCTGAAATAAACAGAGGTGACAGAGGAGGGATCTAGAGTGACCCCACCCCCAATCTCTGGCTTGATCTCTTGGGTGAGGTGGCATCTTTCTTATAAAGGTACTCTTTTTACTAGGCTGTTTGGAAGCCAGCAAGCCCAGTCTATAATCAGTGGGAGAGAAATTACACTCCACCTTCTGAAGGGGGAGTATGTACATATATTATTTGGAAATCTATAAAGAAGGAAGATGTGTCCCTTTTTCACCTTTATTGAGTCATTTATATCACTATAACTCATGGCTATTGACTTGATTCTTTGAGTTATAAGCTATTCTGTGAGTTGCCTTTTCACTCTCTTGCCAGTGTCCTTTGATACATAAACGTTTCTAATTTTGTGTGTTCATTTTTTACAAGTGTTTCTTAGGGAGTTGAGTATACTCTAATTTGGTGGTGCAGGATTCTACATTTTTATTTTATTGTTCAAATTTTCTAAATCCTTACCCATTTGATAACTGATCAGTAATTGAAAAAACTTTGTTAAATCTTCCACTATGATTATGGGTTTATCATTATTTAATCATCAATCACAGTAATGCTTTTTGTCGGAAAGTCTTTGCTAGTAATATAGGAAGAACACAATTCTTTTTTAAAAATCTGTTTTTCAATTATAGTTGACAGTTTCATGTGTACAACATAGTGACTAGACATTGATATACCTTATAAAGTGATCACCTCAGTAAGTCTAGTACCCATCTGGCACCATACATAGTTATTACAATATTATTGACTATATTCCCTATATGTCCCCATGACTATTTTCATAACTGGCAATTTGTACTTCTTAATCCCTTTCATCTATTTTTGCCCATCTTCCCAACCCCCTTCCTAGCCAGTGATCATAAATTTTTTCTCTGTATCTATGAGTTTATTTCTGTTTTCTTTGTCGACTTATATTTTTATTTTTTTTAATTTTAAATCTTTATTGTTGAATGTATTACAGATGTTCCTCATTTTCCCCCCATTGACCCCCTCTTCCCCACTCCCGCCCCCCTCCCACCTTTTTCCACACTATTGTCTGTGTCCACTGGTTATGCATATAAGTTCTTTGGTTTATTTCTTCCCACCCCTCAACCCCTTTCCCTTTGAGATTTGTCAGTCTAGCAATGAATTTGTACTTCTTAATGCCTTCACCGTTTTCACCCATTCCCTCAACCCCTATCCCATCTGGCAACCAACAAAATGTTCTCTGTATCTATGAGAATGTTTCTGTTCTGCCTGTTCATTTTGTTTGTAGATTCCATTGTCGATAGATATGCATTCATTGCCATTTTGTTTGTTCATATATTTTATCTTTTTCTTCAAAAAGACCCTTCATCGTTTCATATAATAACGGTTTGGTGGTAATGAACTCCTTTAACTTTTTCTTGTCTGGGAAACTCTTTATATGGCCATCGATTCTAAATGACAGCTTTGCAGGGTAGAGTAATCTTGGTTGTAGGTTCTTGCTTTTCATCACTCTGAATATTTCTTGCCACTCCCTTCTGGCCTGCAAAGTTTCTTTTAAGAAATCAGCTGACAGCCTAATGGGAACTCCCTTGTAGGTAACTAACTGCTTTTCTCTTGCTGCTTTTAAGATTCTCTCTTTGTCTTGAACCTTTTGCATTTTGATGATGATGTGTCTTGGTATGGGTCTCTTGGGGTTCATTTTGTTTGAGACTCTCTGTGCTTCCTGGATTTGTATGTCTGTTTCCTTCACCAAGTTAGGAAAGTTTTCTGCCATTATTATTTCAAACAGGTTTTCTATTTCTTGTTCTCGCTCTTCTCCTTCTGGCACCCCCAAGATGCGAATGTTGGCACGCTTGAAGTTGTCCCAGAGGCTCCTTACACTATCTTCATTTTTTTTAATTCTTTTTTCTTTTTGCTGTTCTGATTGGGCATTTTTTGCTTCCTTATATTCCAAATCGATGGTTTGCTTCTTGAATTTACATACTCTACTATTGAATCTGTGTAAATTATTCTTTATTTCAGTTAATGCCTCCTTCATTTCTGACTGGTCCTTTTTATTGCCCTTGAGGCCCTCACTAAGTTCGCTGAGGTTCTAAGTTCATTGGGCATCCTTATAAGCAGTATTTTGAACTCAGCATCTGTTAGGTTGCTTATCTCCATTTTGCTTAGTTCTTTTCTTGGGGTTTTGTTCTGTTCTTTCATTTGGGATCTGTTTCTTTGCCTCCTCATTTTGGCTGCCTCCCTGTGTTTGTTTCTGTGTATTACTTAACAAGAGGTATGGGGCTAGCTGAGACCAGATGCTGCTTGTTTGAATGAATTTAGGAAAACCTGAAGCAGGATCCAAGACAGGCCAATCCTATGGTTAAGCAAGTGCCAACAGCTTGGGTGGGCCTGAAAGTTGGGTGGGGCGGGGCCTCAGGGAATCACCAGGGTGGGGCTACCAGTGTGAGCCAGGTTGCTGGAGTCCCAGATATGGCAGCTGTCTGCCAGCCCAGGGAAGGGCTCACCAAAGGAACAAAGGCCTCTGACAACACGTCTGTCCTGGAGAAAGCCCCCTCCACAGCCCTCGCTCCAATGCCAAACAGCTCAGTTCTTCCCTGTATGTCTCTGGCGCCCGTGGAGCTGCCTCCCCTCCAAGCTTAGAGGGAGAGAGTGCGATAAGTCCGTGCGCGAGCCCTTTAAGGAGTTGCCTGGGGTTCCAGCTGCCTCAGCTTCCCTGAGCCTCAGTTCCTGCTGTTTTTTCCAGCCAGAAGTTATGGGGATTCTCTTCCTGGCACTGGAACCCTGAGCGGGGCACCTGGTGTGGGATGGGGACCCCTCAGTCCTCACGGAGGACCTTCCCAGCTGAGGTGTCCTCCTGATTTTTATCCGCCACACGTTTGTGTGGGACCAGCCTGTCACCTCCGCCCCTCCTACTGCTCTCGATGTGGCTGCTGCTTTAATTCCGTAGTTGTAGGACTTCCATTCAGCTGGATTTCAGGTGGTTTTGAATGATGGTTGTTCTGTAGTTTAGTTGTAACTTTTATGTGGTTGTGGGAGGACGCGATACCGCGTTTACGTACCCGCCATCTTGACCGGAAGTCCTCCACTTATTTTTTTTAGATTCCACACATAAGTTAAATCATATGGTATTTGTCTTTCTCTGACTTATTTCACTTAGCCTAATACCTTTTGGGTTGGTCCACCCATATTGTTGCAAATGGCAAGATTTCAATCCTTTTTTTTTTTTTTTTTGGCTAAATAATATTGTATTGTATATATGCACCACCTCGTCTCTATTCGTCTGTTGATGGACACTTAGGTTGCTTCCATATCTTGGCTATTGTAAATAATGCTGTAAGGAACATAAGGGTGCGTATATCTTTTTGCATTAGCATTTTGTATTTCTTTGAATCTATACCCAGAAGTGGAATTGCTGGGTCATATGGTAGTTCTAGTTTTAATTTTTTGAGGAACCTCCATATTGTTTTTCATTGTGTCTGTACCAATTTATAATCCCACCAACAGTGCATGAGAGTGGAACACATTTCTTTGGGATGGTATTTGACAGGTTTATCCTTTTCTACTTCTTTATTTTATTTCTGTGTTATATTTTTAGGAGTGCTGCTTGTGAACAGCATGGAGTTGGAATCACTTTTTATCCTATCTGTGAATCTGGCTTTACACCGGTGAGTCCTACCTGTGTATCTTTATTGTGATAACCAATATAGTAGAATGTATTTATACCACTTCATTTTATGTGCCTGCCTTGCTTCTTTTTCATCCCTTCTGCTGTCTGTGGAATTGATTTCTCTGCTCACCATTGCTTCTTAGATTCTATACTTTCTTTCTGCATCCTTCCCAAAACATGTTCTTTTGTAATTCTTGCAGGGGTGAGTGCAAAACTCTTAATATTTGTCCGAAAATTTATTTATTTGACTCTCATTTCTTGAATGTGTGTGTGTGTATGTATGTGTGTAATTTTCTTATTGTTGTTATTCTAAGTGTTGTTCTTTTATAGGCAATCTAACTTTTTTGTCTGGGTTCCTTTGACATTTCGTTGTGACTTTGGAGTTCTGTAATTTCAGTAGTGTTTCTGAAGTATGGATTTAATTTATCCTTCTCACGGCACGGTGAGGATTATGTGAGTTTATGTCTTTTATCAAGTCTGGAAAACCACTAGTTATTATTATTATTTTTAATCTTCACCCAAGGAAATTTTCATTGATTTTTAGAGAGAGGGGAATGGAGAGAGAGAGGGGAGGGGAGAAGCATTGATGTAAGAGAGAAACATCGATTGGCTGCCTCCCATACATGCCCCACCTGGGATCAAACAAGCAACCTAGTATGTGTCCTGACTGGTAACCAAACCATGACATTTCTGTATATTGGACAACGCTCCAACCAACTGAGCCACACTGGCCAGGGCTCCCCCACTCATTTAAAAAAACAATTTTTTTTTTGCTCTGGCTGGTTTGGCTCAGCGGTTGGAGCGTTGGCCTGCGGTCCAGAGAGACCCAGGTTCGGTTCCAGCTGGGGGCGCATACCTCGGTTGCAGTTTGTCCCCAGCCTTGGTTGGGTTATGCGGGAGTCGGCCACTCAGTGTGTCCCTTTCTCATCGATGTTTCTCTCTCTCTCTCTCCCTCCCACTCTATCTGAACAAAAATGAAAGGATGTCCTTAGGTGAGGATAAAAAAAGAAAAGCTCTTGCCTATTCTAAGGCTATAAAAAAGGTTTTTACTTTATTGATTTTGGAGAGAAGGGAGAGGGGGACAAATAGAAACATCGATGAGAGAGAACATCAATTGGTTGCCTCCTGCATGCCCCCCACCAAGAATTCGGTCCACAACCTGGGCATGTGCCCTGACCCAGAATCGAACCGGTGATCTCTTGGTACATGGGTTGATGCTCAACCACTGAGCCACACCAGCCCCCCATTTTTTAACTCCTTCTGGAACTCCTATTAGTAGTGTTGGGCATTTTATATTGTTTTCCATGTCTTTTAACTCCTCTCATGTTTTTCATTTCTTTACTTCTCTGTGATGTATTATGGGCACTTTTAGTTCACAAATTCTTCAGATATATCTAATGCCATTTTTAGTTCACTAATTCTCTCTTCATGTACGTCTAGTCTGCTATTAATCTATTAACTTTTTTAAAAGGAGGGATTATTTTGGTGAAATATAACATATGTACAGAAAAAGTGCATAAAACACAAATTTACAACTAAATTAAATATTTTATTTATTTATTTATTTATTTTAATTTCAAAGATTGTAGTTTTTTTGTTTTTATCCTCACCTGAGGACATTTTTCAATGTTTTGTTCAGATAGATTGGGAGGGAGAGAGAGAGAGAAACATTGATGTAAAAAGGACACATCGAGTGGCTGCCACCCACACAACCCAACCAGGGCCGGGGACAAATTGCAACTGAGGTACGTGCCCTCTGTGGGAACCGAACCCGGGTCTCTCCAGACCGCAGGCTGACGCTCTAACCACTGAGCCAAACTGGCCAGGGCTGAATTAAGTATTTTAAAGTGAATGTCTATGCATCAATCACCCAGATCTAAAAGCAGAAAACGTCCAGCTTTCGCGGAAGCATTTTGTGTCCCTCACAATCACAAACCTTTTCTTCCTCCCAAAGTTACCACTATCCTGACTCAGGAAACACTTCCTTGCAGCAGTAAACACACACAGGTCTGTCTTCCTTTGCCACCACTTTGTTTCTGAGACGCCTCCGCATGGCTGCATGAGCTGTGGTCCATTCGTGTCCACTGCTGCTATGTCTATGTCAGGTTCCCAATGTTTTGGCTGTTCTCGGTCCTATTTTCTTTATTCCTCACCTGAGGATACTTTTCTACTTATTATCAGATAGAGTGGGAGGGAGGGAGAGAAAGGGAGAGAGAGGGACATCGATGTGACAGAGCCATAGAGACTGGTTGCCTCCCGCACGACCCCAACCAGGGGTGGGGACGAACTGCAACTGAGGTACGTGCCCTTGACTGGAATCGAACCCGTGACTCATTGGCCCGCAGGCTGACAATCTAAACGCTGCGCCAAACCGGCCAGGGCTGTTCTCAGTTCCTTTTATTCCCATATCACTATATGATTTTATTTACATACTGAACAAAACAGGCAAAAGTATAGAGTTTTATATGAAGGGTTTGTTGGGCCCCTAAATGACATGAAAGGTTAATGACCTACTTTTTCAGGATCCACATTTTACTTACTGTTGAATAAAGAAGCAAAATACAGAATACATATATTATGATCCCATGAAAACAAAGACATATCTTTGCATTTATGCAACTATACACATGTACTTATCTCTTCAAACAACCCTGGAGCTAGAAGGACCAGTGTTACCTCTGGTGGGCGGTGGGGCCGAGGGCAGGAGGGAGGAGGCCTGTTGCATGGGAGGAGCTATGTGGGCAGATACCTTCACATTGTACTTCACCCTTTGTTTGTTTATATATTTTTACAATAAGAATTATTATTATTATTATTTTTAAAACAATATAAAGTCATGTTATCAGAAGAAAAAAGGAATAAGGATTTGCTCTGGGCTGCAGCAGGCTCCCCACCAGGCTCTCGTCGGCTGCGCCCTGGCGGCTGCCATGACCCTCCGGAGCGCAGCAGCGCCAGCCCAAGGCAGTGCTAAGCCTCTTCTGTGTTTCCGACACTCAGTGGTTGGGTTTCAGCTCATGGAAACATGGCTCTCAGCGGCAGTGCCCAAATTCAAGACAACACGTCGAATGCAAGCAATTCTAAGAGTCGGGCTCCTGGCCCCATGAGACGGTGTGGGGCACAGGGAAGTCCAGAGCAAAAGGAAAAGGTAACCACTATCCCACATGCCCTGGGAACCAGATGGGTTCCTGACCTCATCTCCCCAAGAGACGGGGTCAGGGAAGAGGCAGGGGGGCAAGGGGCAGAGGTGATTCCTGTGCAAGGGGAGTCCCGCAGTGACCAGAGGCCTCCTTCCCTCCAGCCACATCCTAGCATCCTGCTTCTCAAGCTGCGTCCATTACAAGGACCGCCCTTCCAGTTAAGAGCAGTAGTTGCGTGAAGTCGGAAATGATCTAGCACTCGTTATGTACGTGTCCATCGCTGTGCTCACAACAACCCCTTACAGGGGCTTCTGTTTTTGTCCTCATCTTACCAGTGAGAAACAGGCCCCCAGCTGAGGAATTTGAACCGTCCCGTGCAGTCGGACTGCCCCAGCCTGCACTCTCAGCCTCTAAGCTCCAAGGCAGGGCGCTATTTTGAGGTGATTGCAGAGTGAGTGGGCACTGGCTTGGCCACCAGTGCAGTGAAGAGAGACAGTCACTGGAATAGGACAGTTCCCATTTTGGCTCTGTCCCTGGACAAGCCCCTTCCCCTTTTGAGCCTGGATATCCACATCTGTAAAATGGGACAATATTTTTCTTAGGGCTCCACTGAAAATTAGAAATTTGATATGCAGAGAACCGACTACCAGCCGAAGCACGGAGGCACCCAGTAAAGCAGCCATCCTCATCCTCATCCTCATCCTCATCCTCATCATCCTCTTCACTTGCACTGAGGCATTCCTTTCTCTCCTCTTCCTACTGAGCCAGGTAGAGCCCGGACTGCTCTCGCGGACACTAGGACAAGATCTACCCAGGGCCTGCTCAGAGTGGTGAGCAGGAGTTGGGAAGGGGGAGTCTATAAGGGTCCCACTTGGCACCTGTCCTGCAAGGTGCCCAGAGAGGTGCCCCTTCTTTCCAGCCCCATGTCCACCTCCCTAGTCCAGGCCTTGTTCCTTGAAAGCTTCCTGGCTTCCTTCTTTACTCCACTCTGTGCCCACATAGCAACACTGAGACCCCTCACTCCCCAGCCTAAGCACCTCCCTGTTTTCTTGGTGCAGCCCACCCAGCCTGGCCAAAGGAGCCCGGCGGCTCTAACAGCTGTCTCCTGCCCCCAGCGCACCCCACCCTGTGGATTCTGCACCTTCCCAGCACATGCTGGGCCGCTGGCCAGGAATGCCCCCTCACACCCTCTTCCCCGTGGACCCTTACTCCTCCTCAGGCCCTGCTCAAATCCTCTGGGAAGGTTCCTGGAATCCCACCCCACAGCCAGGGTTCGAGACCTCCCTCTGCCTCACTACATTGTGTTCCTCAGATGCTTTAGGCAAAATAAAGGTAATTGACTGCTTTATAAATCTATCTTCCCTACTGTCTTTTCCTACGCTAGGTCAGGGCCTGGGCCCCTCTGCGTGGGGCTATCACAGTGTCTAGCACACAGTAGGTGCTCAGTAAATGTTAGAGCATGAACAGATAAAGACCAGCTGCATCTCAGTAAAGAGAAACACTTTCTAAACCCCACATCTGGGGACTACTGAGCTTTGTGACCTGTGAGGCCAATTGCAAAAGGTTTTGTGTGTGAAGGCCCTTCGTAAAATGTGAAGTGCGGTCCACAAATCTTGGCTCCTGGTGTCCCCCAAACTCTGAGACCAGGGCATTGAAGATTCAGGCGGGGGCTACAGCTCCTCAGACTCCGGGAGGTTGCGGACCCAGCCCTGGGCCACTCTGTTGAAGCTGGGTCTGAGGCGGAGGAGTTCCAAGCCACTGATGAGCTCCGGGACGAAGGGGGTGCCTGCCCTGGACATGGTCTCCCCCACCAGGGGTCCTCCAAAGGGCACGGGGGTCCTGGGGGAAGAAGAGCAGGAGAGAGGTGGGCTGGGGCAGGGAAGGGATGGCAGCACACTCACATGCGGGTCACTGCGAGGGCTCCTCCCTGCCTCTCCAGGCCTCAGTTTCCCCTTCTGTACAGCGAGGTTGTGCATGATCTTTAACAGGTTCCTCCAGCTCTGGCCCTGGCGGGGTGGCTTGTGTCTTAGAAGCAGGAGCCACTTTCAGAGTTAGAATTGGCTTGTCCTACGCGAAACTCTAGGTTCCCCAGTCAGCTGCAGAAAGCAGTGGAGTTGGCACAGGGCTTCCTGCGTCTCGTCACCTCCCCTCAGAGCACTGTGCCACCAACGGGAGTGCAAAGGGAGGACGAGCAAGAGCACTGAGGACCGGGGAGTGCAGATTACCACAGACCTGCTCTCCGAACCCGTAAAACTCTCGATACGGGGGCAGGTTCACTCCTAGACTGCTGCTTGGAGGGCACACTGGTGCTGCGCCCTTGGAGGACAAGTTAGCAGGATCTCTTCACCTGGAAATGTGCAAATTTGTCAACCAGCAACTTCGCCTGTGAGCATACGGCTCCGGGAAGCCCATGCACATGCGCACAAGGAAGCAGCTCTGAGCAGGGATTAGCGACAAGCCAGAAACACCCCCCTGTCTATCGCCAGAGGAACGGACACGACAAGCATAGTCTAGTCACATGATGGAATACTATACAGCAGCTCAAAAGGAATGAAAAGATCTGTACGTATTAAGTAGGGTAGATTTGAAAAGCATAGTGTTGAGAGAAAAAAGCAAGCAAGTTCCAAAAAGAAATGCACAAGTATTAACACACACACATATTCACACAAAACAATGCTATGCCCTCTATGCTATAGGCATGGAGCTGTCCTTAGAAAAAGTTCTGGAAAGCTACACGCCAACCCGACAATGGTGTTCCCTTCGGGAAGGAAACTGGGGTCGAGGACAGTGAACACAGGAACCCTACTTTTATCTGCACTTGCACAGTTTGTTTGCTTTTAAGAGAATTTAAGGATGTGATTTTAAAACTATTTTTTAATTTTAAGAAAAATAACAAGCATTGCTCATGGGGTGTTTTTCCCACAGCCCGGGACCAATGGGAAGGGGAGCGTGCTTGCCCCTGGGCGAGAAGGGCAAGGGCCTGGGTTCCAGCCACGGCCGGGTTCTGCCTGGACCACCCCAGCTGTGGCAGCAGCAGCAGGCCCCGTGGGGACAGGCCGACGCAAGCCTCGCGGCGGGCCCTTGACCCGGAGCCAGACGTCTGGCTCCTGAGCACGCTTGGCCACCAACACTGCTGTTCCTCCTCAGTCTGCCTCAGTTGGCCCTTCTGCCCCAGAAGGATCTGGGTTCAGGGCTCCCTAAGACCCTCCTTCTGCTGGTGAGAAGGTGCCTCAGTCTGTCGTATCTGAGGTGTCAGATGGATGGGGCTGTGACCTGGGCTGGCCCGCCTGGAAGCTGGCTGTCAGGACTGGATGTCTGCTGAGGGTTTTAAATAGCTGGGCAGGCAGGGTGGCAGGGCCCAGGAGGTGAGAGCGCAGCCCTGGCTGTGGACAAGCCCCGGAGCACCTGCCAGAGGCCCGTGGCTCGCACGGCGCCCGTCGGGCACAACTCTCTCCGCCAGGGCCCTCCCTGCCTGCGGGCCGCCACATGCTGCCTGGCAGGCTCCTCAAGGCCCCTCGCCCCAGTTCCTTCGGCCTTTCCTCAGAGGGCCTGGGCTCAGGGCCAGCCAGTGCCTGGCACCACCCAGCAGTCTGTCAGACAGACACGGCCTCCACGTGTGCTCTGAGCAGTGCCAGAGGAGCTGGACGGTGGCCTCCTCCCCACAGACCCTCCACGTTCACGCTCACTGCGGTCCAGGCCAGAGGAGCGTTTTTCAGGAATAGTGTCAGACGGAAGTGCCAGTTGCGATCTAAATCCACCCCCAGCCCAAGGCCTTCCTCCAGTGCTAAGCTCCTGTCTTGACTCCTATGATTTGTTTCTGGGCCGTCAGGGAAGAATGTTAAATACATCCCTCTATTCCCCATTAGCTTTTCCAACTATCATTTCAACCTTCAAATAACAAGAATAGTAATAATAGCAGCTATTGCTTATTGACAGCTTATCACTTGCCAGAAACTTTGCCTATGGCTTCCCATGCCATCCTCATGACAATCTGATGAAGTAGGTACTGTAATAGTCTCGTTTTACAGATGGGGAAATGGAGGCTCAGAGAAGTCAAGTCACTTTCCCAAGGTCACACAGCCAGGCAAGGAGTCTGCATGTAAGCCCACGTTGAGGCCCCCACGCTTTAAACAGCGCAAACCGCTCTGTGGCCCTCACCTCTAGTATCCAGCATTTCGCTGGCACTGCCCGCTTGGCACAGCCTCACAGCACTTTCTAGGCATCTTCCAGATCATCGAGGAAAATGAGGAAAAGGCTGAGCTCTCTAGGCCTGGTGAGACCTGGGGCCCCCACCCGGGGAGGGAAGTGTACCGCCACGAGCACCAAAGAGGCGGGGCACAGCCGTGATGCAGAACAAGAAACCGGGCTCTGCAGTCCGTCCGGACTGGGACCCCAGCCCTGCCCTGCTTCGGCTTTGGGACTGTGGGCAGGTTGCTGATATTCCTGAGCAGGGCTCTTCACAGGCAGAATAGGAAAAACTAGCACCTGTTGTGGGGAGGCTCCAAGGAGATGTGTGCAGGTTCCCCATACATTTATTGAGCACCTACTATGTGCTGAAGCAAGAGCTCTAAGTTCTAGTCGGTGCTGACGAGAGTTCAGATACAGCCTGGCATGCCGAGAAATTCAGCTACTGCTGCCCTGTGACTGGCACCTGTGCACCCTCCTGCTCTCTCCCCAAGCTGCCCGCCTGCCTTACTTGTTGAAATTTCGATACTGGGCAGGGCTCGGGGTAGGACTTCGGCCTTGGCTCTGGTAGTCCCGGTAGCTGACGAACTCCTGCCACGGGCAGCGGTAGCCCTTGGGGATGACCGTGTGGTTGAACTTCTCTGGCGGGACGCTCTTGAGTGGCTCGGCATAGCCTGCAGGTGGAGCAGGGCGCGTGGGTTCCTCTCCCGGGGCCCTACTCCCAGGCCCACCCCGCCCAGTGGTTGGAGGAGGAAAGACCGAAGCTGGGAAAGGGGAGTGTGTGTGTGTGTGTGTGTGTGTGGAAGGGGTGACGTCAGAAGTTGCTCCAGCAAAGGGTATCCTTCCCCATCACCTGGAAGAATGACTGGAACAGGGGGATCTCGAGTTGGGGTGTGGATTCTAGTCTTGACTCGGACAGGAGCTCACTGCGTGACCTGGGGCATGTTGCTGCTTGTGTTAGGCCCACGGAGGGGTGTGTGTTTGGATGGGGAAGGGGGTGGACTAGACACTCTCTGGGCATCCTCCCTGCCCCGCCCTGGGAGCACGCTGCTCGGGTCCCCCTGACACTCCACCTTCAACTTTGGTCTGGATCTCGGAGGCCACTCACCTGGTGCCAGGGCACTGGGGCTGGGGGCGCGCTCCGTCCTGGAAGCCGGGGGCTGGGTGTCCTCGGGGTCCCCAGGGGACGCCCCAAAGATGTGGAGCTGGGAGCCGCAGTTCTGCAACTCCAGGCTGTCGGCAACCTGGGCACAGGGGTGCGCACAGAGGTGAAGGACAGCCTTGATGTCGCCACATCCCATCCCCCAGCTTCCCTTTCTGTGGGGTCTCCCTCCACACTCACTGTCCCCAGTGCCTGGCACTGGGGATGGGGTGGGGATGGAGGTGGGTGGGGGGGCCTGTAGGCAAGTAAACTGCAGGGAGGCTCAGCTCCGCAAGGGACCAGGGATCACTCTCCACCAAAGGAGGGGTGCATAATCCTAGCACCCACCTCCCGGGATGTTGGGGGGTATGAGTGAATAGTGCAGGGTCCTAAACCCAGTGCCAGGGTCAGAGAGATGTTCTCTATATGTTAGTTGCTATTATAATATTAACCCTGGGCAGATGACCTCCCTGCACGTCAGTTTCCTTCTCTGTAAAATGGAGATGATGAAGATGACACCACATTTTGAGGGTAAATAAGCTGATAACATGTAAAGTGCTTAGCTAGCAGGGTCTTGGACGCATAGCAAGGGTAGGCGTCTTGTCATCTTTATCGTTCTGTTGTATAACTCCTTCTCAGTCGCCTCCTGTCTCATCCCGAAACTGGGCGGCGCATGGATGAAACGCCCCGGCGCTCCTTCGAGTTCCTGAGACTGCCGGCTGCCTTCGGAAGGCTGAGGGTAAACTGTCATTGCCTCCTTTGTCTCCCAGCTCACTGTTCCACAGCCTCGTCCTTCTTCCAGTGGGAAGACGAGAAAGGCGTTCTGTGTTTTCCACCTTAGATCAAGTCTAATCTAAATCTCTCCCGCTGCAGATTCCGCCCAGCGCACTGACTGTTCTTCAGCACTGTGTGTGGGAGCTCGAGGTCCTGTGCTCTGCACCCGGCCCACTCCCCGTTATGTTCCGGATCCGGAGCGGTGCCTACAGGGGTAACACTGTTCTGGGCTCACACAGCAAGGCAGGGGCTCAGTCTGATGGGACCGTCACAGCCTTCCCTAGCTGGAGCGGGAGGGTCTGCCCAGGGGCCAGAGGTCCTCACCTGGCTCACTGTTTGGCTTTGGGCAAACCCCTGGCCTCTCTGGGCCTCAGTTTCCCTGTGAGCACAATGGGGTCTTACCGGCCGCTGGCTGGCTGCCAACTCAAAGGTGAATTTCTGCACACGGCGCTGCCTCTTCTGGAAGAGGAGGGATCCTCGGTTGTTGCGCAGAGATAGCTCCTCCATCATTAGGTCCTGGGGCACGCTCAGCTTCTTGCCCAGGTCCAGCAAAGGGGCTGTGGGGAGAGGCCAGAGTGAGCTCTTACTGCCTAAGACTCAGGTCCCTCGGAGCCACCTCCAAGGGGACGTCCTCACAGCACTGTCCGTGTGTGAGAGAATGCCAGCCCCTCCCCGCACTTGCCATCACTGAGCGCCGTCGTTCAGCGGACTCCTTGCCCACCTGGCGGGCAGAGATGACACCTCAGAGTTTCACTTGCATGTGTTTGGCACGCAGTGAACTTGGGCATCGTTTCAGATGTTCTTTGTCCATTTGTGTTTATTTATTCCACGGCTCCCCTGGGCAGCTCATTGCCCACAGTGGTGGAGGTGGTGAGAAATGGTCAGGTTCTAGACAGATATCTATAAAGGCAAGCCATGCATAAGGGATGGGGGAGGGGAGAGGGGCGGGCCACGGCAGGCTCTCTGGCCTCAGCCACTGGAAGGATGGAGAGGTCACTCCTTGAGATGGGGACGGTCTGGAGGAGACGTGGGGAGAGTCAGGAGTTCAGTGTTACATGTGTTCTTGTAATTTTAAGCGAGCCTGTTATGATGATAAACCACTATGTGTGCGTTGAAGAAAGTTAGAAAAGACAGAAATGAGAGAGAATGAACAATACCATTTTCTACCATTCAGAGATTGCCACTATTAACATCTTAGTATATATATCCTTTGATATATTTTTCAATGACTATATATTCATATAATAGCTTTTAACCAAAATGGAATCATAGCCTAGGTGCTTTGTAACTTCTTTAATCAATTAAAGATCTCCACCTTTCCAAGTGAACAAACGTGTCTTATATAATGCTTACTCCATATTTAAAGTCCCCTAATTTCCTTCAAAATTGGACATATAAGATTTGAAGACCCTTGTATACATCCGCATGGAGGGTCCCTTGATGGGGGGGTGGTGGTAACTGACCTGAGATAAAGATTCGGGCATCATGAGCTTATCAAAGGTATTCATTGTGTTTATTTCTTTTCTTATAGTTAGGACTATGGCTGGTTTATAGCCTGGGGCCTCCAACATTTAGATGGAGGCAATGAGGACCCAGCCCTAGAGCCCGGAAGGAGCGTCGCGAGGCAGGAGGAAGTCTAGAGCGTGGTGCCCTGGAAACGAAATGATGAAAGCATTTCAGGGAAGATGGGTTAATCCCCGGAGCAAATGCTGCTGGCGTGTCAAGATGAAGGCTAAGTTGACCGTGACATTTAGTAACACGCGGTTACTGCTGGTGATCTTCATTCACAGAAGCAGTTGCTGGGGAATATTTGGGTGTAGAAAGCCTTACTGGAGAGGGTTCAAGAGAAAATGGACAGGGGAGCAGTTTGAGCACACCACAAGGAAGCAGTGAGCCAAATGAAACATTCTGCAGGGCAACGGGCCTGGTTTCTTCAAAGGAGTGAATGACATGGGAAAAATAAGTGGGGGTTGTTCTAGATTAAAGGAGACTTAAGAGACATAGCAACCAAATAAAAACAATGGCGCTAATTTGGGTCCTCATTATAACAAAGTGGACGATCAGAGAACGTAAACGGTGGGACTGCTGATTACATAGTATTCTATCAATATTGCTCATTTTGTTCCGTGTGCTCGTGTCTTTGTGATGAGTGAGGAAATGTCCTTTTTATGATTTTTGATGCACTCGGAAGTATTTGGAGCATGAAACGAGATGTTCTTTGGGATTTGCTCTGGATTCCAGGAACGAGAGGAGGGCCATGGGGATTTGCACTCTCTGCTTTTATGTGTGTTTGGAAATTGGCTTGATAACATGTTCAAGAGAGAAAGAGAGGAGGGGAAGACTAGAGACAACATGCTCTACAGGACCATGGCTGACGGCAGCTGCGGAATCAAGAGGGGTTGTTTGTTTGTTTGTTTGTTTTTAAAGAGGGAGAAATAACAGAATGTTTGTTAGCTGATGGGAAAGTTTGACAGTGCAATAGAGAGAGAGGAGAAATACTGAAGGGGTGTCCTTGAGCGGAGAAGAGGGAAGGGAGGGCATCCGGGGCCCAGCTAGAAGGGTTGGCTTCAGACCAGCAAGGAGAGTTCATCTACCACATCAGGAAGAAGACAGAGCGTGGACACAGGTGTGGAGAAGCAGCTTGCAGACATTCTCTTTTGGTGACTTCACTTTCTCAGGGAAACAAGAAGCAAGGTCATTAGCTGAGAATGAGGATGGGGAAGGAGGTGTTGGAGGTTTGAGGAGAGAGGTGGCCAAAGTTGTCTGGGAGTTTTGTGGGTCACGGAGCTGGACGTGGTCACCAGGCAGCACTGAGGCCGTTCAGGGTCTGTGACTCATTCCAGTCAGTGGACTCCTACACAGCCTTTTAAAAAGGAGGTTGATTTTTTTTTCTTTTCATTCTTTCAGCAGATATAGAGAGAGCACCTTCTACATGTTAGGGGCAGAAATAAATTCACTGTAGGTTAAAAAAGTGGGGGAGTAAGTTTTAGAAGAATCTGTATTCTGAGGTCCCACTGATATATATATCCCACTGAGATATATATATATATATATATATATATATATATATATATCATCACCTGAGGATATTTTTCTATTTTTTTGTTCAGATAGAGTTTAAGGGAGAGAGAGGAAGAGAGAGCGAGAGAGAGAGAAAAACATCGATGTGAAAGGAACACATCAAGTAGATGCCACCTGCACAACCCAACCAGGGCCAGGGACAAACTACAACCGAGGTACATTCCCTTAGCAGAACCGAACCCGTGTCTCTTGGGACTGCAGGCCGACGCTCTAACTGCTGAGCCAAACTGGCCAGGGCCCACTGATATATATATATATTTTTTTTTTCTTTTTTTTTTTTTTAATCCTCATCCGAGGACATTTTTCCATTTTTTATTCAGATAGAGTGGGAGGGAGAGAGAGAGAGAGAGGAGAGAGAGGAGAGAGAGAGAGAGAGAAACATCGATATGAAAGGGACACATCGAGTGGCTGCCACCCGCACGACCCAAGCAGAGCCGGGGACAAACTGCAACCCAAGTACATGCCCTTAGCGGGAACCGAACCCGGGTCTCTTGGGACCGCAGACCGATGCTCTAACCGCTGAGCCAAACCGGCCAGGGCCCACTGATATATTTTTAAAACAAATATATGTTCAAGCATGCATTGAAAAATCTGCAAGGAGCATGCCTAATATTAACAGTGATAAGTTAAGGGATATAGAGAGGAGGAGGGCTGGAAATTATTTGCACTGTTTTTGTTTTTTTTAACAAGAAAATGTACTGCACACTTAAAAGCATAGACTATTTATACATAAATACATAACAAAAAGTCTCTTGGCATCATATTCTCAAATACTATCCAGATGAACTGAGCTTAATATATTTTTTAAAAAAGAAAAAACCGCTGTACACAAAACCTGTTTGATTAAGCAATTCTGGCATTCGTTCTTAGGGGGAGAAGTTGAATCAACATGCCCCAGGATATGTGTACAAGGATGTTTATTACAGTGAGGTTTCACATCGTGAAAACTGAGCTCAGTCTTGTGGTGGATGCCGTCCAGATGCCCGTACAGTGGCTAACAGTCCACAACTGCACCCTCTGCAGAGACCTGCCAGGTGAACAGAAGGGTCACAGTCCCCTTGCTGAAGGTGGGATGAATGCCCTTCCCCCCAACCCCGGGGTCAGACTGATCTGGGGTACGCTGAGCCCACCTCCTTGGTCAGCAATTTCCCTGCCCTATCCTGCTTCACTTCCCTTCTGAGAGTGTGACCTTAAAGGTCACTTGCTCGGGAATCCTCAGGCTCTGCTCCTAAGGGTCCCAACCTAAGATGAGCCGTCATGCCCACCATCAGGTGCGTGTGTGAATCTAAATATGTGTAACATAAGACATTGCAAGGGGGGAGGAGGTGGTGAGCTAAATCATACGAGGATGGGAAGAATTCTGTGGTTTGCTGCTAAGTGAAAATAAATTTAAGCTGAAGAACACAGTGTAGAGTCTTCAGCCCTCATGTGTGTATTTGCATTTATGAAAATACCTTTATACACGAACAGAAGAAGGACTGACACAGATACCTTAACGGCGGTTATCTCCAGATGTTTGTGTCAGGAGGAACTTTCACTTTCAAAGTCCTTCACGATGTATGATTTGTATAACTGTATAGTAAAGAAGCAGATCTGGAGACAAAGATCTGGAGTGAGAGCTCAGCCCTGCCACCTACAGGATGAGTGACCACCTCGCTCTTCTGAGCCTCAGTTTTCTCATCTGCAAAATGGTGATGATAATGTGTAATTGACAGAGTTGTTGTGAAGGTTATATAAAGCATCAAAGCTCTTAGTACAGTGACGTACGGTCAGCACACAATCATGGCTTTTTATTATTCTTACTCTAGAGTGGATGTCTTGGTAGTGAAACTATGAGGTGTTCTTTTTTCTTTCTTTCTACTTTTCTTTGGTTTCGAAATTGTCTTTAATTAATATCCTGGCAATAGTCAATAATTTACGTATTTCCAGTCTGGCATAAACGACGTGTGTCCATATTTGGGGGTCTAATTCATTACTGAGATGCGAGAAGAGAGGGTGTGTGGCCCGTGGGTCCTGGTTAGAGCATCCGCACAGAGTGGGTGTGTTTCAGCACACGAGATGGTGGAACAGAAAGAAGAAACGTGCCTCTGACCGAAGGAGGCGAGAACGCACAGAGGAGGTTAAAAGGATGACGCACGTAGGAAGCACACGACATGATTAGGTGCTTCCCAGGAGGCAAAACCTCGCAGTGCCCTTGGCGAGGGTTCACCAGCGCTCTGTGCGCTGTGCCCGGGAAGCAGGCTGGCGGGAGCACGGACGGCCCCTCCCAGCTCCTGGGAGTCGGAGTCCCTGGGGGCACACTGGCCGTCTGCATTTCAACCAAAGCCCCGTCACCGATTCACGTGAACGTCTGAGAGGCCGGGCTGAGTCGAGTTTGTTTTTAAAATACTTGAAATGCTCTAATGGAGGCCAAATCAACGGACTCCAAAAGGATGCCAAGAGTTCTGGGAGAGGCTTATAACGTTGATAAACATCCATCTTCGACGATGGATTCATTGGATGAGTTGGTTTTTAAGGGAAATGGTTTGAGTCCAGCTGGGTGGCCTGCCCTTGCCGCCAGCCCACCGTCTCCCCGCCCTGTGTCTTGCCGTGGGGGCTCGGTGAGACACGGGGTCCAGAAGCAAGGACAAGTGTGCGGGGAGCTTGGGGCTACAGTTAAGGCTGGATCTGGGGTCAGAGCCTGCAGAGCTCAGTTGCGGGCTGGGGAGGACTTAGCTGAGGCAGGCCTGGTCGAAGGCACTCAGGCTCAGCTCCTGGGTGTGGGGACAGCAGGACAAGGCCCTTCCCAATGCTTCGGGAAGCTTCCCAGCCCAGGTGGCAGATCCCACAGGCACTCCCTTGGGGCTGGCCTGGAACTCGCAGCTGGTTTTGTAGGCCTGGGGCCAGCAGGCCTAAGTGGCTGCAATCTGGGACCCAGAAGGATGGGGTCTGAGGAATGCCCGAGGGCTGGGTCCACCTTACCTGGTTCCGCTTGGTCCCCCATGGCCGCCATCGTGGGCTCCTTCTGCTCCTTGGGGATCATCCTGTAGATGAGATGATCCACAAATGGACCAGGCCGTCTCCACTGCCCTCCAGACCTCCTCCAATTCCCTGGCCCACCCAGTTCTAGTCCACCTTGGTCTCAGGCAAGGGCCGTGTGAACTGGGCCTCTGGGGCCTCTCTGTACAGAGGAGGAGGCTGCAGTCCAGGGAGGGTGAGGGAGACGCTCAGTGCTTCCGTGTAGCTAGAGATGCGCTCTCTCCAGGGGTAAACTCTGGGACATTAGGGCGGGGAAGGTGGGGGCCTCAGACTATTTTCATCTGCTGACGCAGGTGGGCTCTGGTCAGCGGCCGGGAGAAGGTACAGGGGAATAGCTGGGGTGACACTGGGGTCTGCTGGCTGTCCCAGTACTTGGCCCTAAGACTTGAGGCCACAGGCTGGTCCAAGGAGCTGAGAAAATCATCACAGTCTTCTTCTACCCCCACTCCGGAGCTGACCTTCACGAGGTTCTCTTTTATTTTAATATTTTTAATTTTTAAATAGCAGTTGACATGCAGTATTATATTAGTTTCAGGGGCATAACATAGTGATTACACATTTATGTAATTTACGAAGTGGTGCCCGCTTCTTTCTCACCCCCCTCTTTCTCCTCCTCCATCCCCCCATTTGCATCTCATGGCACTTTCCAGGAAATTTACAAATAAAATGAGGTCCAAGCCCCCAAACCCCTCTAGGCCCCAAATCCAGATCCCCTAACTTGCTCCCAAAAGAGAAGGTAGAGCCCGTGAACCCCCTTACAGACCACACACCCCTGTGCCCTTCTTCGCCTCCAGGTTTTCCGTATCCCTCCCTTAGAATCACCGCCTGCTCCGTCTGCACCGCACACGCCGTCCCATCCCAGGTCAGTGGGCACTGAGCGGGTGACCTGGCGTCTGATGGGTGTCCCTGACTCCCTCCGTAACTGAGCAAGATACTCTCCAGCTCTGTGACTCGGTTCCCCCTCTGTAACACAGGGAGGTTGGACCAGATCACGGGGATCCTGGATGGGCTTCGAGAGCACCCAGGAGCCCCTACAACGACGCACACACGCACAAGCCTGCGTGCACTGGAGTGAGGGCAGTGGGATGATTGACGGCGCTCCCGCCTGTTCTTGATAAACACTCTACAGAAATTCACAGATGTTGAAAAGGGCCCTTCACTTTCCAGATAAGGTCCCTGCTTCCCTCTACTACCTAAGGACCTTGATGATCTGACCTAGAGCCATTATTTATCCCCCACCACGAATCCTAGCCACCCCCTTCCCATTCCACCTAGAGAAACCCAGGGCTTAGAATCCCTCCATCCCCAACGCAGGACTCAGACTCCCATGAGGCCTCACACTCCCCAGACTCTGCAAGGCCTTCCCTCTGCTCGGACAGGAAGGGGCTCTGGGAATGGGCTCACGACCTCCACCCCCTCCCCACAGCTCCTCAAGTTCCCCAAGAATCCTGGTACCTGAGAGCAGGGACCACAGTGGGCAGAGAGAACGTCAGACCCTCAAGACTAACACCTCTGTCAGGAAGCTGAAAGTTGGGTGGTCGTTGTCCGTGCAGCGGCCGGGCGGTCAGCGAGCTGAGAGCGCCCGGCGGCCAGCTCTGGCCTCAGCTGACGAGAATTGTCCCTGCCTTGTCGTGGCGCGCAGCCTTATTTCAGGCTGCAACAGGATCCAGGGACAGATGCTAAAGCACCAGGCCCCAGGGAAGACAGGTGCCCCAGCAGCAGGCCTTGCCGACAGAAGGGTTTGCACACACATGTACGCACACACGTTCATCTGACACACCAAAGTCACCTGGAAATGCTGAGAGTCAGTCTCCAGTCACTTGAGCTGGCTAATTGTGTCCTCAGTGCCTAGAACGAGGCCTGATAGGCTTGCCATAGGTATTTGTTGGATGGATGGATGGATGAATGGATGGATGGATGGATAAATGAATTGTCCTTCAATATCTTTGTTTGACTTATTCTTTCTTTCCTGCCTTCACTTCTTCCTTCTTCTCTCCCTCGCTCCACCTTCTCACATTCTCTCAGCCTCTCTCTATGGACTGAAAATAAATAAGGCAGGACTTCGTGCTCAAGGAGCCCAGCCAGCCCCAGCCAGACCTGTAAATAAGCCTTTGAGACGCATCATGGGAAATGCGCTGGGTGAGCCCAGGGGAGGGTGCCGCCAGCTCCGCCTGGGGGTGGGGGAGGCTTCCCAGAGGAAGAGACATTTGAGCTGGGCCTTGAAGGCTGAGTGGGAGTTCACCGGGTGGAGGGGGGCACAGGACTTGCCGGCAGAGGCTGCCTGTGCATAAGGATGGTAGGGGTCGGCAAGTAGGGCCAGCACTGGGGGTGGGGCGGTGCTGAGAGATGAGGCTGGACAGGTGGGCAGGGGCCAGATCACAGCAAGCTGTTCAAAAGGCAAGTGTGCTTTATAAAGAGCCGTTGAAGAGTTTAAAGTGGTGGAACGGAGTGGTCAGATTGGCATTTTTCCAAAGATATCTCTGCCTGCGTGTGGAAAATGGGGGGAGGGAGGCAGACCGGAGGCAGGCCTTCACTGTGGTCAGGGGAGGGGTGGGGTGGCGGATGGGGCAGTGACAGAGGCATCCAGAGGAGAGGGACTTGAGGGGTGTTTGGGGAACACCAGGCGCTGGTGAGAGACTGAATGTGGGAGGTGAGGAGAGGGCCACTCTCGTGTGTGGCTGAGGTGACTAAGGAAGGTAACAAGAGGGGCAGATGGGGGTGGGGGTCAGAAACTGAATCCAGTTTGGGATGAACTTGGTCTGAGTTGTCTGGGGACTGAGAGCACCAGGAGGCAGTGGGACACGGCATTCAGGGGAGGCTCCAGTTAAAGATAGAGATTGAATGAGGGGGCCAACCACTCCCATGGAAGGGTGGGGCCAGCAGGGATGCGCTAGGACACGGGCATGGAGCATCTGTACCTGTGCGATGGGACACAGTCTAAGGACATATTTCTGACACCTTCTCAGGGAGAAGCCTGGACTTAGCTGTGGACTGCCTGAGCTCGGCTTCTTCCGCTCGGGCTCCTCTGCCCAGCCTCCGCAAGGCCTGAGCTTCTAGAGCGGAAGGTGAGGAATGTTCCCAGGGCAGGCTTGGCCTCACCTGGGAGTGGGGCCACAATCCCCTCTCTGGGCAGAGGACACCGCCATCAGGAGAGGAGCATCCTAATGGTCTGCGTCCTGAGCTCACTAGGATTGTCTGGGCTTGGACATGGCCTCCTTCTCCTGCCTGGAGCCCTGACCTGCCACAAGGAAGTAGCCCCAGAGCGCTGGGCCCTGCCCAGCTTGGCCTGCACACTCCAGCGACAGTGCCGTGTGGTCAGGGCTGTGGTCACCCCGCCCTGAGACATCGCCTAGCCCAGCTTGGTCATTACACAGGTAGGGAAGCTGAGGCCTAGAGAAGGAGGGGGGCTTTCCCAGAGTCACCTAGCTAGTAGACAGTAGGACCAGGACTTCAACTCAGTGACTTCTTCTACGGCCTGGAATCTTTCCATCGTTTCCCCTCTCTCCTCATGGTTGCTACTTCCCAAGCTCCCATCCCGAGTATGTCAAACATTCTCATCCGCCCAAAGCCCGATGGACTGTCCCGTGGTTGGCGAGAAGGGAAGGGCTTTGGACACAGCTGGAAATGACCCAGGAGGCAGAAGGATTCAGGAATTATTTATTTAGGGCCAGAGCTGAATTCTATAGGAGGCAAGACATAAGACACAGGCAATCTCTAGAGGGTTAGAGGAGAGGACTGGGGGGAAGAAGGCAGTGAGGTGAGGGAACAGCCAGGCAACACTGCAGCTTTCCAAGGCTGCCTCCTGCTGGCTTTTTGTGGAAATGCAGGTAGAAGTAGATATTCTATGCCACTGCCCTAGCCAATGGCCTAATAATGTCTCTTCTCTGAATCAGGCCTTAGCTCTGCTTCCATGCTACAAGCACCCTGAAGCAGGTGAGCACTTTGGTAAATGTGGTCAATCATCATTGACCAAACCAGAGCATCCTCTCATCTTCCCACCAACAGAGCCTGTGTTCCCAGTCCTTAGACCCTAGTAACCCTCTGGAATCACTTCTTTATTCCAAAGCACCCCACTCATATCCTGACCCCCAGCTTCTCCTAGCCTTACTTAAGGGTTTCAGGTCTACAAAGTTTGGACACACTCTGTCCTTCATCTTTGGCAACATCCTGGTATCCTTTTACCTACACACCTTTGATCCTCAGCCAATACCTGCACCTGCACACTTAATATCCTAAAGTAGATATTCTGAACCTCTAGATGGCACCACCAGCCAGTTTTGGAAACTATCCAACTTAGCCACATTCCTCCCTGTGTCCCTTCTGGGGAATGGAATCAAAGCCACTAAGATTTAAGGGATAGGCTAGAGCCCACTGTCAGGATCCCCAAGGTCACTGGGCACCAGGTACTAGCTAGGCCAGAGGGCAATGGGGAACAGAACAGGGCCCATTCATCTGGGCAGAATGTGGACATTGGGACCTGGAGCTGAAGAGTGGGCGCTTCCTAAGGAACCAGAAACACAGGTTGACCCTGGTCTAGTTCCTCACTCACCCATCCAAGCTCACCTGCCCCTGAATTCTGCCCAGCTAACCCTCCACCACTTCTCTCCCTCTCTTCCGAATACCGTGGACTGTATTTCAGGACTGGAAGAGCCCTCAGAGGTCATCTGAAACGATCCATTTTCTACTAGAATCTCCTCTATGCCTCCTGGCCACTGCTTGCTTACATCCCATAACAAGAAACTCTTTGCCTCCCTCTTTCCATTTGGGCGACCTCAAACTCAGGGCCACAGGCAAGCAGCGAGCTCCAGATCAACCCGGAAAGGGATCAGCTTTGAAAGGGCTGCCATGAAAGGGCCCAGAAGGGATAGGTGGGTTGGAGACGCCTATAGCATTTCTGGAGATCCAAGTCCTGGGCCTGGAGGAAATCATTGCCTTCCAGCGCTCTTCTCTGGCTGCAGATAGGTGCCCTGGGTAGTCTGAGCTGGGGTGGAGAAAAGCTTAAGGGGGATCTGGGAGGAGGAATCTTCCTGCCTCTTCTCTCCAGAGGAGTGGGGCACCTTGAGCTGGCCTGGGAGACCTCTTTAAAGGTCATCATGGTAAAAATAGAGCTTGTCTGGGCAGGGATGGAAAACAGCTGCTGCTGGCTGGGACTTGGAGCCAGGAGGGCAGATGGTCAAGTCAGGACCTGGACAGGGAACTTAGGCCTCGGATCTTCTGAACACACACCCCTCATTTGCCAGACTTCAGAGAGCAGAGAGAGGGAGGAAGGAGTATGGAACCCTGGAATGCAGCAAGTCCAGGGGTCCATATACACAACACCTGCTTCTTCCAAGGCACGTGTGTGTGTGTGTGTGTGTGTGTGTGTGTGTGTTGATGGGAGGGAGCATTTAGACGTTCAGAGATTGCTTTGGCCAAAGCCCCATTAAACAGATGAAAAAGCTGGGGGTCAGACAGGGGAAGGGTCTTACCAAGGTTCACACAATGACTGAATGATGGAGTTAGGGCTAGAACCCAAGCTTGGATCACTACCCCACCCCCAAGCCCAGAGCTGTCCCCCCTGAGCCCTCATCTCTGGGGCTGTCCAAATAGGCCAGACCCTTTGGGGAGTTGTGCTGAGATCTCCCCAGCCTGACGGCTCTTCTCCCAGCTCGGCCCTCCCGGGACGGGGATGGCTTGGGCGGGGGAAGCTTTAGGTGGTGCAGGAGGCCTCGGCGGGGAGGCTGCCACGCTTGAGCCTCAGGCTCCCGTTCCACCCGCGGGGACAGATGTTGTAGCCGAGGATGCCGGGCGACTTCGCCCCGGAGTCCTCGGAGTCGAGGGACACGTCGGAGTCCGTGGGCGAGCGGCGATAGGGAAAGGGCCTGGACGGTGCGGGCAGCGGGCTGCGAGGGCTGGCGCAGGGCGAGGGCCCGGCCAGCTGCGGGCTCCGCGCGATCGGGGCGAACGTGGCCCCGGAGGCGGCCGCCGGGCCGGGGCGGGCAGGCTGCGGCGAGCGCATGCGCGGCGGCGGCGGCGGCGGCGGCGCCCGCGGCGGGGAGAAGGGCGGCAGGCTCTCGGCGCCCGCCGGCCGCGGGGAGGCGCTCTTGCGCCGGGCCGCGTTGATGATGTTTCGCGCCAGGAGGGCCTGCAGCTGGCGGCTGGGGGGCCGCACCTCGGTCTCGGGTCGCAGCGGGGATACCGAGCGCTCGCTCCACGAAGGGGACATGGGTGGCGGCGGCGGCAGCGGCGGGGGGCTGCTCATGCTGCTCCCGCGGCTGGGCTCCCACGGCCGCGGACTCACCCAGCCGTCCAGGCTGCTGGGGGGCCGCGACGCGCCCGGCGTCCAGGGCGGGGAGGCGTGCAGGCCCTCGCGGCGGTCCTGCGGAGAGAGCAGAGAGGGCGGGGCGCGCGTTAGTGCTGGGGTCCTCCACCGCGGGCTTTGCGAAGGGCCGGGTCTGATTTGTCCATTGCACAGCCAGGGCGGGCAGCGACCAAAGTCGGGCAGTGCCTGCAGGAAACGTAGGTGACCCACTCTCGGCCCAGGTGCCTGCAAAAGCCCCCGTTGCCTGCCCCTGCGACTCACAGGGAAGCAGGTGGCTAGTGGTTGGGAACACTCAGCAGCAGAAGCAACTGGAAACCTCTGGACTTCAGTGTCCTCCTCTGTAAAATGGGGGTGTCATGTCAGCGCGGACCCTACAGGGCTGTGGTGAGAGTTAAATGAGATAACTAATGTAAAAGAGTGTCACATGTATTATGTGATTCCCTGTGAGAAGGAACGTGCTCACTTGATGTCAGTTATCAAAGGAAATACTGAAAGGAGTCACATGAAATTAACCAAAGTGGTTTGTTAGGAAATGGGGTGAGCAGGGCAAAGTGCGCAGCCACAGGGGTGGGGATAGGGTTTTAATGTATTACTTTATGTAAGATTAGATTTTGTGAGCCATATGGCTGTATTATCTATTTAAAAATTAAAAAACAAAAATATTGATCATTATTATTAAGGTTGAACTTAGGCAAAGGCCCTCTCAGCCCCAACTGCATTGCCATGTTGCCATGGTCACCTTCTAATTTTTCCTTGGATGTCTTGAGCAGAGAGGACGTTCCCATTGACAGACGGAAACACAAAAGGAAGTTGGGTCATTCCTCCCCTTGCCCCCTCACTGGCTTCTTGCTGGTGTGGGTGGGGAGTGTGGACATCTTTGAGGTTATAAAGCGCTGCTCTGCTATACACTGTTCTGTTTGTTTCCTGCCTACTTAGGGACTTTCCAGTCTACAGGCTCAGTCTCATCCTTTGTCTTCCATTAGATTCTCACAATTGATGAGGTAGCTGGCATTATCACACCCATTTTACATTAATGAAGACGAAGTGCAGAGGTGTAAATTACTGTCCGTTATGTTTTGCCCACCAGGGTGTGTGTGTGTGTGTGTGAGAGAGAGAGTGAGAGAGAGAGAGAGAGAGAGAGAGAGAGATTGTCTACTGCTTGAAAGCTATGTCATATTTAAGCTATGTCATGCTTAAATAGTTTGAACTGGTATGAAAGTGTAGGGAGTGGGGATCCATGCCCAACATGTATCTGCTGTTCGTTCAATCACATTCCACCAATAAAACAGTCCACTCAGCCTTCAATCCAATCCAAATTCACCACCCGCCATCTCAGAGTCCAGAACTAGCCAGTGCCTCCTACTCAATATCTCATAACATCCATTCTCTAATCCAATCAGTAATCATTCACAGCCAAGCCATTCAGTCTCCCATCCAATCAGAATCAGATTTCTCCTGCTCAATAGGAAACAGACAAAGTATGTTTTCTCCAATGCAGCAGCTGCTAGATGAGTCCAGACTCAGAATTGGAGCCCATTAACCTGAAGAGAAATGTACAGCAGTCGGAACAGGAGTTTGTCATAGGTTGGTAATGCTGGAGTGACCCGAGGCCTCAATCAAGTAGGAAAGTTAAAAATCAGCATGGGATCCAGGGTTAGAGCTGTGTATCTGTGAGCCCGAGACACTGGGAGCTGCTCAATCAGTGCAGCATCCCAGGAAGCTCGCCGTCAGCCCAGCTGAGGGACCTGGGGCTTAGAGTTCATGATCAAAGCCCAGCTACAGGAACTGAGGCAGAGCCACCAGGGCGCTTCAGCCAGAATAGGCTGAGGCAGGGGGAGCTGTGATAATTGTCGGAGACCTCTAGGGGTTGTCTCTGCCTTTGGTGGCCACAAGGGGAAGGCTAGGGCCAGCAAGGGGAAGGAATAACAGGACTTCTCAAGTCTGTGCTGGAATGTTGGGGGCAGTGGTGAGCAGCTCTCATCATCTGGAGGTAGGCCAGAGCCTGACCTCATCGGAACTGCTGTGGCTGGATACTGACTGTGTGTGTGTGTGTGTGTGTGTGTGTGTGTGTGTGTAGGGGGGTGCACAATATAAAAAGGCTGTGGGAAATCAGAGCTGTTCACTATCTGACAGAGATCTCAATGCACGGGTATATACCAGAAGTCCTTTGAAATACACGTGGGTGAAAATTCAGAAAGTGTACCCACTTCACCCAGCACCAGCCCCAAAGCAGGGCATGTGTGTGGGGTGAAGCCGCGAGGAGAGCAGAGTCAGACAGGAGCAGCTGGAAACCAAATAGCACCCGCTCCCGGACTGCCTTCTGTAATTCTTGCATTGCACGGAAGCGGGAACTGAGGCCCAGAGGTGGGGAGGGGTCTAGTCACAGTGCAGATCTGGGACTGGAGTCCAGTTCTGACTTTTTTTGTTAATCCTCACTCAAGGATATTTTTTTCATTGATTTTTCTTTTTTTCTTTTTTAAGATAGAGTGGAAGGAAGGGAAGGAGAGACAGAGAAACATCGATGTGAGAGAGACACATCGATTGGTTGACTACCACATGACCCCTGACTGGGCTGGGGATCAAACCTGCAACAGAGGTACATGCCCTTGACTAGGACTCAAACCTGGATCCTTCAGTCCACGGGCCAATGCTCCAACTCCTGGGCCAAACCGGCCAGGGCTCCGGTTCTGACTCTTTGGCAGTTTGATCCTCTCTACCCAGGGCAGAAACTCAGTGTTTTCTGGAGGCAGGTGATGATGAGCACGGGAATGGCCAGGTGTAGATAGTAGGGAGAGGAGGGGACCTGAGAGAGCCGGAAAGTGTAAGCTCTGGCTAAAGGCATTTAGATTCCACTTGTAAAGAACTCAAAGGAACCTGAACTGTAAGAGACTGAGGGTTTCCCCATGCTCTACAATCTTTTTGACCAAACTCTGAAGGAAGTAAGGAACAGAAGAACATGATTTCCGCCGGGTTCTGGTTTCCAGGGAAGAGAGAGGGCACCTCACTTCCAAGCCAGCACACATCTGTCCCCAGGGCTGATCCAGACACACAGCAGATACAGGCAGCACGGGAGACACACCGCAGGAACGGAGCAGTCCCACCCCATCGCCAGGGCCAGAATCGGAGGAGGGAGACAGCCCTGACCACCAGCCAGCGAGCACGGAAGAAAGACAGAAGCAAGACAGATTTGAGGCAGAGTGTATTGAGAACAGGAGAGAAAACAAAGTTGGGGGAGAGCTTGGCCAGCCTGGCCGCAGGCGCTGTAGGATGGAGGGTGGGCTCTTCCATGGCTGGCCCTCAGGAGTCAAGGGGAGCAGGGATCTAGGGGCAGGGGCTTCACTCTGTCCTGGGAGGGGGCTGGCCTGAGCTGCTGAGCCCACTCATGACTTCCCCACACATACCCCTGCATTCTGGGCAGAACCAACTCACTGGGAAGGCACCGCCTGTTCCCATGGAGATGAGCCCGGAGCTCAGGAAAACTGCAGGCTCAGCCCAGCATGGGCACCGCCTCCACCACCCCTCTCCCCACTGGGGAGCCCAGAAATAGGGCTGGGAAAGAGAAAGTGGGTGGTGCTCAGGCCCCAGCCTTGGGAAGCTTCCATCTGAATTCTGCCTCTTGCCTCCGTATTCTCTCACCCCCCACAAAGCCTGGTTTTGGGGGGCTGCAGCACATCAAACTGTCAGAGGTGGTGAGGCGCTCATACTACCTGACTCAACACCCTCACTATACTATGAATGGCGAAACCCAAAGAGACACATGGAGTCAACCTCTTACATACCAGCCTTTTCCTCGAAACCTTAAGGTCCCCTCTGTCCCATCTCACTGAGCTGCTGGGCTCCTGTCCCACTGTCTCCAGGCAATCCTGCGCCCGAGCATCGAGCATCGAGCATCGTAGCCTAGGCTTCCGATCCCTGGGCTCCTGCAGCAGCTCATTCCAGCCACACCCTCCCTACAGCGTCCTTGCAGACATCTAACCTCCCCCTGTCCTATGGCAACTGCCCACTTCCTCCCCTCTTCCCAGGAGACTGTCATCACATACGAGGCATTTCTCCCAACGCACCAGCTTATCCTCTCAACCCTCGCAGGTTGTTACAGCTGGTAGAGCCCCCAGTGTATGCATGAGAAAACTGAGGCCCCGAAAGGGACAGTGACTTGGCCAGAGTCACAGAGCAAATGAGAGGCTGGGATGAGATCAGATCCCCTTCTGCCCCTCTCCCTTCCACTGCACGGAGATGGCTGCTTCTAGTCGGGCAGACCTTGGTTGAGTTGAAGCCAGAACAGCCTTCGGATACATCGCCAGGGGCCTCTCTCCTAGCTGCACACCCCCACCTGCACATCCTTCTACGGGGCTCCCATCTCTCAGGGGTCCCCTGGGACCTCCCCTACCCCAGGACGGTGAGGGCAAGCCAGGGGGAACCCGGGTGGAGGTCTGGGGTGAACTGCTTTAGCTGTCCCTAAAACAGCCAGACGTCTGGAGAAGGCATGGAGGCAGCTGAGCAGAGGGCAGGAAGGAAAGCATCAGACAGCGGTGATGGCTAGGTCTTCATTCAGGAGGAGAGAATGTGGAGGCCGAGGCAAAGCTCTCGAGGCAGCGGAGAGGAAACGGTGTCCAGAAGGCAGAGGTGGAAGAGACAGACCGGTGGAGGGGAGAATCCAGCAACAGGCAAGAGGATGCCAGGAGCTGGGGCCACGGGAAGGTGGCCCCACTGGGGCAGCAGAGGACGCAGCCCCTTGGCTGGCTGTTCCGCAGGTCCTGGCAGCTTCCATTTGCTCCAGAAGCCCCGGCAGGGCCCCCGTCTAGGCCACGCCCCAGCAAGACGCTGGCATCTCAATAGCTCACAGAGGCCAGGGGAAAGCCCCAGCCTCATCAGGGCCCGCCTGGGGAGTTCTCTCTCCGTGACCCTCCTCCCACCCAGGAGCAGACTTTATTACATGGATCCAACCACCCTCCTGGCAGGGAACAGGCAGCTGCAACTCAGAGAGGGGAGGTGACTTGCCCAAGGTCACAAAGCTGGCTGGTAGCAGCATCAGCCCTTGAGCTCGAATCCCCATACTCCTGACTCAGCCCTGGGCCACTTCCTGCCACATCTCCTGCCGCCCTGCCCTCAGAGAGGGGCTCTGGCAGGCGGCGGGGTTCGTTACTTGAAGCAGAAGGAAGGCTTCCACACCTGAGCCTCGATCCCAGCATTCCGGGTAGAGAAGGAGGGCCGGGGGGCCTGCTTGGCTCGGGGAGACCAGGCCCTGGAGGGAGACACGGGGGAGACATCGCTGCCATAGGTGGGGCTCACAGCGGGCTGGAGGCCGTCCTGGCCAGGGGCGGGGTAGAGGCCTGGCGAGGAACGCGAGGGCCGAGGCAGGGAAGGTGACCGAGGGAGGGCCGCTTTGGGCAGGCTGGGCGCCAGGTCCAGGGAGCTCGGCTTGGCGGGCGAGGTGGCCCTTGGCGAGGCCTTGGTCGGTTCCTTGATGGGAGAGAGGACGAAGAGTGAGGGCCGCAGCTGGTACGGCGGCTGCGGCTGCTTGGTGGGCTCTGGGCGCAGGATCCCATTCTCAGGCAGGTAGCCGTGGTAGAGGGAGGCAGGTGGGGTCCGAGCTGGGCTTCGGGACGCCACTCGGAGGCTGCCAGGGGAGTACTTCCAGGACGAAGGCAGGGACATAGTGGGCGAAGGGCAGCGGGCCAGGTCGGTGTGGCCCGAAGACTCGATGACATATTTCTCCATGCGGGACTGGCGGCGGGCATAGAGCTCAGCCCCTTTCCCAGAGGCCTCAGACAGGTTCTGGTTGGGTTTGGGCTTCGGCTTGGCCTGGATGCGCGGGGACTTGAGGCACGAGGCCCACTCGGGGAGAACATTCTCGGCTGAGGTCGGGCTGTCCCTGTCCCTGGGTGCCGGCTCCTGCTGGAAGTTGGAGGCCTCAGCCCCCAGTGCGAAGGGTTCCTCCTCCCCTCCAGCCTCCCCCTGGTCCCTCTGCCTCCGCTTCTCATCAGCTGTCTGTACCAGATCCAGCAGGTCCGGATTCGGAGTCACCTTGGGCTTCTCCACGAAGGTGAACATGGATTTCCGGCTGCCCCTTCGGGCCATAGATTCCTCCAAAATTCCTGTCTTGCTGGCAGGAACTGCCTGGCTTTTCAGATGGGAAGGCTTGGGGTCAGAGCTGGGGTACAGGGCGGAGTAAGAAGGGGGAGACCTAACCCGGGAAGCCAGGGGAGCCGTGGATAAGGTCTCAGCATAGGTGGGGGGCGGGGTGAAGTTCCCCAAGGGGCGTCTCCCCAAGCCGGGGCTTCGCTGTGCCCCGGGCCTCCTCTCCACCATGGGGCTGTGAGACATGCCGTGTCTCTGTGGCCGAGGGCTCCTGTCGGCCATGCTGGGGGGCTGGGGAGCCGAGGCTTTGCCCCCGAGATGTTTTCTCTCTACCATGGGGCTCCACTCCATCTGGCTGGTGCTCCCTGGTGCCTGGATCCCAAAGGGTTTGGCGGTCCTGTTGACCACGGATGGGGGCTTGGCCAGTGTGAGGTGGACCTCGCTGTACAGCTTGGTGGGCGTGGTGGCAGCTGCCTGCCGAGACATCTCGTGTTCTGCTGTCACTGCTGGGGCACTGGGCTGGACATCGATGAGCAGGGAGCTGGATCTGAGGTCTGGGGCCGGAGACCCAGAGCTGGAGATGGGAGCGGCTTCTCTGGGGAAGGTGTTGGTGGTGGTAGATGGAGCTGATACCTTGTCAATGAGGAGTGTGCTGGATCGCACCTCCGTAGCCAGCTCCTGGGGTTGCGCGCCAGCACCCCGGGGGCTGGGTTTGGAATCTGGCACTGTGCCATTCGGTGGGAGTTGTGCCTCTGAAGAATTCTGTTGGATGCTAGAGAACGGCAGGCTCTGAGGGGCGACCGTGGCTGGTGGGTTCTGATTGACATCTGTGGCTGGCAGGTTGTGGTTGCCGTTAGAAGCTGGTGTGATGAGAGCGGCAGTGGGTGAGGCAAGGTTCTGGTTGACATCCGCAGCTGGGCTGTGGACCTCCGCTGGAGGCGGGGTTGGTGGGCTCTTCTGGGAGTCTCGGTTCTGGGACAGGTGGAGCCCATTGGCCGTCAGCAAGGCTGCGTTCTCCTTTAAGTAAACCACCAGGGGCACCTCTTCCTCCTCACTGGCCACCTTCTCCAGGTGCCGCAGCAAGCTGGCTTCCTCTGAGCACCCCTCCATGCTGTGACCAGGGACCCCTAGGTCAGGGCTCTGGTCGTCGGGGTTCCTCGCGGGGCCTGGCTCAGGGAGTGAGGTAGGACTCAGGCTGAGCCCTGGGGCATGGCCTGTGGGGCTGGCAGGGGGCACTCTGAGAGACTCCTGACTGGGCTTCTGTCCCCTCCGGCCGTGGCTCTCCAAGGTGAACTCGTTCACCCTCTGCCGGCGCCTGTTGAAGAGCTGGACACCTCGGGAGTTGGAACTGGGAGGGGTGGTCAGCTGGGCTGCGATCTGCTGGCTGCGAGCCTTGGCCTCTTTCAGATCCTTCTCGGTGAGGCTAGTGCTCCGACCCAACGCTGCAGAGGGACAGAGGCCAGGTCAGCAAAAGGGAATGCAGAGCCACAAGGTACACGGACACGGACAGACAGACAGTTGGTCACCTGTGACCCTCCTGCAGACGATCTTTTCCTCCGACATTTGATCTTTACTCCCTGTTTTCTAGAATACCCTCTCCTTATAAAGATCCACAACCCAGCCACAATGGCCCAAACTAAATGCCACTACCTGTGTAAAACCATCCCTGATTACCATCGCAGGATAAACCAGCCCCTCATTTGGAGCCTACAGGTTGCTGACACAGCACTTTACCAAATACAGGAAGAACGCCTCACCCTGGCAGTCCAGGCCCCGCTACATCCCCCACTCATTTACCTTCTTCTCCCTCAGTAGGCTCTGCCCTGCCGGCTGTCTTTCTGTTTCTTGAATATGCCAAGTTTGTTCCTGCCCCAGGGCCTTTGCACTTGCTGTTTCCCTGCTTGGAATGATCTCCCACATGGCATTCTAGGTTGGTTCCTTCTTGCTATTCAGGACTTGCTTACATGTTACCTCTCTGGAGGGGCCTTCCTCTGTAACCAGCCTTCCCCTTTCCTATCCCATCCCTTTGTTTTATGTTGTTTATGGCATTCACCACAATTCAGAATTATCTTCTTTATCTGTTTCCTTGTTTACTATCTGCTCCCCGCAACCTAGAACATAAGCTCTAAGGGGGCAATGACCTTGCTTGCCTTGTCCAGAACCCTAACCCTGGGCCCCAGAACAGAGCCTGGCATAAAGTGGGCGCTCAGTAAGCATGCCCAAATGCACGGACGCACCCCCAGGACATTTTCTATGTGCCTTTCTTAGGATCCTTTACATTTCCAAACTCACGGTATAGTCATTTGCTAACACAAACACTAACAATTCTCTTGTTAGAATAGGCAGTACATTCACATGATCTAAAAAATAATGAAAAACATAAAAAAAGCATACAGTGAAAAGTGTCCCTCTGCCCCTGAGTGCCCCACACCACAGGTAACAACTGTATTTAGTTTTTTCTGTGTCCCTGCAGAATTTCTTCCCATTTTTATTTAAACAATCATTTAAAATTTCTCATATTTTAATATTATAAAAGAAATAGATTGGGTAAATTTTGGTAGCAATCATGCTAGAACATTGCATTACTTCATTTTATCCTCACAAGAACACTAGGAGACACAGTCCTGGCCCTGTTTTACAGAAGCAGAAAATGAGGTCTGGAGACTTGTAAATAGCTCACCCGCAGTCACACAGCAAAGGGTGCTTCAAAAGGTCCCTTTGGGACATACGGGGAACCCAGTCAGTAGAGTTCGAGGTTCAGTCTGGAGCTGGAGTCTGGGGCCTGAGGTCAGGGATCAGGCTGTGGTCAGACCCCTATCAATCGGTAAGTTCACTGCAGGCAACCATTTCTCTGTATATCCCCAGTGATCGGCTGGCACACAGTCGGTGCTCAATGTATGCTATTGAACAGTGACTAAACAAATGAGCGCATGAACAAATGGACCGATGGACAGATGGATGGGACAGGCTGTGGTCAGGATTGGCAGCTCACTCGGTGGCTGAGAAAATTCCTCCCCCGCCCCCACTGTGGGAAGCCCATTAGTTCTTGAGGAATCTGACCTTGCCCTCCGCCCTCCTTTGCCCTCATTAGCACTAGTCATGACATGCTGAGTGTCCAGGGACAGTCTCTCTAGGCATCCTGCCAGCGAGGCTCAGAATTCAGGGGCTCTCAGAGCTGGAAGGGCCCTTATAGAGGAGCAATTTCACCACCACCCCCATTTTATAGATGAGAAAACTGAGGTCCAGAGAGTGGTGCAGGGCAAAACTCCCCCTGGGGTCAGCAGGGAGGCCACACAGAGCAGAGTGGCTGCAGACAGCGGTTTCACTGGGACGGGCCCAGCAGCCGCAGGCTGCTGTCTGGCCCCAACCTCCTTCTTTCTTCCTCTGGAGCATCAGGACCTGGCTCCCCCCACCCCCACACACAAACACCTGTGCCCACCTGGGGGAGATTAAGAGGGCCCTGAGAGGTTGCTTAGCTCATGCAGTGTCTTATCTCCTCTGCTCTGCTTAGAAACAAAGCCTCATGGCCCACATCCAGGCTCTGCCATTTGCTGGCTCTGTGACCTTGGCAAGTTGCTGCACCTCTCGGAGCCTTAACTGATTAGGTGATAAAAGCACTGACATTAGGGTTGGGAGGCTCCTATGCCGTTATGAATGCCGTGGGGAGGGGCTCCCTGACGTCAAGCCCAGGTGCACAGGGCGGAGGGCTCATGCTCCCCTGGGATGAAGTGGTATTGGTGACCCCACTCAACTCCGTGGGAGGGGTCAGAGGTTCTTCTGGCAAAGGAGAATCACTCCACAGATCAGGGTCCTGAGAGAAGAGGTGACTCTCCTAAGGTCACACAGCAGAGGATTCCAGAATTGTGGTCATGGGGGGCAGGGATTATTGCCCCAAATTACAGAACCTGGAAGTCTCAGAGATGACTGTCACCAGGTCTAATTCCTGCATCCCTAGGGTAGAACCATGCCCCCGAGGGTACAAGCCTCTGTCTACACACTCAGTTGACAGGAGGAATTCATCAGCCCGAAGAGGTGCCTTCCACTAATGAACGCGCCTCAGCCATAAAGCTGTCCCTTACATTAACGTCTGCCCCCAAAGGCCACCCGGAGAAAAGTCTTCCTCATTCCATCCTAACAACCCTGCAGAGATTCCCAGACACAGAGCTCATCCCCAGGCAGCATGGTCAGGATAAACACCCCGTCCCACCATGTTTCTCATGACACAGCAATTGTAGCTAACGCTGATTGGGCTCCTACTGTGTACATGGAGATGTGCTTCAGACACGCTGTCTCGTTTAATTCCCACGACAACTCTACCAAGCACAGACTATTGTTATCCACTTTCTCCTGATGAGCAAACCAAGGCTCAGAGAGGTAAAGTGAGCTGCCCAAGGTCACACAGCCAGGAAGTGTGGAGCTGGCTCACCCCTGGCTTCGCTTGACTCCTGAGAGCACCAGCCATTCTGACTGGCGGTTCCCACAGCGTGAAGCTCCCAAGAAGCGCTTCAGTTTGAATAACCCAGAACTCCTAACATCCTCACCCTTTTCTGTTGTTTCTCCCTCTCAAGTCTCTGCTTCAGTCTTCTCCCCAGGCTGGTTCAACAGGCCATGGGTGTAGGAAGTTCTCACACGGCAGGGTGAGAAGGCCCTTGGGGATAAGCTTAGCCAAAGCGAGGGACAGGGTGGCAGAGAAGGCAGTGGGCCAGGACCTGGTCTGCGGACCCCCAGCTAGACGTGGAGCCTCCCCCACGCTGCTGGGACCAGAGGAACATGGCGGGCAAGGCAGGAGGTGAGAAAGCCCAGCCTCTGATGAAACTCCCATACCCTCCACCCCAGCCCGCAGTGACTCCATGGAAAAGGAATTCAGCAGGAAGCTTGAACCAGACCCAGCTAGCAATCCAGAGGATTTCTGCCACCCTGCATAAACAGAGCCGAGAGGGGGGCTGGGCCAACTACTGGCACCCCAGGGTCCCCCATTGCAGGGCACCAGGGGAGGCAGTTCCATCCCAAATTCCTCACACTAGGGAACTGCCATGCCTGGCAATGCCGCAGCCAGTGGGTCCAAGATTGCGCTCCCTGGTGTCAGAAAGGCAGGAGGTAGCCAAGGGCCACAGGGGACAGGCACCTCGCTGAGCCCCCAGTCTGCCTGTCTACAGCCTGCACCTGCACAAGTCACAACCCCTCTTCTCTGAGCCTCTGCAGGGCCAGGTTGGGCTGCTGGGCCTCGAAAGAACCCACCCTGGACAATGGATCAGGGCTCTGAAGACGGGCCTTTAGGAGAGGAAGGGGTGAGGACAGACGTAGGGAAGAGCTGCCAGAGAGAGTAAGGGGGGCAGACCAGGGTCACCCAGGGTCCAGTCCCTAAGTAAGGGAGGGGACAGGAAGCCCTGCTACGGTGTGGAATGAGGATGCAACGGCTGCTGTCACTGTTGAGCCCTCGCTACGGGCCAGTGCTGTGCTGTGCACTTTATACTCATCATCTTTCCAACCCTCCCAGCACCCCCAGAAATGATACTGTTATTCTTCCCAGTTTGCAGATGAAACTGGAGCTCCAAGAGACCTGCCCAGGGTCATACCACGTGAAAGCAGCAGAGCCTGGATTCAAAACTCAAAGTCTGGCTGCTGATTCTCATTTCTTAGCCATTCAGCCGTCCAGACCCCGACAGAGGCTCCGGGGCTCCTGGACGACGATCAGCAGAACCCTGTTTCCTCACCTCATGGGTAGTGCCCTTCCCCTGCGTATCCAGCTGCCCGGAACAACCTCATGCTTTCTCTCCCTTCTTCCTCTCAGGAGGAGAGCTGGTAAACTCATTCTTACTAAGGCAGAAATGACTGCTAGGACATGAAAGACTAGTGCACTGGGAAGAACATGTGTTGGAAGTCAGGAGACCTGAGTTCTAGCTGTGTTCAGGCAGGGATCTGCCCTTCCTCCCACCCCATCAGCTCCGCAGGCAGCTGCCTGCCTGCCCACCAGCGGGCCTGTCTAGACAAAGGATCCGAAGGAGGGAGGTGGGGCAGGGAAAGGGAGGCCAGAGCCGAAGGTCAGGGCAGGGAGAGAATTCAAGGAAATGTTTCTTCACATGGCTGCCGTCAATGGGAGTATCCAGGCCCCGGTAGGGTGGAGTGGGACAGGGAGCAAGAGGTAGGAATAGAGACTGGCTGGAGGCAGCCCACTCTGGCCGCCTGGGAGTCTTGGCAACGGGACAGGTAAACAGGCTGGGTAAACTGCCCCCCTGGTGGGGTCAGGAAGGAACCAATGGCTGGCCGCTGGACAACCTCTGGCTCAGCTGGGGGCAGGAAGATGAACTGGGCCTGAGTAATGGACTGGCTACCTTGCCAGCCCCTGCCCCATATCCTCCCTGTTGAAAGGAGGAAATGACACAGCCTTCATTCTCTGGAGAGTTCTCCATCCATGCCAAAGTCCTGGTGAGTGCAACCTGAC